TTTGTGGTTACTTTTAATTTTCGTTATGTCCATACTTCTAACATATTTCAATTTTAATCCAACGGACGGACTTTTTTGAAGCTTTTTTTATTTTAGAGTGGATGTTATTTTCTTTTGAAAGTAAAGTAGGATTTTACAGGAAGTAATTAAATAGATATCAGATAAAATATTGTTAGTATTTTTAAAGAAATAATGGCTTGTTGTAACTACTTGCTTATTCGGCAGACAATAAGCAAACATACCTATTAAGTCCATTGAAATGCCCAAAATACTGGCTTTAATTGACCAAACTTCAAAAACTAATCAGTGGTTGGCTATCGAGGTAGGTACCTAGTCAATTATTTTAAAAGTACAAACAAAGAAGGACAATCGGATGTTCTGCATATTTACGGCTCTACATCGACGGCATCGGTGACTCACGCATGGGCGGGTACGCCCGCCCGCCCTACAAGACTTGCTGTCTGCTCGCGCGTACAGATTACTGGAATCTCGAGAGCATCAATCACAGAATTATTTTTAATTTGTTTCACATCTTTCGATACGTTTCACCTCACTTATATTCCTTTCGACCGATTGTTTAAAATAAAATGTATAAAATTTGTTTGTAATCAAAATAAAAATAGTTTGTAACAATTTGTAAAAGAATAACATTAATTAATCAATCTCGGTGTCATATTCATAACTAAATTGGCGGATTTTAATTGGATATACGAAAACGAATACGGTGCGTTCTCGCATATCCAATTAAATCCAATTAGGTATTCGGAACACCGTATAACTGTTTTGAATAATCCTCATTTCTGACAAAATCATTTTTATAGCTACCTTAGACTCTATTATTCTACAAAACCATGCAGCTTTCTGAAGCTTAATTAAACATTAATTTTATTTTTTACACGGTCACAAACACTCATCCAGCTATTAAGGAGATAAGGCACGACTCTGCCCACCACTCCCCCTCACAGCTTGCAAAAAAAGATCGAATGTTATAAATGCAAATCTGCAACACTTCTGCGCACTTGGGATTAATTTGACAAGATTTATTGAAGCTTCTTGTCAGACTAAATACGCCGCGTCCAATGTCGGGAATAACCTTTGATTAATAACGATTTTACTCGTAATTTTTGTTTCAGCGATACATACCCGTAGTTGCATTGTATAAACTATTTCTAGATAGGTACATTTTAAATTGTTAAGAATTTGTTATTTCTACCGAAACAACAGTTGCTAACATAAGAGTAGATAGTTAAATAAATTACTACGTGACGTGGTAGGTTTTGTTATGAAGATAACATTTTCTTTTTCACGGACATTTATCCGTGAAAAAGAAAATGGGTAATGGAATAATTCATTATTAGGAAATCAATGGATCCACATTGATTTCCTAATAATGAAAACATGCACAACGTGTATACGTTATCATAATGCGAACAAGCGTACAGGAATATTTCTACCTCTATTCCCACAGCTGCAACCGCCAAAAAAATGTAGAGAAGACTGTCTGTCTACTTTTAAACGTCTAAAAACTTTTTACTCCTAGTTACTCTTCAGTTAAAAATAATTTCATTCAGCATTTTACATGCCAGTCACAATTTCCCAGCAATAAAATCTTCCAATTGTTCCTCCCAACGTGACGACTTAGACAAATCGCCGTTGTATTGGACAATTTGTCGAATAATCCCTGCATTTGTTTCAATTATTTCAACTCCCTACTTGATAGCCGTTTTACCTACACCCAAACCGTGAAAGAGATTTGTCGACGCGTGTTTCGCATTCACATCGAATATTATACTAATTAAACAAATAGGTATTCACGCATTGTTCGCATTTTACGTGCCCGTCCTCGTATTAAATTCTATTGTAATTGTTGTACGTTTTATGGTAATGCCCGACATTTTGTGTAACAGCCTATTTTCAATTGGCTTTGTTTTATTATTTGCGGATCAAGCCGACGCGTGTCCCGCATTACAATATTGGCAGCGTATCCAATAGTGTTTTAGTTGGGCTGTGTTTGTTAATCCGCTTGTTACGCAAAATAAACGAAGATATGTAGGATCTGACAAACGACATTTCTGTATTACTGAGAATTGACAAAAATAAACTTTTTGTTTGGTAAAAGCTCGAGTCTTCGCGAGAATTATAATTTAATTTTTCCGCGCTACAGTGAAAAAGTAATTAGGTAGGAAGCAGTAATTAAAAGTAGTCTATGGACAGGGTATAATAAATTACTCATGTAAAGAAACAACGAATAGATACCATACCACCCGTTTAGTAGGTATTGACAAAAACGACTGTAGTGATGAAGTAGGTGCCCTCGCGTAGGAGGCAGTTACTCGTGTTATGAGATACAAAAAGTTATAGCTATTACGATAACTTCTTGTCTAACTTTTACGCAGTATATTGCACAGTTTTGGAACTGTAATGTAGCTACAGACAGCACACTCAGCGATGGGAAGCCTTTTGTTTATCGCGCGATTTGGCAACGTCCTCGTGCTCTACGTAGAGTATTTACGTAAATGTAGACAGCTAGATAAGTGTGAGCACTGTAAATCTTTATTTGAAAACTAAAAATTAGGATTACCTAAAACAATTTTGCATTCTGTTGTGTATCGTTTAGGCTTAAGTTTTGTAAGATTTTAAGGACTGTGTAGAGTTCGCGGTTCTTATGTTGCAGGGCACCTACCGAGGTTTTAATTTTGAATTCCTCATTTCTTTCAAGTCTTTTTTGTCCGTAACAATTGGAACGTGTTTATACAGGTCTTTCGGTAAGTTAAAAAGCCGTCACGTTAAATTAAAAGCTTTAATCTTGATTAATAACCACGATTAGTTATACTGTGTATGTGCCTGTGTCGAATGGGTCATAATTAGGGTATCATTGTCCCGTGCTTGATGAGGCGTGGCGGCGTGCTGCGACGCGGGCGGCGGCCTGCCCCTGCGTCTGATTGTTACAAATCGAGATTTCTTTCGCTCATATACACAATCAAACTTGTCGCAGAGAAAAATAACATGACGATGAGGGCTCGGAAATGACTCGACATTCCTAAATGTTCCGACAGTTACAGTATGGGTCAGAGAAATTCACTAACACAATGTTTTGACGTAATAAAATGCGGGAATGTTTTCGTCGCCTTTCACATTTCCTGTATTATTACAACTCTATACGTTATTTGAAAAAATGCTAGCTTTCAGATTCTTTATAGGGGTTTTTCAGTGAAGTATTTGTGAAAAAAAAACCTCTCTTTTTTAACCAAGTAAAAAGAATTCAGGCTTTCAGTGCTTCAAAGTTCAAACACGTAAACCGCCGCGCCGATTTCGGTAATTGTTTCTGGTAACTTTTTCATGAGCTATGATGTCAGTTGCTCAAAGTTTTTAGGTACTTACTTACCTACTCGGGGTTGTAGTGTAAGCCATCGTTACCACATTGGATAGAAATTCTATCGCCAATATTTCTCTTCTCAATTCTCACATGTTTTTAACCTGTCAGGTTTACTATATGTACAAACATACACGTGTACAATGGGTCATAGGTAATCTCCTCTGATCATCAAGTATCTACCCGCCCGCTGTTCGTATGTTACAAGTCTCGGTTTACAGCAAATCCCCAACTAACGACGTAGCGTTTAACTGAAGATCAATCAACCCCTGACTGGTAAATCGCTACGCCGAAGTCACGTTCGAACCGGTGTGTTTCCTTTAAAGTCGCAATATGTATCGGGCCCGGCGCGGCGCGGGTGCGACAATCATACTGCATTTAATCATCATTAAAGCGGAATCAGCCGCCGTTGCAGGCGCGTCAGCTGTAATGCTCCCCGAAACACGTTTTTGCTGAGGTTTAGAAGCGCTTTTAAAACGAATTTTCACGGCTATCGGACACAGCCAGCTATTTAGAATTCATTTTGCGGATGGAAATTTTTGCCGACATTATGTATCGCGCGTTATTTTTGAAATACGATTATACGATTATCTCATTTAAAACAGCTTTTAAATTATAAAGAAAATGAACGTATGGACGCGTTATTTTAAAATGGGGTTTTCTTTGTCTGCTACCCATAAAAACCGTGTACTTTGACGATTGCATTTGACCCTTCTCTGGTCACAATAGCTTGTACTTTGTAACTTGGCGGATCATTTTAAAATTATCTACATACGTAAAATACAAAGCGTGTGCTATGAAAAAGCTCGGATCTTTTGTGTTCACGACCAGTTATGACAAAGCGAATTCCCCACCCCTCTTTGCGATTCTTTGTCTACTAGATCGAGATAGACGCGTAAAATTCGATACGGGAATTATTTTATTAGATCCAACGTACACGTGCGCGGCGTGACGAATGCGATAATGCCCCCGGCACCGGGCAGAGAACAGCACAATCGCATTCCACATGAATTAACTATAATAGAGACACGGCTACGGAAGCTTTGTGCCCGTAGCACCGTGACTCGTAGTCCGGAGTCATTGCTATTACGTACATAGTTGTGTAATCGGCTACCCGCCAAAGCTCGGGCCCGCGGTTGTTCGCATGCGAAGCTATCGACTATCAAAGCACGGCTCCCATCGGCGTCCTGACGTTCACAACAGTGACGTCGCGTGCGCCTGAATCCCCCATAGCATTACACAGATCGGCTTTCCATGCGAACAAGGCAATTATTCATGCCAACCCGGCAGTGTTCGACATTTTGTTACCCCGTTGTTTTTTATTACAACGGAAATAGGTTAGCGGTAACCCACATATTTATTATTAAGAGTTTCATTATGCGTAAAGGCGATTCCACGATTTCAAATGTTGTTTTTCATGATGTACCAACCAATTTTCACGAACATTAATTTCAAATGTATTTATTCGTAGTATTAGAAAGTGCTTCAAAACACTGAACTGAATTACGAGTATACAAATGCATTATAAATAAAGGGTCACTTTAATAATATAGTGCCGTAGCCGTCTATGCATACGCGACGCCCAGTGCCCGGATAATTAACAGGTAAGTCTGAAAATTTTAAAATCGATTCTCTACTACAACGCACAGTGCAGAAAGCCCTATGCATAAATAATGAGTGATCGCCGGGAGCTTACTACATAAGCATAATTTGCTACGTGATTCATATGAAGACCTTTAGTTGCAAAAGTTACAGTTTAAATTTCAGTAAGCCAGTTCACAGTTACAACTTAACTTACTGCTTGTAACTAGTTTCAACTATTAATAACCAGTAATCTAATATCATTCATGTAAGTAAATCGTATTAAAACGAACGTTACGCAATATTTGGGCGGGCTACCAAGATTGGGACAAAGCGCCCCTGACAACAGGCATCGGTAACACGTGTCCTTGGCAGCACGGCGAAACGTCAATGGAATTTAATATTCCGTCTACGATAACCCAGTTATCGTAACGTAAAGTTTATATAAAAAGCGGCAAGTGCGCGAGGCATCCCTTGGCGCGGGTAGTACCACTTGCCCGCCCGCCGCCGCCGCACGTAAGCTCTCCCAGCTACGGAACCGCTACGCACGCACCCTGCACTTAGTTGTCGCAACTTTTGACACGATATTGTTTTTTAATGCACACGATTTTATAAACACACAGTAAAAAATTACACATTAGATACGTCATTTGAATGATAATTTTGCACTAATTGTCAAAAATCACACGAGCTTTTTCTTAATAACGAGCTTTTCCTAGTTTTGTATGTAGGTCACTTCAAGCAATAGGTAAATGATAGGATAGGTTGGTGAAAGCTAAACAGTGACCTCAGAGACAACTAGAATACATTTTAGAAGTCTTTATAATTTATTTTTATCGCGAAAATTGAACACCAAAAAGGCAGTGGCTTAGTGAAATAACACCACTGACATTCAACTTCGAATAAAAGTCTGTCTGAAATTATGCTAAGTTCGATTTACACAGCTTCTACACCAATTAATCCACCTTGTAAGTACCTAGTCACCTAGCTCAATAATAGCTAAGTAAATATTTGTACATTTTAATACAGGATAATATTTTGTTACAGCACCACGTACAACATTAAAAGATCTTCGTTGACAATAATGAGGAGACCCGGCATCATAAAATGAGTCTGTTCGTTGACTTGCGTCAAATCAAGTCTTCCGTAACAAACCTCTCAGAAATGGTGGACAAAATATCATCTTCAGTTACCAAAGAGAAGATACCGGAAGAAAACATTCCAAAAAAAGAACACTCAGTGTTGTACGGCAGTATGTACAAACCCACGACGCTCGGCTTTGGTGTCCGCTTCTCTAGTCAAGAGGATGTTTTCCGGGACATGCCTTCGTCCAGGCTGCGGAGTCATGTGTCCCTTCCAAACTTAGGGAAAGCAGATGGTCCATTTGAGAGACCATCTACATCCAGAGAAGATCGCCCGAAAATCGAGGAAATCGACGACGAAAAAAGCGACACTACCAACAAACCTACTCTACAATTATCAGCTGAAGAATTCGGTGACTGGATCGTCGCTTCTTTGAATAAACGACCAAACTTTGATGATACTGGTGACACTCATCCCATGGATTTCATAGAAAGCATAAAATATTACATCTCTGAATTAAATATGTCCCAAGACAAGCAGCTTCCGTTCATAATATCGTGCCTTGATGGTGTGCCGCTGATGTGGGCCCGTTGCTTCAGACACGAATTTAAAGATGTTGAAGGATTTTATAGCGCTTTCGAGCAAGAATTTTGGGGGCCAGATAGACAAAAGTCTGTGCTTTACGATATGAAACTTGGAAAGTACGACGAAACCAATGCACGAATGAGCATGTCTGAATACTTTTTGCACAAGGTCTCTAACTACAGACACTTGAATCCGCCGCCATCGGATTTGGAAATCGTCTACTCGCTAGCAGCCCACTTCCCGTCTACAGTGGAGCTAGAGCTGCGGTTGGCACCGAAGCCCACGTTACGTGATGCGTACCGTTTACTGCGCCGTAGAGATGGCGAGACGGGCGAATTCCTCCCCAACTACCTATTCGAAATGTGCGAAGCTTTTCAACGCGGGCAACGTATCGACTCCGGGCGGCGCTACGAAGGATCACACTCAGCGGCGTCAGATTATAGACCAAAGACACCGAAATAGTCTTTTTAGTATCTTCTTATTAAAATAGCGAGCACGTATTGTACTTATTATACAAATAACAGCACTGCCATGTGTATTCATTTACTTAGTTATAAATTAAAAGTATGCTACAAATTGTGTTGTGTATTATTTTTCTAGAATTTTGTGGAGTACTTAAAAGATGAGTGTGTGAGTATTGCCCAAGCGTTGTCTCCTGTCGCAGAGCGTTGCACGAGAGTGTGGGCAACTGGACCGAGGAGGATTGCGTGGAGGCGCGTAGCAGCGGCGCACTATGGGAGGGCCAGGCGCACGCGTGCCGGCGCCAGCCCGCGGCCATGGCGCACGTGGCGGCCGCGGCGCGCCTCGCACGCAGCGCCTGCCTCGCCGCGCACGCTGGCGAACGGTGGAACTGCTCCTCCATAGAGCTGGCGCCAAAGTTTACGCCTGATTTACTCACAGGTAACTTTTTTCTTCCTTTTATAGGAACGTGTCTAACCTGCGTACTTTCGTAAGCTCAAAAAGGTAAACGTATATGACAAAATTTACATTCACATGTTCAGGCGCCGTTAAGTCTGCAGCAACGCCACGGTCAACTGCATCGTAGAATCTATCTACATTTAATTTACTTTGTACGTCACATTGTCCTAATGGATTCCCGGCTGTCTTGCTGTCTAGAACGACTAGGAGTTCCGACAATAATGAAAGATAAGGGAAGCCAAGTTTGTCGAGTCTTTTAAATCAGCGAGGGCATTGTGCGGGCGCGGGTGCCGTGACGGCGGCCCTTTCAGCGGGCTCCGCGCTCGCCGTTCCGCACCGAGCGCTCTTTTTATTTACATGTCACGTCCACGGTATATTTATTGCTTCGCGGGCAATTAATTTTTAAATTACTCCTTTGTTTCTGACCGAATTACCAAATAGATTCACGCCGTTTTTAACGTTTTGCATGAGAGATCGGAACTTTTAAAAAGCTACAATTTCTCCATTTCCGTCTGCCCGTCGCCGTAATTTCTTAATTTGAATATTGTTTAAGACTCATAAAATTTTATTTATAGCACGGTAATATTTTTTGAAACTATAAAAGGCGTCAAAGTATCGTTAATGGCAAGGCTAGGGACGAGCAAGAAGGAAAATTATTAAATAACGGAAGAAGTCACGCGACGATACCCAACTTCAGACGGCACGAAGGCTGCTCAGAGCATGCCGTGACGCCCGTGACGTTCCTGGGTGCCACTTATTGATCCTCGCTTCTAATAATATCAATAGATTCCAATATATTATCAACAGTTTACTTAACTGCATTAGCACAAAGAACTTTTGGCCTAGACCTCATTCAGGGTTTGTGACAAACTTTGTTTCGTAAGATATCTTTCCAGGCTTTTGCGATGTAAACCAATCATATTTTCCCCCATTTTCTAGCCAAGTAAACAAAAAGTATCTACTTAATGGGAAATCGGAGGAATGATTTTTAGAAAGATCAACAGGAATACATAACCGCAAAAAAACCTTTTCTTTGCAAATAGGTAGAGCTCGTTTTATAAGTAGACAAGTAGTAGTTATTATCTTTCTTTTCGCATCACTCGCACACAATCAGTGTCTCAACGGCGACAGTGAAAAACAACTACTAAAAAGTTAGGAATAGAAAAGACGACAAACAATGGGGAAGTTTTTCTAGCTTTAGCCAGGCCTGGCTCACTCCGCGCGGTACATCCGATAATTACCTACAGCGAAGCGCCCCGCCGGCGGGTATTATATCAGTCGAGTGTCACGCGCGCGCCCGTCAGGACGCTGCTGGCGTGTGTTGTAGTGTAGTACCTAATTCTATGATCGAAGTATTACTTAAAAATGAACATAAAGAGAAAGAAATATTTTACAACCGGTCGTATAGTTAGTGTGGCGTTCGGGTGTTTAAATTCGAAAAGAAATCTACCGGATTTATCTTTTTTTCGCTTCCCAAAGATGGTGGTTTTGGAAAGGTATGTTGGCCATGTAGGTAATCAATAATTCTTAGGATAGTATAGGAACCTAACCTACCATGACTACTGCTCAGAATGCGTTCGTTCGTTTCAGCCAAAAATGACGTCCACTGCTGGACAAAGGCCTCTCCCAAGGTTTGCCATAATGAATGCGTACTTACCTACATACGTACCTCATTACAAATAAGTAGATTAAATATGTTTTTACTAGACACTACTAGACAGCAACCCTAACAGCATAAGAAGATTTCAGAGGCACGCGATAGAAAGAGAAAAAACTTGTAGGTGAATAAAATTGTAGGTACGTAGTGCTGTGCGAGCTGAATTCCACTGTATCGCGTCGTAGCAAGACTCGCATTTATTTAAATCGTCTTGCGGAGTAATCCTTCTGTACCTGTACTATTACTTATTCTGTGCTTTAGCGTCGTCGCGACATTGTGTAGCCGGCAGGCACCGGCCGGATACCGACTGCAAAATACGGACCATTGTTTTTGGTCACCACTTCGCCGACCGTCTACCCACTTTAGGAAATTAATTGACACGGAACGTTGTCGGCTACAAACAAAACCGTTAGGAATCTTTCGAGTGCTCCCGACTTGATACATTTTAATTAAAAGTTTTGCGAAGCTAATAACGTCTGCGGTTGCCGCGGCAATGAACGAAGAATAACTTTTCATTAAGTCTCCATAAAATTTAATACTACCTACAAAAACTAGTTGCATGCTTTGCAAACATCTGCTTTATAATCAAAATTTCAGTTTTAAAATAAGTTCGGCAATTAGTAAAATAATTAGTTTACTGAAACCAACGAATGAAGGTTTGGGAATAATCACTTTTTATTATTACTTAAGGTCACGAAAAAGTTGTACCTAAATAATTTCAATCGATCGTTTTTACGATCCTAAAAATATAGAGTAAAATATTGCTACGTATGGTCTGAAAAGTAGGGGTCGCAATACCGAATCATTTCAGCAAAACCGGTATTTTCGGTATTGGCTCTAGACAAATACCGATAATCCGGTATTTTCGATATTTCCGAGATTAAGCTTAATTTAGCAAATTTAGTATAATAAAGTTAGTTTGCGGAGGTATAGTAAGTAGGTACCTAACCTAAATTAATTTATCTTCTAAATAAAACAAAATTCAGTCCAAATCAAATTGAGTTATAAAGAGGTAATCTAAATATTATTAAATCTAGATTAAATTTTTGGGCCTTGTAATGAGATCGTAGAAACAGTAAAGTATCTAAACTTTTATCACTCTTGACTTACTTGACTTATGGTCCTATGTCCCCTAGATGGGGCAGAGGGCGTCCACAACAGTCCTCCATCGCGTTCGGTCTTGAGCTATGTGTTTGATCTCGCTCCAAGTCTTGCCGATCTTCTTCGCCTCGTCTGCCACAGTGCGCCGCCAAGTTTGCTTGGGGCGACCACGTTTGCGTTTTCCTTGGGGGTTCCAATCCAGAGCCTGTTTGGCGATGTCATCGGGATCTCTTCGGAGAGTGTGGCCAATCCAGTTTCACTTGCGGCGCTTGATCTGCTGGTCGATCGGAATTTCGTGGCAGCGTTCCAATAGCTCGACGTTGGAGATTTTCTCAGGCCAGTATATGCCGAGAATTCGGCGAAGGCAGCGGTTGACGAAGACCTGCAGCTGGTGCGAGATGACCTTGGTGACGTTTCACACCCATAGAGCAGAACGGATTTAACGTTGGACCCGAAAATTTTGATCTTGACCCTTCGGGTCAGTTTCCGTGACTGCCATACGGGGTGAAGTTGTGCGAAGGTAGCTCTAGCCTTGGCAATGCGCGAAGTGATGTCCTCTTCGGTACCTCCAGTCTCTGACACGACGCTCCCGAGGTAGGTAAAATTGTGGACACGTTCCACATCCTCTGCACAAATCCGTAATGGTGTGCAATTCCTCACTCCAGATCGCATCTCTTGGGTCTTCCGGCAGTTAATTTTGAGCCCCGTGATGCCCGCCTCTCGATGTAGGTCATCAATTTTGGAACGTATATCGTGATGCGTGTGGCTCAGCAAACAGAGGTCATTAGCATAATCTAAGTCTTCTAAGACTCCGATTATACCCCACTCTATTCCACGCCGTTGGTTTTGATATGCACGACACATGATTCCACCCAAGACAACCAGAAAGAGAAGCGGCGAAAGTAGGCAGACTTGCCGGACGCCCGCATGCACCTCGATGTCTTCGGAGATGAGACCGTCGTGAGTGACAGTACATGAATATTTCTTGAAGATGGCCTTCATTAAGTAGATGGATATTTTTCGGCGGGACACCAATGTCAGCGAGTCTCGACCATATGCTTGCTCACTTTAGCGTATCAAAGGCTTTTTCAAAGTCCCTTTGCCATTCTGATGCCTGCTCCAAGATGATGTTTGGGCGGAAGCCAGCCTGTTCCCTACGCAAAAGAGGTTCAACGGCCCCCGATAACCTATCCAAGATAATCTTGCAGAAAACCTTTGACGGTATCGAGCGCAAAGTGATACCTTTCCAATTGCTACACTGGTTTAGGTACCCTTTCTTTGGCACAGTAATTAAAAGCCCCTTATTCCAGTCGTCTGGGAGTTCCTATTCCATCCAGATGTTTTCGATGAGAGGTGTCAGGACGTCGGCGGCGGAGTTTACGTCGACTATCACTCAATCAACTCAAAACGAACTCGCGCGCGCGTATTTTGAATTAAACGGCGCGTAAATTTTTCTATTTGTATTTGTTTTTTTATTTCTTTTACTAAAACCGAAAATACCGAAAATCCCGGTTTTTGTGAAATGAATACCGGTATTAATTAGACCTAAATTTGGCCCGGTATTCCGGTATTTTCGAAATTCGGTATCCCGGTTTGCGACCCCTACTGAAAATCATAATAGGTAAGATAGCAATATCATTTTCATTGCTCTATAAATTCCATCTAGGCTAACTTTTCGAAACATTTACTCCACTTTTGCAGAAAGTAGGAAAATAGAATAGCATGGTAACAAGGAAAAGTTATTGCATGTGCCTATAAGCACATAAAGTGCTGCCATAAAACTGCTATGTTATTCAAATGAAGACGATTCACAGGGAAAATCCGTGCAATTATGTTAAGAAGGTAAAGAAGAGGGTTGCATGTAAAAACAAGTTCACCGGTTATTTCGGTCGCAATAGCTTAGTTTAGCAATCCGCATAGAACCTGATATTTATTAGTTTTAACGAGTCGCAGAACTGGAACTCGTTACTGAACTAAGACCCGTAAACAAAAAGAAGTAACGACTTTCCGAGTTGAAATAGAAAACATAAATCAATTGGCAAATCCTTATTGATACGGTGAAAGTTTTCTTCGGAAAAGTTTATCTTTGGTCTGTTAAATCTCGGAGGCTTCGCTAGAGTGGAGTTACAATGCGATCAGCGGTGAGGGTTGAGCTAAGCGAGACGGACAAAAGATTTAATTACACGCATGAATCAAGCGTGAGGGCGGCGGGTCGGAGGCTGCGGGGGCGCGCGATAACCGAGCGGTGCACTCACGCGGGATACTCGCCGCGTGATAAGCTGCCATTGTGCTGCGGGCTAAGGACGCGTGCGGGCTCTATCATGATCACTCGATTAGATTATTCGCAATTATAGATAGCGATCTTCTTTTGAATATTCATGGGCTTCAGTTGAAAATAATTCAATGAATTCATCATTTTCTGAAAAACTTAATTTCCACAGTTGGTAAATTATCATAATATACTTTATTTCACCATTCTGCTTTGCATATAGACTCTAGATTTCATTCTAAATAACCGAGTGGTCGTTATTTGTCGATTTCAGCCTTTTGTCATCTACTGGCGAATATTGTCTTCTAGCGGCACTTCCACGGTTCCTGCCACCTGTTAATCTTCGGGAAAAGTAGCGTGGTACCCTGTCAGGCTTTCTTACAACGACAGCTATTGTAGATCCATTCTGGTTAAATATTACTCCATTTGCCTCTGGACTCTAAACTAGAGAGTCTTGTTCCTGCAGTAGAGACTAATGACCTGATGATGGCTTTTCAACTGAAGTTCAACTTTCCTCCGGGACAAAGTTGGCCTTCAGTGGTTAGGTTTTTATTGTAAATCCTGGTGAAGACAGGAGTTGCAGCAGTGAGAACAAGAGGTGGGAATAGTCGAGTTCTTCAACCAAGTGGAATGTTCCATGCACCCGCGAGCAGAGGTACGTATAAGCGATGGCTGCGGAAACGCTAGTGTGGTGCGGTAGCAGCACGCGCTCCCTGCACCAGATGCACGAGCAAACTATTCTATTTTCTTCTAATTAATTTCGCTGTTCAAAAGACAGTTTAACCTTGCCTCGAGACAAACTTGCCTTCACTGGTTGGGTTTGTATTGGGAGTCAAGGTGTAGATCCTGGCTGTTTGCAGCAGCGAGAAGTGGGAAATGTATATCCTGATTACAAAGGAGTTGCAACAATGAGAACAAAAGGTAGCAATAGTTCCCATTCTTCCATTAATTGGATTGTTCCAGGCACCCGCGAGCAGGCGTATGTATACGCGATGTCAGCAGCGACGCTGGTGTGGTCGGTAGCGCAGCCGGCACCCAGCCTTCGTCGCCGTGGTGGACGGAAGCTCCCCGCGCCAGGCGCACGATGAAATTGTTTCTTGTTCTTATTTAATATTTCATTCTTCTAATCTAAATAACTTAATTGCCATCGAGACAAGCTTGGCCTTTACTGGTTGGGTTTTTATTGGCAGTCAAGCTGTAGATCCTACAACACAGAAGTTGCAGCCATAAAAGGTGTCGAGTCCCGTTCAACTAAGTGAAATGTTCCAGGCACCCGCGAGCAGGCGTACGTATACGCGATGTCAGCAGCGACACTGGTGTGGTCGGTGGCACGCGCGTGCGCTGCCGCACCCAGCCCTCGTGGCCGTGGTGGACGGGGGCCCCCCGCGCCAGGCGCACGATGAAATTGTTGCTTATTCTTCTATTTAATTCTTCTAATCTAAATAACTTACCCTCGAGACAAGCTTGGCCTTTACTGGTTGGGTTTTCGTTGGCAGTCAAGCTGTAGATCCTGCAGCACAGAACTTTCAGCCATAAAAGGTGGCAAGAGTCCCGTTCAACTAAGTGAAATGTTCCAGGCACGCGCGAGCAGGCGTATGTATATGCGATGTCAGCAGCGACGCTGGTGTGGTCAGTAGCACGAGCGTGCGCTGCCGGCGCCCAGCCATCGTGGCCGTAGTAGACGGGGTGCCCCCGCGCCAGCGCACGATGAAATTGTTTCTTGTTCTTATTTAATACTAGCTTTCCGCCCGCGGCTTCGCCCGCGTGGAATTTTGTCTGTCACAGAAAAACTTTATCGCGCGCGTCCCTGTTTCAAAAACCGGGATAAAAACTATCCTATGTTCTTTCCCGGGACTCAAACTATCTCTATGCCAAATTTCATCAAAATCGGTTGCGAGGTTTAAGCGGGAAAGCGTAACAGACAGACAGACAGACAGACAGACAGACAGAGTTACTTTCGCATTTATAATATTAGTTGGGATTTAATTCTTATCTAAATAACTTACCCTCGAGACAAGCTTGGCCTTTACTGGTTGGGTTTTTATTGGCAGTCAAGCTATAGATCCTGCAGCACAGAACTTGCAGCCATAAATTCATAAAAAAATCATAAAATTCATTTATTTTTGCAAATAGGCTTTTAGAAAGCACTTTTACACGTCCCAATATTAACCCTACCACTGCTTCGGGACAATAAATGGGCCAGTGGTATAAAAGGTGGCAAGAGTCCCGTTCAACTAAGTGAATTGTTCCAGGCACGCGCGAGCAGGCGTACGTATACGCGATGTCAGCAGCGACACTGGTGTGGTCAGTAGCACGAGCGTGCGCAGCCGGCGCGCTTCCAGCTTGCTCGTGCGCCGCGCCGCCGCGTGCACCGCCCCGCCCCCCGCGCCAGGCGCAAGCGCCTGAACCGCACGCGCGATTCAAGTGGGGCGGGTGCGGTGACAACTTTCAGTGGGCGGAGAGGTAAGTTTTTTTTCTTTTTTGTTACCATTATAAGCAAGGAGATATCAGCAATGTTCTCTCGAAAATAACGAGGTTGTGTAGTGCGAAAAATGGAAATTTGCTCCAAAGGGTTTAATTAAATAGATAATAATGATAATGTTTTCCTTTTACTCTTACAAAATTTAAAACCCTTGATCTAGCCGTTGTGTTTATTAAATAACACGACGAAACTCTGAAATGCAGTATATGCAACTTCAAAAATGTTTTTAGATTCGCCAAGCAATTCCTGGATGCGCACGAGATAGACGTCCGAGATGGCAAGATCGAAGACTTTTTCGACCTCGAGATGACGACAACCGAAACGACACCGACAACGACCCCAGAAATCACTACATCGCCTCCCGTGGTGATCCTAGTGGATGACCAGCCGGCGCCTGCTAACTTCACCGCAGCGCCGCGGCCTGGGAGAAAAGGGAGGAAAGGGCGCAAACGGCTGCCGAGGTCCCCTCGACGGGGCAGGCCGACAAGGAAACGGTTCAGATCAAGATCAAGGTAGTAAGATAAGATAAATTGTTTATTCTTTTTGTCAAACCCAAGTTAGGCATTGATCTTATAGTTATTAAACTGATTGATATTAATCAAAAGTATCATAGAAACGTTTGATTGTTTTGAGGCGAGCAGTATCAGTGTCAGACTTCATTCAAGGATCGGTAGTTCGATCCCCATCGTCCGCTAGGCGATTGTGGTGAACCCTTTCCTAACTTAAGCATATAATTTAGCTTAGCTGGATGGAGGGGTTTACGAGAATATTAGTCACTTTTTTAAAAGCGTCTTGCATATTATCCAAAAGTGTGTCTTAATGCGTTCAGATACGAGTACGAAGACAGAGGCTCCCGCTACCGCAACATCGAGTACCGCATGGCGGCCGACGACCCGCGCTTCGACCCGCAGGTGGACCTGCGCACGCGCCTCGAGCGCCTGCGCCCGCTCATCGCCTCCGCCAACTTGCTCAACGCACGCTTCGGCCGAAAGGTACCGCAACTTCTTTGAGGGTACAGAGATATTTAGGGCATTGTGTTAGTTTATTTTGCATTTTAGAATTTGTACGTTTTTTCTTGGAAACAGTAACTCTACTATGATACTTATAAGCCTTACAAAATCTATTCGGCTTATAGATTTTGTAAGGCTTATAAGTATCATAAGGAAACGGCAACCTTGCAATAGTGTTTTGTTTATTTATATTTTTACATAACCTGCAGCCAGGAGCGTCTGACTCTGTGACTCATATATTACAATCGCTTCCAGAGGTATAGTGTTCTCAGTTTAACCAGCCTCTTGGATTTCAGTTTAGAATTTCGTATTACCTCACCATAGCTACATTATCAGTAACATAGTAGAAATAAAACTTACCGGAACATCTTCACATCAGGCGGTGTCAACGGGCATGCGCACCAAATGCACGTGCCACGGCGTATCAGGCTCCTGCTCTGTCCGCACGTGTTGGCGCTCACTGCCTCCACTCGGCCGCGTGGGCGCCGCTTTGGCTGCGGACGCCGCGCGCGCCGGCCCGCTGCGCCCGCGCCGCCATACTCCACGCCGAGCCAAGCCCAAGCTCAGATATGTGACGCCCAGCCCTGATTACTGCGAGCCCGATGTTGCAGCCGGCTCCCTTGGAACTCATGGAAGGTGCGTTAGTCATTTGTTTTTGTTGAGTCACCCCGGCTGAGATACGTCAGGGGCTGTCAACGGGCATGCTATCTAAATGCACGAGATACGACGTGTCGCCGCGTGGGCGCCGCCGATGTTGCAATCGGCTCTCTTGGAACTCATGGAAGGTATATTAAAGCTGTTAAACACATAAGCGGGTTTAGTCATTTGTTTTCATCGCGCCAGCCCGCTGCGCCCGCGCCGCCATACGCCGCGCCGAGCCAAGCCCAAGCTGAGATACGTCACGCCCAGCCCTGATTACTGCGAGCCAGATGCTGCAGTCGGCTCCCTTGGAACTCATGTAAGGTGCGTTAGTCATTTGTTTTTGTCAAGTCGCCCTGGCTGAGATACGTCAGGTGGAGTCAATGGGCAGCTAATGCGGCGCGCGCCGGCCCGCTGCGCCCGCGCCGCCATCTCCACGCCGAGTCAAGCCCAAGCTCAGATATGTGACGCCCAGCCCTGATTACTGCGAGCCCAATGTTGCAGCCGGCTCCCTTGGAACGCATGGGAGGTATATTAAAGACGTTAAACACATAAATGGGGTTAGTCATTTGTTTTCGTCGAGTCGTCCAGGCTGCTGCGAGACCGATACTGCCGCCGACTCCCTTAAAACGCATGGAAGGTATCTTATTAATTTTTTTGGTCAAATCAAATATACCATAGGACGTCTCCCTCTTTGATGCAACGATGGTGTATGGATGACAAGAACGAGAGATAGTCGAATTGTAGCTACCAATCATTAGTCGTCACGAATCTTATAAATGAAGTCGGCGATGTTGTTAGGGTTCGAAAATATCATAAATATCGGATATTTTCAAACCCTGGTTTTTATATTGTAGAACTACTTATCGATTTCAGCCGGGCTAGGATGCGCGCCGTGATAAAATCTTATCGATGATTTTAGACGAAAAATGTATGGGCTTATCGCGTAAAATTGATAAAATGGCGTGATAAACGCATATCGCAGCGCGAATCCTAGGCCTACTGGGTAGTTGTCAATAAGAGTGTTCATAATTTCAAAGTCAATTCCCTGAAATAACACATCTGTTGTTAGGCAATGCAACGCCAGCCTGGGCAGCGCGCCGGGCGGCTGCGGACGGCTGTGCTGCGGGCGCGGGAGGCGCGCCGTGCGCTCGTCCCGCCTGGAGCGCTGCCACTGCCGCTACCACTGGTGCTGCCGCGTCGACTGCCAGCTCTGCCGCCTCACCACCGAGGAACACTACTGCAACTGAACTACCGCAAAATGAAGAATAACACCATGTTAACATAGTCTACAGCCCCATCAGACTAAATTTTACAAATTCGCACTTAAGCTTTCCAAGATGCCACAGCACTGCCACTGGTGCTGCCGCGTCGACTGTCAGCTCTGCCGCCTCACCACCGAGGAACACTACTGCAATTAATCTGCCATTCGAACAATAATATAAGACTGTAACAACCACTCGCATACACTACTGCATTTGATCTGGCATTCGAACAATAATACCAGACTGCAATTGAACATCCTCTCGCAGAACAAGGAATTCACATCATTGCTGTAAAGTCAACATGAATACATTGTTGCAAAATCGCACTTATTACTTTATAAGATGCCACAGCTGCCACTGCCGCTACCATTCTGGTGCTGCCGCGTCGATTGCCAGCCCTGCCGCCTCACCACTGAGGAACACTACTGCAATTACCCTGCCACGCGAACAATAATATCAGACTGTAACAACCACTTGCAGAACAACACCATTGTTGTATTGTCAACTGGAGATCAGACTATACCTACTTATTACAAACTATAAGATGCCACAACGCTACCACTGGTGCTGCCGCGTCGACTGCCAGCTCCGCAGCCTCATCACCGAGTAACACTACTGCAACTGAACTAAAACTCCAACATAATCGACAGCACAAAAGACTAGACCCTTTGTTGCAAAATAGCACTTAACGAAAATCGACAACCGCTATTAACAACTTTCATGCCTGACCACCTAGGAACAACTACTGCCGCGTTGACTACCAGCTAGTTATGCCTAATTGAACTACCAGTAGCAGAACAATGAATAACAATAATACAAAATAATGTTAGTACAACCGACATACAGATACCGCCTCACCACCGAGGAACACTACTGCAACTGAACTAATCTCTAATGAATAATACCACAAGTCACAACAGGGGATAACACTATTAAAATCGACAGGAAATAATGACTATGCATAACAGCTTTTCCGATACCACTAAGTATAATAAAGTCGGTCCATTATGTCCTCCGAGACCTAACCGGTCAAAATCTGATGTTAAAGATCTTTGTGTAGATCTATGTCAATACTTAGAGCAATATTAGAACTAGAATATGTCTTTATTGGTCTTGTTATAATAAAACGAAGCTAATAATATCAATTTTAATCTCATTTAAATTCATGCAACCTACATGATATAAATACATCAGTAGGTAAATTATTATGAGCACATGTCGCAGCTCACTAACTGTTGTTGACATTCATTTCTTGTACTTGTATAACTTTGGTAATTTTTGCTACGTTTTCGTGCGGTATAATTGAAAACTGTTTCATTCGATTACTTTTCTAAAAGCTGTTTGTGACCAAAGACTATTTACACCAAAATAATATTTTTATAGCTATGACAACTAGTCATTTTAATTTATTTATCATTGCCATGTATAAATCATTCAAATAAATATAATTAGGTACATAAAATAAGTGAGTAATAGATGTAGTAGTATTAGGAGTTTTAGAAAACTTATAATGATACATAACTATTTAACATCTATCTCTTGCAGTCTTTTTAGTCTGCCTATTTATTTGTTTCTATTTATTTGAAGACTGTTAATTTTAAACATATCGGAAACGTAATACTTTAAATGTAATCGATTTCATAACTATTATCACGACAATAAACGGTTATAATTAAGTTTATGTTAGTTCGGCACTATAGGCGCTATAAATATGGCTTCGCACAAATAGAATAAGTTTTGATGTCTGACAAAAACTCTGCTTTCAGTATGTAAATATTTGCAATATTTCTTTTTTAAGTTGGAACAGTGAAATAAGTTGAAGTTAAATTATAAAATAATTCCAACAATCACAAAATTGTGTTTTGTGAAAATTGCGTTTCTCCTAATTACTTAATTTATGTTAATAATGTTAACTTTGAAAAGTCAGAAATGTTTTAATGTGTAGGATACACGCTTAACTTTTTTTGGATAAACGGTTTTTCGAAGTTAACTTTATGTTAAATGTAAAAGACATTCGCATTTCTCATACATACCATAAGCATTCATGAAAAATACTGAACTTGAAGATAATTTAATCTTGTGACTTGTGTACGTATTAAAACCTATTAGCTTATTCATTTGGTCCGACTTAACGTAAATGTAATGTTTATTAGTATTATAGAAAACCAGTTTCAATGTTATGAAAGGTTAATAATAAAACATGTAAGAAGTAATTTATTAAAACTTTCATTATTGTAAATAAAATTGGTACTTAGAATTAGTAGTTTAATTAAAAAACCAAAAAATATTGTATGTTATTTATTTACAGGAAAACCGCCTCGAAGGCCTAGTACAAAAATGGCGTTGCAATGCAGTTATAAAACTTTTTTGGAACAATCAAAATGTGTTTTCCGAATATTATTTCTACAAGTTACAATTTGTTCAATAATATTGAAGTTTATTTTAATAACTTTATTTGATATAATAAGAATGTACTACAGAAGTGAGAGATCACATACGATTATTTATAAAGATACATCGGGGAATATGTATCAAAGTTTTTAAAATTTTAAATAAAAAAATAAATTCAGTGTGTCTAGATTTTAAACAGTACCGTAAGAATCAACATTGCTTACTAGCTACTAAATCACATCATTTTTCTCTTAGCTTATTCACTATTTGTTAAAGATGGCATGAAAACATTTTAAAAGTGAAGTAAACGACGTCACGAAAAGTTTTTCGAGACTACACTGGTGTGTCCAGCAGTGAACATTATTTATCTAAAACGAACGAACACTGGTAGATTTTGTTGAGTGTACTAGCAAGAAAATTGTGAAGCTAATATTTAATCACAACATTCTTAAGAACAAATTAGAATTTACTGGAATAATAAGGCTTAAGGGTGGGTAAAATTTGGTTATACATAAATGCGTTAAACAGGGGCACACTAAAGTGTGCGCTGTGTACTGCATTGAATGGAATACTTTGTCAGCCATGTACGAGTATGTATCATCGCTAACAGGAAGGCACCTAGCGGCACTTTTTCCTTTTGCAAAATAACAGTGCAGATTGTAGATATGACATATGGGGACTTGAGTGTGGTTAGAAATACGGAAATGTGATCTGTAATGTAATATTTATTATATAGAATTTGACTAATTTGTAAAAAATCGTGCCACCTCAACCGTTACACGCAATGTTTTTGAACCTACCGATCGTATATTATTTGTGTAACAAATATCGCGAATCTATTTCAATCTACTATAGATTCGAGATATTCGCGAACATTCACCATGACATTACACTTGTTTAACGAAAATTGAGCACACTCAACCATTGACACTTAGAATCATTCAACAAAAATTGGAATAACCTTTAAAACTAAAATTGTAATATCATCACTTTAGTTCATCATAACTCGGTATGCTCCTCGTGATCTTTTTCTGGAACAAATATTATCATGTTATGCACGTCACTTTTTTGATAAATAAGAACTGAAAGATGTGAAGTCACCAGTGTGTTTTGAACTTCATTTCAACAAAAAAAAATATTTTGATATACTGGCGGCCAAACTTCTACTATTTACAATTTTTTTACTTACTTGGTTGACTATCACTGGGTGCAGTTTCTTCATCATGGCCGCTATCAATTTCCTGCAAACAAAAAATACCCTCTAATAAAACCTTAAAAAAAAAACCTGAAAAAGTGTAACCATTTTGCGAATGGGATTGAATGCGAATGGGATCGAATGCGAATGGGATCGTTTTTTAATCGTAACGAAATACGAATGAGACGGTCCGCGTTAAACATAATGCAACAAATAATAGATGGGGCAGTTTAGAGCAAATAATACATTCCAAATAGCAGATTAATACATTCCAAAATAAATAATATAGCATGCAGTAAAACAGTAGGATATATGAGAAAGAGTTAAGTAATGGTACAAAATATACCTACTAAAGTCTGTTCGCCGAGAGTTGATAAATATTATGAAATGTCTTGCAATAGCGACTGTCGCTTAATTATCGCATTCTGTATGGCGGGCGTCGTTTGTCACAACGCGCACTGAGTACCATGGTACGAGCCACGCAGCTGTCGTCAAGCGTCCCGGCCGGCGGGTGGCGGCGGCCACAGCGTGACCACTTTTAGTAGATTTCTACTTTTTTTGGTAGATTTGAGGCAAAGAGAACCATGATTTAGTAGTGCGAAATCGTTTACTAGAATTTGGTAGATAATTGGTATTTTTAGAACATTCTTATAAATGGTAGTCCAAAATTAAATTGTAACCGAGCCGAGAATCCAGGCCAAAAAAAAAGGCCAGGTCAAATAATCTACCAACTTTTTCATAATATCGACAAAAATAATTAGCGGGCCGCAATTTAAAATGAGTTTAGAACGTCTGATATTTAATTTTTTTTATCAACTCTCGGCGAACAGACTTTAATCATAACAAGATTTTTAGGTATGTAAAGAAGTTTCCGTTACCTGTTCGGTGTCGGCGGCCTGGTAGAGGCCGCGGCGCACGCGCGCCTGCAGCGCCTTGAGCTCGGCGTCGTACTCGCGCCACTCGGGCACGATGCGCATCGCCGCCGACAGCTTTGCTTCCTTCGTCTGTGGGTTGTTGCACTGAGGGGGAGACAAATAAGCACTGATAAGATGATGGGAGAATATGAATAAATAACTTCTTAAGTTTATATTATTCGCACTCGGTAGCGACGCGACAGCGTAAAAAAATCTATGAAAGATGGTACAGCGCCCCTAGCGGTTAGAGTTAGCGAGTAGGTTTTATGTAATCAGCTCATGATAAAACTACTGAGCACAAATACACAATGGTGAGTTATAAAAAGTGACAAAGATAGCAATAACGAAGTTTCATTAAACTTATAAATCAAAATAACTATAGACAGTTACTTTTTATCTATGCGGACAAAATCGCAGGAAGGAACCGCTTAATTAATAAAATGTTCCAAATACAAACACCTTTCGGCATGACCGGGACTCTTCGAGACACTTACCAAATCAATGGTCTTCGCATATTTCTTGGAGCTGTCATCGCACCAAGTCTCGCACCAGAGCCACTCCTGCGGCAGTGATTTTATCGCCACTTGATGTATCATGTTGTTTGGCAAGTCTTGATCTGTAGAAAAATTATGAGTATGTCAAACCTTTCGAACTTTGTAACTCTTCAACGTTTACAAGTAAACTTTTATAGAAACGGATTAACACATTAAATAAGTCCTCTTATTATTTGAGGCTACGCTATAGTAAAATGCACTTTGAACCATCAGGATCTTATCAAGATAGACGAATTAAGCTCTAGGTTGAAAAGAGACGGTAGAAGAATGGTCTGCTCGTTTACCTACTGTCACATAAAAAAAAATCTTTCGGTGCTGGATTAACATAGCCCTAGATGACCAATTCCTATTCTGGCCAACGCGTAACATTCACATAGTGGGTGTTTCATGAACTTTGTACATTCATGATAACATTTTTGATTTACCAGTACATGCCAGTACAAATATTTGGCCTGTCTACGATTTGACGTTGGCCAGTTATGCTCCTTACCGAGGTTAGACAAGCTGTTGGGATCCTGGCTGAGCGCCTGGTACTGTCCTCGCAGGCGGTCGCCGGCCGCGATGCGGCGGAAGCGGCGTAGGTCCACCACGTATAAAGCGCTGATGTGGTAGCTGCGGCCTTGTAGGTGGTTGCGCCAGTAGCCTTGCTTCCAGAACCTAAGGATAGATACTTATTTTAAAGCTGCTGTTGGCTTACACTTACTTAGTCTTGCATTCTTGTAAAGATGAGTGGTAAACACTGATGAGTACATGAAATACATTAAATTATTTAGGATACGATTGGTCAAGTATGAAAATTGTATCAATTCGTCAATCTGTTTTCTATGGCCCGTTTTACTTTTGATTTATCAAAGTATGTAAAGGTTCTGAATGGTCAAGAATTTGCTATGTTCTAATCTAAGTCTATGATAAGTTACCTGAATCCTTCCATTTCTCTCCTGCTATCACAGAATGGCGTGTATCCGTATGGAGCCCCTCCTAAGTCCAAATCCACCAATTCTTTCAGGTCCGCTCGAACAATCTACAACATAACATATAAACATAATATTATTATTAACATCTAGTCCAGAATGTCTATTGATACTGTACTAGAATATCGACACAACACCAGTTTCGCTTTGAATAGATCATGACACACAAAGTGGCCAAAAATTTGACAACACAACCGCAAAATTAAAAAAAACCATTAGATTTGGATCTAAAGACAAGGCAATAAGATTCAAAATAACGTGGAAAGGTATAATGCCACTTCCCGTCTAATCTTGATCTATCGATATTTATACGAGAGACTCATGTCCTACTGTCTCTATTAATAAGCAAGAACTAAGCCCTTTAGGGTCCTCGCCCACAGCGACTTTTTCTAACGCGCATTAATCGCGTTTGCGACGCACTACAGAAGCGCCAGTGCCAATGCGCTACGGCAGCGCGACTGTATCGATGCAAACGCGCGACCGTGTCGGACGACATCGGGGAGAGAACGGAGGGATGGTTACTGAATCGCGTTTGCATCGCAACAGAAGCGCGTTTATGTGGGCGAGGGCACACAGCGAGCGACCGCATTGCGACTGTATAGAGGCGAATGAGGGCTATCGTTTTTATACTTAACAGTTGGCACCCCTGGCGATTGACAGGACCTTACTCTACAGTGGCGCCATCTTGAGTGAGATGAGTGAAAGTGCGATAGTCCTCCTACCACTTTCGCGGTCACCAGTTGGTGCCAGTGTCTTCGCTACTAGCAAGTGACAGGACCTTACTCTACAGTGGCGCTAACTGGTGAGCGCTAAAACGATAGCCCTCATTGCTACTGCATCGCTACAAAAAGTCGCCGTGGGCGAGGGGCCTTACATATGACTTACTTGATCAGCGTCGACGAATATAATCTTCTTGACGTGCAGTGGGAAAAGCACGTCGAGGAACAGGATCTTGTACCCCCAGATGGTGCGCTGTCGGTCGCGCTGCTTCTGCAGCCAGCGCGGCCACTGGTACTGCACCAACTCGTACGAGAAGCCGTACTCTTGCGCCATGTATGGCAGGATGTCCTGGAGATAGATTAAATTGATCAAGGAAATGTCAATCAAGTCATACAAACTCACAATAGAAGTTGTGGAAATGCTTAATAGTTACTAAACTGAAGTAAAGTAGCAACAGGACATTACTGGTTGAATCTGGACAATTAGAAGACCAAACACTAGTCAAATAAATGCTGACAAATAAGCTTAACCTTGGAGGAGGCCGTTGTCCAGCAGTGGACGTCATTCGGTTGTAACGAACAATGCTTACGTATGAAATGTCCTCATAAATTCGGACGGATGATAGCCCTACCATTCTGAACTCTAATTGAAATTCTGAACAACCAACAATCTAATTTTAAATTGATGTAGACAGATGTGGCAAGGTATACTTTTTTGTACCCGCAATGGAGCAGATCTTAATCCTGTATCTCATCTAACCCAAAAACACTAACCTTGAGTGAAGGGCTGAGGTAATTCTTCAGGAACCAGAACTTGACCGGCGATTTGGTGTGCTTGAGCACTGACAGCATCATAATCCTCAAGAATCTCTCGTACAAGTGCCCGGACGCCACCGAAAATACGTTTATGGTCTCATCTTGTGCCTCTTCTTCGCCGCCTCCGAATGAGCTAGTGAAAATGTCAGGTAATCGTCAGATGAAAAGCTGTTGCAAAAAGACGGCATGTTAGAAATATTGGACAATACCAGGAAAACAAGTTCTCAATGGTAATCCTAGCGCGATAGTTTACGTGCGGGAAGATTATTCATCTTATTGTGTTACATGGTTTTGTATTTGTGCCTAGATTTATTTATCTGTCTCTATAAGTACCCATGTCAGGTCCCATCAGTGGCAGTACTTTCAAGTTTTCAATTCGGTTTCATAATTTAGAATTATCCCATGGCTGTCAAGGTCAACTCGATGTAATCAATGTAAATGGCCGATATCAATCCTTGACGCTAAAAATAGAGTCGCCAGCGCTCAAATTATTTCGTATGCTGCTTACTGAAAATGCGACATCAATATCAGCTGTATTACAAAACAACCAGTAATCAACCTTCGTACCTCGCAATAGAGTTCCAAATGCCGCCGGAGTTCTTCTCGTCGTTCTCAACTAGCAGCTCGAGGTGCTGCTTGTCGGGCTTCTTGCTCACGCGCAGCTTGATCACGTGGCTGCGGAACGAGCTCATCAGCACTTGGATGTCTTCCGTGCCCGCTGGAGTATCCGTGTTCTCGTGGCTAGTAGAAAAATACATTTGTTAATACAGGGCTATGTACAAAATCGTCGCAACCACTCTGCAATTTTGTACTCCGATACCGAACTCAAAAATAGGGTTGTGGGCAATGGGCATGTAATGGATCGGCGCTTGGATCAATAGACCGTGAAAGTGTGACATTGTGAATGTGAAAGGACATTCCCATTGTGCCTACTATAGTGGAGCTAGTAGCGAGATCAGATGGAGGACTGGACCAGACCAGAAAGATCTATTCACCCAACGACTTCGTAGATCACCTCAAAGCGGCCGGGCTCGAAACGCAGGATCTAGGCGCCGTAGTTGGCCTTCAACTGGACGGCCATGGTGATAATGTTCATGAGATAGGGCTTCTCTTGGCTGCCGAGCATGACTTAGCTCCACGCGGTAGGGTTCTAGGGGTCGTGTTTCATACATGTATTAATATTTACTTACCCAACGATCTCATAGATCTCCTCCGAACGTCCGGGTCGCAGGCGCAATATCCAAGCACCAGGGTTGGCCTTTAACTGGAAGTAGCCGAGGTTGGCCATCACTATGGTGTCCATAAGCTCGGGCTTCTCTCGGCTGCCGAGGATAAGCTGGAGACCACGCGGCGGGGTTCCAAGGGTTGTGTCCCACGCGTGGCCTTCTAGAAGGATGTACTCTAACTCGAATTCACTGGGGACAAAGAACATTTTTATGTTTATAGTTTTCTTTAATACTTTAGTTATCGAAGTAATACCAGGCCTCCGTCACTCGCCTATGCCGGCCGAGATAATTACCTACAGCGCGCGACAACTTCAAGTTGCAAATCAGTCCGGGCCGCCACGCGCCTGTTTGCATATTTAGGAATAATAATTAACTGTAGTGATTTAAATAATAAAAAAAACTACACTTTTTAAATAATAAATAATTTTAAATACTTATGACAAAAAACTATAGCAAAAAAATTATTTTAGCTAATAAAAACATTAACTTTACTTCACCGTGTCTATTTTCCGACACTACACCTTTTAAAACTGTTTGTTTAATTTCGAATTATCGCAACACTGAAGTTTATTAATAGGTACTTTAGAGATGGTACGATTATACTAACTCCACTAGATTAAAGTTTTCTAATCGTAAATACAATAAATGCTTCTTAAAATTAAGTTTTTATTTATTTTACTTTGCTCATACAACCCTGACGCTTGAGCGGTGACGTAAATCAATTCTAAACACAAAAAAAATGCGCTCTTGTGAGCGTAGTAGTAAGGTGCGATTTCGAATGCACGATGTGCGTTGGATATTTTGCATTATTATTATTACCGTTTAAATGTCGGCATCTGATCCTACACAAAGGAGTGCAATTTCTGTTGCTACTATTATGTATTCTGTGGTAATACGTATAATCTATATAAAAGCGAAAGGTCACTGATTGACTGACTCACTCATCTCGAAATCTCAGAAACTGCAAATGGTAGGAGTCTCAAATTTTGCATGGCGGTTCTTTTTATGGTGCAGTCCTGTTGTCCCCCCTGGGAGAGTCAACAGGATTTCGAAATCCTGTTGGCTCCCCCAGGGGGGCCAAGCAGGGGGGACAACAGGACTGCGCCCTTTTTATAACATAGGTGCTCACTAAGAACGGATTTTACGAAACTCCACCCCTAAGTGGGTAAAACGGGATCCATGCGTACGAAGTCACGGGCGGCCGCTAGTAAGTAACTATCGTCCTTACCATCGCAAGATTGAATACACATATTTACAGAGACAGTACATACGCCCGGATCATCTATTTTCAACCATATCATCACAGTATAAAGTTCATACTACACATACCTGTGCACAACAGTTTCCACGTCAGCCAGCCGTATGTTGTCGAGGTCGTAGACAGACTTGACGCACTCCACGAGCCAGTTGGGCGGCGTGCGCAGCTCCATCGACAGCAGCGGCGCGTGCGGCAGCCGCGAGGAACGCCCCAGCGCGCCTGAAGTATCTATTTTCAACCATATCACCACAGCACAAAGTTCTAACTACACATACCTGTGCACAACAGTTTCCACGTCAGCCAGCCGTATGTTGTCGAGGTCGTAGACAGACTTGACGCACTCCAGGAGCCAGTTGGGCGGCGTGCGCAGCTCCATCGACAGCAGCGGCGCGTGCGGCAGCCGCGAGAACCGAGCCAGCGCGCCTGAAGTATCTATTTTCAACCGTATCATCACAGTATAAAGTTCAAACTACACATACCTGTGCACAACAGTCTCCACGTCAGCCAGCCGTATGTTGTCGAGGTCGTACACAGACTTGACGCACTCCACGAGCCAGTTGGGCGGCGTGCGCAGCTCCATCGACAGTAGCGGCGCGTGCGGCAGCCGCGAGAAACGCACCAGCGCGCCTGAAGTATCTATTTTCAACGATTTCATCACAGCACAAAGTTCTAACTACACATACCTGTGCACAATAGTCTCCACGTCAGCCAGCCGTATGTTGTCGAGGTCGTAGACAGACTTGACGCACTCCACGAGCCAGTTGGGCGGCGTGCGCAGCTCCATCACAGTAGCGGCGCGTGTGGCAGTCGCGAGAAGCGAGCCAGCGAGCCTGAAGTATCTATTTTCAACCATATCACCACAGCACAAAGTTCTAACTACACATACCTGTGCACAACAGTTTCCACGTCAGCCAGCCGTATATTGTCGAGGTCGTAGACAGACTTGACGCACTCCACGAGCCAGTTGGGCGGCGTGCGCAGCTCCATCGACAGTAGCGGCGCGTGCGGCAGCCGCGAGAAACGCACCAGCGCGCCTGAAGTATCTATTTTCAACGATTTCATCACAGCACAAAGTTCTAACTACACATACCTGTGCACAACAGTTTCCACGTCAGCCAGCCGTATGTTGTCGAGGTCGTAGACAGACTTGACGCACTCCACGAGCCAGTTGGGCGGCGTGCGCAGCTCCATCGACAGTAGCGGCGCGTGCGGCAGCCGCGAGAACCGAGCCAGCGCTCCGCCAGTTAGCGCGCCCGATGACGTGAACTGTAGTTCTGGTTCAAGCACGTAGCGATAGAAGCTAAACAAGTAAATAGAAGTGATATTAGTGTCAATTGGCATTATGCGCTCTTAATGAGCTATGAGCTAAATGCTGCATGATTGGTTATTTTTGACATGACATTGACAGATATGTCAAAATCCACCAATCACGCAGCAGTCAGACCCCACATCCACGTCCCGCCATCTAGCGGATCTTTCATTCGCGAAAACCCTCATTCAGATAGTCTGATATATTTTAAAGCCAAATAGGATATGAGTACATTGATTCTAAAGATACCATGTAAACTGACCATGTAAAATTAGAATCTTCTCGAAAGGAAGAACTAAATTCGCTTCGTTATGCACCATCAAATAAACAAATAAGTAATAAAACTATAAGAAAGATGGTAAGAATGGAATGTGGGGGAAATCCAATCCTCAAGCTAATTCTCTTAGGTCGCTTTCACATTAGGGCGTTAGAAGCGCGACAGAAGCGTGACAGAAGAGTTTTCATAATGTGAAGGCACGCATCCGCTGTCATCTGGGGGCACGGCAGTGCCCCCGCCAAGTCGAGCGCGAAGCAAACACTGCCGTACCATCTTTACTGGAACCATTTCGCCGCATTTTCAGGCCCCTATTTGAGAACCTCTGGATAAGACCAGAACGCAGAAATTTTCGTCATCTTGTAAGCTATAATCACATACTTAAAATCCAAAATTTCAAGTCTGTAGGTCATTTAATCCCGAAGTTAAGCGAAAGCAAAGTTTCGCATTTATGACACTCACTCACTCACTCACTGATGATCATCAAAATAGAACTAGTACTTCCCATAAACTCAGAGAGCTGAAATTTGGTACAGAGTTAGGGTTTAATGGCCACATAAAGGGAAAACTATAAAAACTAGGAAAATCGAAGATCTGGAGTAACACCACATTCATAAAATTTTCCATCGCCAATGGGTAGCGGTTCTGGCAACAGATTGGTGCAATGGTGTCATAGAGCACCTGGTTTTGTACCCTTCAACGGCCAAGTCACACAACATTAACTATAATAAAAAAGAAATCGCAGTAAAGAACCATAGACTTGGCACGACTTTGTCTAGATTTCATTACTTTTTAGAGATAAACAAGCAGCACCATCGAGACTTGGCTAGTTTTTTTACAGAATGTTTTTGGTGGGATATAGTATGAAATTATCGGCAGCGCGTCTGTCGCGCGTTTGCCAAGCTGCTAAAGTCACCTAAATGTGAAAGCGCTCTTACTTTTCCTAATTTCCTACCCAGGGGTATTACTACTATAGTCTGGTCTGCGAGCACATAGAATTTCGTCCAATGACCCCAAGCTACCCATCCTTATCGCTCGCGCGTAATTATATTGCTGTCGCGACTGTGCGACGGGCGGCCGTAGTGAGTGTGCGAGCGATTCTATCGACTTTATGGTTAACTAAAGAGGGCGCAGTGTACCTCTTGAGCGGCATGTCGGAGTTCTTGTCCTGCGGGTTGAGGAAGAGCTTGAGGCGGCAGTTGACGACCTTGCGCAGCACCAGCAGCAGCGGCGCCAGGCGCTGCGCCGGCAGCGACGCCGCGTCCAGCACGGCTACGATCTGCGCAGTACACAATAATCTATACTAATATTATAAATGCGAAAGTAACTCTGTCTGTCTGTCTATCTTGCTTTCACGCCTAAACCACTGAACCGATTTTGATGAAAGGACAATGACCGAAAGTGGTCCAAATGTCCACCACTAATGAGACCTATATTGGATTATAGTCCATTAGAGATTAACTTTCAGTATGGGACGAAAAAAAAAAAAGCTGTCAGTTAAAAGTTATGACTGTTTGAAAAATTGTAGTAGTTTATGCGCTAATCTCAGGAACTACTGGTCCGATTTGAAAAATTCTTTTTGTTATGGATAGCCCATTTATCAAGGATGTTATTAGGTTATATAACATTACCTTACAACCAATAGGGGCGGAGCAGTAAAGACAAATGTTGTAAAAATGGGAAATATTATTCAAACTATTTTCACGCGTACCTACAAAGTCGTAGGTAGGCACAGCTAGTATAATATTGTATTATAATAACTATAACCCCGCGCCAGTTGGAAATAAGACTATTTTACCCCTTTCGCATTATTCCAAGTATTCCAATATTGTTGTCTTTCTTCTGAGCTTATTTTTTTTTACTTTTAGCGAGAACCTAACACGGCACACTAAGCGACATGACATAACATGCATAGATTAATCCAAAATGTGCGATGGATAGAATGATATCAAGAACATTTTCGGATGAAAAGGTAAAAAAAATGACTTTTCATTCAGTCATAACTTTTTACTGACAGCATATTTTTGATTGCGGTTTGGTTATAATGAATCAGTATTTAGTAGACTATTTTACTACATAGGTCTCGTTAGTGGTGGACATTTGGACCACACTCCATACATTTTTGGTCATTGGCCTTTGGCACAGAGATAGTTTGAGTCCCAGGAAAGAACATAGGATAGTTTTTATCCCGGTTTTTGAAACAGGGATGCGCGCGATAAAGTTTTTCTGTGACAGACAAAATTCCACGCGGGTGAAGCCGCGGGCGGAAAGCTAGTTTACAATATTAATAATCTGTATTGGACTTGGATTTTAAATATTTATCTTTTCGAAATTTTTAAGTGGTTCCGGACTTGAGGGAGGACTCAATGAAAAGGCGGACACTTGATCTAGGTACCATAGAACGTAATGCAAATTGTTCACAAAGAGTAAGCATCACAAGGCCCAGCAAAGGGACGGCGAATAAGAGGTTTCAAATTCCAAACCTGAGGTGGAATTGTGTAAAGTAATCGTAATCATTTCTCTTTTTAAACTTTTCTTGACCGAGGATTTCTGTGCCATTTTAAAGTGGTTTGGGACTATAGGAGTTGCAAGAGTTCTTAACAATAAATATTCGGAAGATAATTAGGTTGCGAAACGCCAGTCCTCATTCGATGGCCTAACTGATACACTCGCTTATGTACTTGTCAATTCACTGACCTCAATGGAAGGCTCGTTCTTCATCCTTGGAGGTAAGTCGACGAGCGAATGCTCGGTTCGAAGCCCGACCGGTAGAGGCGTGCGGACCCGCGGGCTTCGAGACGCTAGTACCGATATCACCTTCAATCGGTCTTCGTTGCTCATGTCCACTGATAGATCATCTGAAAACCATTTTATGTTTATCTCGGGGTGGATTTGCTGTAGAATCAAACTGATAAGGCATATGGTAAAAACTATGGTTTTTTGGAAATTAATTTACTCACCATCGTCATCATTTACGTCGTTAGTCAAAGTCTTCTTCTTATCGAACACTTCGGACATTTTGTCGCCATAGACTTGGCTCGTGTACCTAAAACAAATTATTTCGATTTACATACTTAAAATTTATTGAAGTGCTATAAATAATACGACATTGACCACTGAGGCCTCTTTCAACTATGGATCAAACAGATAACAGTAACGAATACCTTTCGAGCAGCAGAAAGTCTTCAACAGTGAACCGCTCGCCATCGTTAAGGGGTCCTATAAGCCTCGCGTTGTGTACGACTGCGCGTGCGCTGGCCCGTAGCCGTAAACTGCGAGCGCATAGAACGCGCGTCGCCTTCAGAACCCACTCGTATTTGTTCAGCGCTGGGACCAGCTCCGGCTATGGAAAAGTATACCTTTAGATGCTCTCAAGAAATTATTATTTATTATTATAGTATTTATTCTTCTGGTCAATGCACTTGTCAAAATGACGATACTGAACCGGTGCCTTTTGGTAAATTGGTAGCTAACATAGCATATTTTGCGACTGTGTTATGGACTCTTTAAAAAAGTAACATGTCCAAGTAATTTCACAGATCTTAAAAATACGCGCATAAAAGAATACCTATTATAACATTTGCAAGACGTTTCAATCCAATTTATTTATTTCAAGAACATTGACTTGCATGGTTAGTAAATAATAACCTTAACATTAGTAAATAATATCTTGACGACATATCATAACTTACCAGTATATCACAGTCCTGTCTCTCATGGCAGCCTTCGTTCTCCAGCAGTTCAGCCACATACTTGGTGGCTTTGGCGGGTTCTAACGCCGTGAGCGCGGCTAAAACCACCTTGTTGAGCGACTGGTCCGTTTCGGGATCGCCGTCTACGTTCGGCAGGAACGCCACGCGGACGCCGCCTGTCTCGCGCTATTGAAAAATGTATATTTGATGATAGGTTGTAATGAAAATTCGATTTAATTGTTTGAGAAGACAATGATGTTTACTCAATGCCGGGGTTATTATTAACCACTTTAGTGAAGGTAAAGACGACGGCACGTCAAGTTAAGCAATGTGGCCTCTTAAGCAGTTGTAATAAGTACGGCTTTGCAAATAAAAATATTCTGATTTGCTGTCGACTTTACACAGGTACACATTAGCTACAAACTAAATGGCAGCTGATGATGGCAAATTCGATACTTACTGAAATTTAAATAAATCTACAACATAAATGTATTCTACAACAAAGAAGTGTATATTTACCATGTAAGTCAGCGCGTTCCTTAACAATTCCCTAGAATCCTTTTTGTTCAAGTCACCCGCTACCCAGATGGTTTGAGTAATTTTGTCCGGTTTCCCAGGCTTCGTGAAATACTTCAAAAGTGGTAGAGCTGTTGCAAGCGCATCCCTACCTAAAACATTGAAACAAGGACATCAAAACAGCTGTGAAATAACTAAATGTACAACACAAAACAGTATGAATAATAATTACCACTCAAATGTAACAGACGGTGTATCTTATCTTCGCTAAACAGCTCCGTTGAGGAAGGCACTCCAGATAGATCTAAGTATTGTGACGGCTCCGATCCTAGAACGCGGCGATTGAGTCTATATGAAAAAAAGAAAACGTTTGTGTATTTTTACTCACAGACAGACTGTCTAAATACGAATAATAGAACTCCATAAGGTAGTAAGAAGTAATGCACAATGCTATTCATCTTTCTTGAAGATTGTAACACCATGGTGGAATTGTGTAAAGCAATCGTAATCATTTGCCAGTTCATAACGTACAATTATTTTGTCAAACGCTTTGTTTAACTGACTTTATCGTACGTTATGAACTGTCAAATGATTACGATTGCTTTACACAATTCCACCTCTGAGGCACGTCGCTTCATTGAAGACCTAAGATTTTCGGGTCCCTTTGTCCCTGTTACTACATACTAGCTATACATACTTACTACATACTAGCATCTCGATGGGAGCGAGAGAGACATGGATTTGAAAATAAAAACGTGCGTAGCGCCTTCTCTTTCCGCTATTGGGTCATACCCATTGCTGTAAATCCTAATCTAGCAGTGGTACTTAAACTTACCTAGGCATAATATGCGGCTGCTTCATAAGGTAATCCATAGCGTCATCTGAATCAGACAGTTCTCCACGGAACACGGATCGCTGCAGGCGGCCCGTGTGGCGCGACAGAGCGGTCACTAACGCCTCTTCCAGTAGCTCTACTGATGACGTCACGGGGGTAGAACCTTCATCTGACAGGGGCACTCCGTTTACCAAGACCTAGACAGAAAGTAAGGTCATAGACTAGTCGGTAATTTAATAACTTGTAACATAACTGGATCTATAGATCGCTCAAAGAATGTTGAGGCGAACACGTATTGACACTGATGTAAATATTTGAATACAAAACACAAAAAACACATTACACATTTAAGTTCAAATAATATACATTAGCTATTTTTACCTCGCTCTTGTTAAATGTCTGCAAGCGAGATAGAAAGCGCTTATCAATTTAACTACGCAAGATGTTCATGGCCTCAACTCTCGTTGCGCGACCTATAACGGATCATTTAAAGAGCTAAATTCCTCTAACTAATTCTTGTCTCGATGTGGCATCGTCTGTACAATTTAATATTGCATGCTCAATATGAGCAATCTGTTGTAACGAATTTTATGCCCAAACAACTGCAAACTGTACACAGAAAAAGCAATAAATAAATTCTATTCTATTCTATTCAAATTACCTGCGGATACTTGTTTGTTCCCAGCTTGGAAACAAACTCTTCTGCCAATTGGCTGCCGAAATTGTATTCCGAGTCCTCCGCAATAATGTCATCTAAGTCAGCACCGGAGCTGGCGTACTTCTTCAACTGTTTCTTGATGTATTCCAGGTTCAGTGTCTCCTCTTGCGAAGGGTGCAGTAACTGTGAGTAACATAAGAACATAAGCTATAAAATAAATTCACAAGATCTATTTCATCATGATAAGTAGGTTGCAAGTAAATAGGGGTGGGGGTATCCCCAAAAATTGATTCCGTATTTTAGTGTTAACACGTCTCTGTCAATCATTTCTCGCGTTTAAAAAGAACTTATAAATCTGAAAATATTAAATAAATGTTGTAAGTACTCGTAGAAGAGTGACGCTCGGGATATGTTTTTGATGAGTCATAGTAGCGTAGCGTCTCGGCGTAATAGCTTGATCGGCGGTCCAGAGGTCAAGAAGAAGCTTTACAGGCTCTCGTCACTGACCTGACTGAGGAAGTAGTACGCCTCCTTGTTGGGAGTTCCGCTCTTGAGCCACGTAGTTTAAGGCCGAGCGCACGGAGGCCTCAAGACGCGAATCTCCACTGCCGGGTGAGAAGTCCCACTCGGACCGGAGTAGCGTCCGAGCTTGATCGACACCCTAGAGGTTAAGATGAAGCATCTACGAGCTATCACCACTCACCTGGCTCAAGTAGTAATACGCCTTTTGTTAGAGTTCCTCTCTTGAGCCACGTAGTTGAAAGCCGAGCGCACGACAGCCTCAAGTCTTGAGTCATCGCTATCGGGCGCCAGGATAAGTCCCACTCGGACCGGAGTAGCGTGCTTGAGTAGCGTCTCGCCGAGCTTCATCGGCGGCCTAGAGATTAAGATGAAGCATCTACTAGCTATCACCACTCACCTGGCTCAAGAAGTAAAACGCCTCCTTGTTAGAGTTCCTCTCTTGAGCCACGTAGTTGAAGGCCGAGCGCACGGCGGCCTCGAGTCTTGAGTCTTCGCTACCGGGCGCGAGGATAAGTCCCACTCGGACCGGAGTAGCGTGCTTGAGTAGCGTCTCGCCGAGCTTGATCGGCGGCCCGGAGGTTAAGGACGTCGGGTCTACTATGATCACCTACAAAATAGATAAACAAACACATTCAAAATCCATAATCGAGATATGTAAGTAAATAAAGAAATAATAATAATAATAATAAGCCCCCCATAGTCCAACCTTTCGTCCGAGCTCGACCAACTGTAGCCACGTGGGGGGCGGACACTCGCAATGAAATTACCATGCGAGTGACCAACAAGGCAAGGGCAAACCCATTAATATGGAGCTACGTTCACGTAAATTACTGAGAATGCCGCTTCCCGGGGGCGAGCGCCGGGGCGCACCTGGAGCCGACGCTGGGTGCTACAGCATGCGATCCGTCGGTGGCGAGGAGTTGAGCAGGCGGGCTCTCGCTGGGATTCAACCCGAAGTTACTACAGCCGATACAATAGACCAGGAATCTGAATGTTCATCATCTTTGTCCAATACCCCATTTCAATCAGTTGCAACTAGTCCATCAGACAAATTTGCATCATATAGAAGTTCCCCAACAGATTCAACAACTAGTAGTATGCTACTGGAGGATGTTGTGCAGAAGACATCTTTAGTCGCCAATTCTGCATCCACGTCCAGAAGCTTAACAGTGCGCAGGAGATGGAATAATAGTATGAACGAGTACATCCTACGCACCTATTTGCAGATTACACGATTAGAAACAGACACAAAAGGATATCTACCGACATTGCATACCCTATTTATTACTAAATTCCCTGAAATGTTTGACGTCAGTAGACAGAGAGTAGGAGATCAACGGAGGGCTATTGTGCTTAAAAAACTATTACCACAAACAAGTATCAACAAAATTTATGAAGAAGTTAGGAAAGAACTTGAAGTATCACAGACTACACAAGATTATAATGTTCAAGCAGCAAATAATAAAACAATAAGCAGTGAAACATACGCATCAATTACCAGAAAAAATACTCAAACTACTGATAACACATCACGGACTCGTATGAGATGGACAACGGAGTATAACGAGGCAATTATACGGGCATATTATAAAATCACAAAACTGGAGACAAACCAAACAGCGTATAGACAGTTACTTCACCAAAGCTTTATCGAGAAATTCCCACACCTTGCGCATCTGTCGGAGCAGAGAATTTCTGACCAAAAGCGACTTATATTAGCTAATAACTACATACAAAAACATAGACTAAACATCATAAAACAAGAAGTTGCGAAAGAACTAGAAGAGTCTGAAAATCAAACGAATGAATTTCAATCTCTATCAATAGATTACAGTCATGAAAATATCAACGCTACAGGCCTACACACACAAAATACAGTAACAACATCATACACTATTGATAATTCATTAAATCTCTGTCTTTCTTCACCAAATACACAGCAACAAACATACACATCACAGTCAAACCTTAATGATAGCAATATACAATTACAAACAGAAGATCAACCTATTAATCAAAATGAAAATTCCTTAGAAACTCAATTAGTAAATCAATTACAAGAAACTTGGACAGAATATGCGCAAATGGATCCCGATACACGACCAAAAATACCAAAACTTAAAGAAAGTAAAGAACTATACCGGCTAGTGAATTTTTTTAATACTAACATTCTGAAAAATTTTTTCGACATTGATTCTGATATTACACACATACATACACTTATATACTGTAGTGCAATAGTTATCAGCCGGCAACTAGGTTATATAATAGACGTTAATCCACCAACTTACAAAAAAAAGTTTGATAAGCCGACGTGGCAAATTAGACTAGAAAAAGACATTGCAGTTTTGAGACAAGATATAGGTAGATTATCGCAGTACATTAATGGCAATCGATCTCGGAAGTTAGTAACAAAGGTAGAGAAAATATTAAAGAATAATTCAAAACACTCAACACACGAAAACAATAACCGCACACCACAAGATACCTTAGACACCTTAAAACAAAAACTGGCACTGAAATCACAGAGACTGGCACGATATTTAAAAGCATTGAAGAGGAAAAATGACAATAGATTATTTACAAACAACGAAAAAGGCTTTTACAGATCACTCAGTCATAACAGCTACAATATAACGGAAGATAATGCTTTACCAGCTGAAGAAGAACTTACACATTATTGGAAGGATTTATGGGAGAAGTATCAAGATCATAATGAAGATGCACAATGGGTGAAAGAGGAAGAGAAAAGGTGGGATGGTATAAATGAAATGGAGTTTTTAGAGATAACTAGAGAAGACATAGAGATAATAACTGGAAAAACAAAAAATTGGAAAGCTGCTGGGCTAGACGGAATCCAAAACTTTTGGTACAAAAAAATGTTTGCTTTACACGAAGTTTTAGCAAAGCGAGTCACAAATTTGATTAAAGGCGAAGAAGAACTACCGCTGTTTGTAACTAAAGGAATCACACACCTCCTGCCAAAAGGTTCGGATACGTCTAACCCTTCACAATACAGACCCATAACATGCCTTACTACGTTGTACAAGTTAATCACGTCATGCATAACATCTAAAATCAATAGACATATCGAAGAACACAACATTCTAGCTGAAGAACAGAAAGGCTGCCGTCAAAACCACAAAGGATGTAAAGAACAATTAACAATCGACCAAGCAATACTTAAACATGCACATAAATACAATAAAGATTTACATGTAACATATATTGATTATAAAAAAGCTTTTGACAGTGTCCCTCATTCTTGGCTGATCCGTGTGCTACAAATTTATAAAATTAATCCTACAATAATAACCTTCCTAGAAGATGCCATGACTAAATGGAAAACTATGTTATCTTTATCTACAAAAAATACTAAAATCAGTACTGGTGAAATACAAATTCGTAATGGCATTTTCCAGGGAGACTCACTGAGTCCTTTGTGGTTTTGTTTGGCGTTAAACCCACTATCTGCATTATTAAATAATTCTGAGAGAGGCTATAACCTAACCAAGCAAACAAAAATAACACACTTAATGTACGTCGATGATATAAAACTATTTTCAGATTCAAATGAAGACATGAGACACCTAGTAGAATTGACAGCTAATTTTAGTGATGATATACATATGACATTTGGGGTAGAAAAATGCAAAACGTTACACATTCAAAAAGGTAAAATAATAGCGGGAGACTATAATATACAGGAAGACTTAAATATAACAGCAATGACTACGGAGGATACCTATAAGTACTTAGGGATTAAACAAAATAGATATATTAACCATACACAAATAAAAAAAGATCTTACTGGTGAATACATACGTCGAGTTGAACTAATATGTAGGAAGCAACTTAATTCCAAAAATCTTTTCAAAGCACTAAATACATACGCGATACCGATCTTAAGTTACTCGTTCGGAGTTATCAAATGGACAGCTACAGATATAACAAACTTACAAATCAAAACTAGAACAACATTAACTAAAAACAAATATTTGCACCCAAAATCAGCGATAGAACGAATGTCAATTAAAAGATACAGAGGTGGAAGAGGATTAGTAGACCTAAAAATACTGTGGCAAAGTCAAATAAACAGACTTAGAGATTTCTTTTATACAAAATCAAATAGTCCCATTCACAAGGCAGTTATAGAATCAGACGAAAACTTTACCCCACTTAACCTCTTGGATACAAATAAGATCTACCAGACATCACAGCAAGCAGAGCAGGAAAAAATAGAGACATGGCGAAGAAAACAATTACATGGCAGACACATACACGATCTAGAGCAACCTCATGTAGACACTGAGGCTTCTAACAAATGGCTCAAAATTGGTTATTTGTTCCCTGAGACTGAAGGTTTTTTAATAAGCATTCAAGATCAGGTTATAAATACCAAAAATTACAGAAAGCACATAATAAAAGACCCCAATTCACAGGATGACCGCTGTCGAAAATGCCATAGATACCCGGAAACCATTCAACACATCATAAATGCATGCCCATTACTAACCCAAAATGATTATACACACCGGCATAACCAAATCGCTCACTATGTTCACCAGAAATTAGCTATTAAACATAAACTGATTACCGAAAAATCTAAACCATATTACCAATATGAACCGAAGTCTGTGCTGGAGAGTCCCAGTTACAAAATGTACTTTGACCGAGCCATCTTGACAGACCGCACCATTCATTGCAATAGACCCGACATCACCTTGGTAGACAAAGTTAATAAGATTGCATTTCTAATAGATGTAGCAGTACCTAACACCCATAACATCAAAAATACTATTTCGGAGAAAATACATAAATATTCAGAATTAAAAGAAGAGATAATCAGAATTTGGAAGCTTAACAAAGTGTACATTGTGCCACTGGTGCTCTCCAGCACTGGAGTCATACCTAATCATCTGCTTAATAGCCTCAAAGTTATAGATCTCCACGAAAATTGTTATATCACGATGCAGAAAGCGGCAATACTGAACACCTGCCGTATAGTGAGGCGGTTCCTACAGGATGAACCAACTATTAATGTAACAGGTGGTATTTCATAAATCTATGGATCAGATACTTGGCTTGGCCCGTATCTGGTCTAACTCTTACCAGCATTAATGCTGAGATAAAATATAGTTACATATAAATAATAATAATAAAAAAACGGCCTCTACGTGTTGGATCTGTATCCCCACGCAAGCCTTATAAAGGACCGGGCCACTTTTGACCCGTGAGCTCCAAAGCGTACAAACATAATAATAATAATAATAACCACACAGCAACTATAATAGATATAGCTATACCCAACACCCACAACTTACAAAATACTATATCAGAAAAACTGTCTAAATACACAGACTTAAAAGATGAAATCAGGCGGATGTGGCGTCTTAATCAGGTTAACATTGTCCCCATCGTACTTTCAACAACAGGCGTTATACCAAAACAGCTACACCAGTCATTAAATACCCTCAACCTGCCACCACTTACTTACATATCACTCCAGAAAGCAGCTATTCTTAACACGTGTAGGATAGTAAGAAAATTTTTACAAGTCCAGGAAGATCCCAGCCAGCCGACATCAGCACAACCGCAAGAACAAAACGCAACCTTTTTATCGGGATCGCACTTGGCTTAGGCCCGTGCTTTCCTTTGATACCAGCCTAGAGCTGAGACACTAAAGTGTAAACCGAGAATAATAATAATAATTTTTAATAACCAAGAAGATGACGATTTACAATATTGTACGATGTATTAATTACTTAAACTACGATTGACAATCGTGTTAATCTTAAGTATGTCCCTGCCAACTAAACTAGGATTAAACCTGTATCTTAGATGACAGTGATTCCTCCAGGGTGATGAAAGTAATGTAAGTTAAGTGAATCAACGGAAGAGTTTAAAGTAAGTTTACAATATAAATGGACATGAAAATCATAGGTTCTTATTTTATTTTATTTCAGCAAGAAACTGCTGTTATGCAAATTCTGGTGATATTTCGTGTTCATAATTTAATTTGTAGCAATCAAAATTGGTGGTCATGCTGTTACTTTACCCTGTTATTTAGGTCAACCTGAGCATAGGTCAAGTATTGGCATAAATTGGATTAATATACTCTTTTGTAACTAATAATAGGATGCTTACATAGTTGTAGATATTCCTCCTCAGATTCCTCAACATGCCCGGGTAAGTAGGCCTAAGCAGATCCATGTAGGACGAAGGCCAACGACGGTAGCGCTCATCAGCCTCCAGGTCGTTTAGCCACGTGATTGCAGTGTCTCGCATATCTAGACCGTATTCCTCCCACGTGAAGGACTCGCCGAGTTCGAGAGACATCAAAGTGTTTATCAGCTTGTTTGATAGGCCTGTGGACAATTTTTATTAGTTTAAAAGTGGATAGTCTAGATTAAAATTAGCTGGAGGGGTTAACAGGACTAATGTGAGGTGAGTAACTAACTCCTGGTGAGTGGTCTATATCGGTCATTCGTTAATATCGCTGAGGAGGCCATGAAGAAAGTGGTCATTAAGTGGGATACAATAATTAATTTACATAGTATTGTTTCAGTCGTAAATTTTAATCTTTGTCCTTGAGCTTAAAAACCCATGAAATTAACACTTGCATTTTATGGATTAGTTACAGACTTATTTCAATATAAAAATATTGAATCACGATAGTGAATCATAAATGCAAAACTAGTTTAGTGATTGAAATCCGTTCCGCACATCGTCAGCTGCAGCTGCAAACTCGATAGGAGGAAATTATTGCATAAATGGAGCTCTTCCTTCCTTTTTTATCTAATATAGAACAAACTGACACCTGCAAGCCCCATTTTATAAAATTTAATATACTCACTTTACCTAGCCTATACATTTTTTGAAGCTTGTAAGTTCGTAAGAAGACACCCTGAATTTTACTCCCCTGTTAAATTAATCAGACGCAATAATCGTTATCAAAACAAACTGAAGGTACCAACTACTAAACTCGAACTATACTCTTCCGCGCCACCGCGCCACACTCAATGTTAATAAAAATATATAACCACATCCCAAATAAAATTAAAAATATAGATAAAATATCATCATATGAAAAACAATTAAAGAAGTTTCTCACTCTCAAAAGCTATTATTCCATCTCTGAATTTTTTAATGAAAATATTATGTAATGGTCTGTCTTTGTTTATACAATAATAATAATAAATAAATAAATAAATAAATAAATTCTTTATTGAATAACTTATTGACAGTTTTTAACAATAGGCTTATATTAAACTATAATAGGTAAAACTACATACGTGCCTGAACTAAGAATTATAATTCCTGTATCTCAGGCAAAAAAGAGGCTTACATTACTTAATTAATAGAACTATTTCTAGCAAAATATATAATCTAATATTTATACATAATAATATTTAAATTAAAAATTAAAATCTACACAAGTTACATTTAAGATTTAAAATCAATACAATGTGCTACATAATATTGCTTGTTCTACATAATTTATTAAAAACATCCAACATACAGTGTCTGCGTAAACAAAAATAATAAACTGGGTCACAGTCAATGTTGCAGAAATCATACAAGTTATTTATTTTTTACTCTAGATATAAATGCAATTCGGGTTTTTTAAGGTAAATTTGATAAAAGGTTAGTGGGACAGCTCTGTGATTAATTATGGAGTTAACTACTAGTAGGTACTAATGGTAAAAGTTAATTTAAACAATCTAGGTAGTAAATTAGCTAATGATAAAACTGACATCAAGACAAACATAAACTCGCAGGGGGCGCTCTTAAGCGCCTTCGTAATCTATGGTGTTAATATATCTATTTTCTGCTAGCTTCTTAGCAGGGCATTCAGCGTCACCTGTCTTGTGATTGTTGGGCTTTTTGAAGTGCAAGCAGGTCGCACATTTTGAGGGCTCATCCTTTTTCTTGCAATCCTTTAATGCGTGACCCACTTCTCCGCAGTGGCCGCAAGTGATATTAGCTTCACGACAGGTCTTAGCAGCGTGTCCATACTGCTGACACTTGTAGCACCTTGTCACTAGGGTAAAGTCTCTAACAGGGCACGATGACCAGTTCACAAAAACTCTGTCATTTGCTATCAAGGTCTTCCGTATTTCCTGGTGCAATAGGCCTCACCTAGCGCATGCAGCGTGTTCATAGGCCCGATGTCCTCCCGTATAGCGGCCAGTAGCGCTATAACGTCCACCTCCTCGGCGTCATATTGCGAGCCTGACACGAGCAGCAGCGGGCCGCAGCACTAGCGCCCGCGCCCTAACATCCTGGTGCAATAGGACTCACCTAGCGCATGCAGCGTGTTCATAGGCCCGATGTCCTCCCGTATAGCGGCCAGCAGCGCCATAACGTCCACTTCTTCAGCATCGTACTGAGCGCCCGATACTAGCAGAAGCGAGCCGCAGCCCTAGCGCCCGCGCCCTAGCACCCTGGTGCAATAGGACTCACCTAGCGCATGCAGCGTGTTCATAGGCCCGATGTCCTCCCGTATAGCGGCCAGTAGCGCTATAACGTCCACCTCCTCGGCGTCATATTGCGAGCCTGACACGAGCAGCAGCGGGCCGCAGCACTAGCGCCCGCGCCCTAACATCCTGGTGCAATAGGACTCACCTAGCGCATGCAGCGTGTTCATAGGCCCGATGTCCTCCCGTATAGCGGCCAGCAGCGCCATAACGTCCACCTCTTCAGCATCGTACTGAGCGCCCGATACCAGCAGAAGCGAGCCGCAGCCCTAGCGCCCGCGCCCTAGCATCCTGGTGCAACAGGCCTCACCTAACGCGAGCAGCGTGTTTATAGGCCCGATGTCCTCTCGTATGGCGGCCAGCAGCGCCATAACGTCCACCTCTTCAGCATCGTACTGAGCGCCCGATACCAGCAGAAGCGAGCCGCAGCCCTAGCGCCCGCGCCCTAGCACCCTGGTGCAATAGGACTCACCTAGCGCATGCAGCGTGTTCATAGGCCCGATGTCCTCCCGTATAGCGGCTAGCAGCGCCATAACGTGCACCTCTTCAGCATCGTAGCGTCATATTGAGAGCTTAATACGAGCAGCAGCGGGCCGCAGCCCTAGCGCCCACGCCCTAACATCCTGGTGCAATAGGCCTCACCTAACGCGTGCAGCGTGTTCATAGGCCCGACGCGATGTCCTCCCGTATAGCGGCCAGCAGCGCCATAACGTCCAACTCTTCAGCATCGTACTGAGCTCCCGATACCAGCAGAAGCGAGCCGCAGCCCTAGCGCCCNGAGATTATAATAATGTAATTGTATAATTTTATAATATTTAATTTTTTTAATTTTAATGTTTATCTAATTCTATAATTTTAATGTTTATTTAATTTTATAATTTTAATGTTTATTTAATTTTATCTTAGTTTGACAAATAATTCTCTATTTTAATGTTATTTTTAAGTTTTTGCAACGCCTTCACTGGGCGTCACATGTACAATATTATGTTCTTGTCAACCCTTACCCATGTGACATGCAATAAATAATTTGAATTTGAATTTGAAGGGCGGGGCCTACCTCGTACTAAATATCTCTAACCCTTTGAACTCAGTGTGCAATAAGCCTCACGTAAAGCATGCAGCGTGTTCATAGGCCCGATGTCCTCCCGTATAGCGGCCAGCAGCGCCATAACGTCCACCTCTTCAGTATAGTACTGAGCGCCCGATACTAGCAGCAGCGGGCCGCAGCCCTAGCGCCCGCGCCCTATCATCCAGGTACAATAGGACTCACCTAGCGCATGCAGCGTGTTCATAGGCCCGATGTCCTCCCGTATAGCGGCCAGCAGCGCCATAGCACCTCTTCAGCATCGTAGCGTCATATTGAGAGCTTAATACGAGCAGCAGCGGGCAGCAGCCCTAGCGCACGCGCCCTAGCATCCTGGTGCAATAGGCCTCACCTAGCGCATGCAGCGTGTTCATAGGCCCGATGTCCTCCCGTATAGCGGCCAGTAGCGCTATAACGTCCACCTCCTCGGCGTCATATTGCGAGCCTGACACGAGCAGCAGCGGGCCGCAGCACTAGCGCCCGCGCCCTAACATCCTGGTGCAATAGGACTCACCTAGCGCATGCAGCGTGTTCATAGGCCCGATGTCCTCCCGTATAGCGGCCAGCAGCGCCATATTTTTTTTTATTTTCTTTGGCCACTCTCCCAATTCCCATATACCTACAATCCCATTCCATCCTATTCTATTTATATTATTACTGTTAGGTGTTAATTAATATTTAATCGATATCGATATTCATGTGAAAAGTAACGACATACATACATCACTGACATGCACACATATTTATTTTTACACACACATATGACATCTCATTTTTGGTTTCGTTTGACAGCTCGTGATTGTTGCTCTATTCCGAAGGAATATTAACTTTATGATCTACTCTAATCCATATCTGTGACAAAGTCCAAAGATAATGTAAGAGAGATCAAGCGTAGAGTGAGAAACACAGATAAGGATAGATGCAGCATGTGTCAAAATTTGTATGAAGCCGAGCGTGCCACTTTTTAAACGTCATTAGTGTCATTTTAGCGAATTTTAGTGATTGCCGCAACGTAAAAGTAATCGTATCATCGTACTGCATTCGCAAAGTCATCGAATCGATGTCCTCCCGTATAGCGGCCAGCAGCGCCATAACGTCCACCTCTTCAGCATCGTACTGAGCGCCCGATACCAGCAGAAGCGAGCCGCAGCCCTAGCGCCCGCGCCTAACATCCTGGTGCAATAGGACTCACCTAACGCGTGCAGCGTGTTCATAGGCCCAATGTCCTCCTGGATAGCGGCCAGTAGCGCCATAACGTCCACCTCTTCTGCATCGTACTGAGCGCCCGATACCAGCAGAAGCGAGCCGCAGCCCTAGCGCCCGCGCCCTAGCATCCTGGTGCAACAGGCCTCACCTAACGCGAGCAGCGTGTTTATAGGCCCGATGTCCTCCCGTATAGCGGCCAGCAACGCCATAACGTCCACCTCTTCTGCATCGTACTGAGCGCCCGATACCAGCAACAGCGAGCCGCAGCCCTAGCGCCCGCGCCCTAACATCCTGGTGCAATAGGACTCACCTAATGCATGTAGCGTGTTCATAGGCCCGATATCCTCCCGTATAGCGGCCAGCAGCGCCATAACGTCCACCTCTTCAGAATCATATTGCGGTCGTGATACGAGCAGCAGCGGGCCGCAGCCCTACCATCCTGGTACAATAGGCCTCACCTAACGCGAGCAGCGTGTTTATAGGCCCGATGTCCTCCCGTATAGCGGCCAGCAGCGCCATAACGTCCACCTCCTCAGCATCGTACTGAGCGCCCGATACCAGCAGCAACGGGCCGCAGCACTAACGCCCGCGCCCTATCATCCTGGTACAATAGGACCAGCGTTGCCAGACGTCCCGATTTTGGCGGGACGTCCCGATTTTTAAATCAAATTTAAATGTCCCGCGCGGGACAGGCTCTGTCCCGCTTTTTGGAGAGAGACACTCACTTCACCAGACTATTGTTTGAAACGCCATATTAATTCTAAAGAATATTTTTTTTTATTTCGATTTTTTTTTCTTTTTTATTCTAAACACGAATTTAACGATAGAGTAAATCTGATTTAAAATGATATTTTTTTGTTAAAATACATTTTCTATGGCTAGTTTTGCTATCTATTGTCACGTAAACGTAATTTTAATTCAAATAAAAAGATAAATATTTAAAAAACCTTTGATTATATACGTTTTTTTACTATGTCCCGCTTCTGACGGAAGAATCCCGCTATTTTCACTCAAAAAGTACTAAAGTCCCGACTTGGCGAAAAAAAAAACTGGCAACGCTGAATAGGACTCACCTAGCGCATGCAGAGTGTTCATAGGCCCGATGTCCTCCCGTATAGCGGCCAGCAGCGCCATAACGTCCACTTCTTCAGCATCGTACTGAGCGCCCGATACTAGCAGCAGCGGCTCCGCGGGCCGCAGCCCGAGCGACTGTGCCCACACGTCTTGGTTGTACAGCACTTCATCGCGGAAAGAGCGCGGCACGTTCACGTGGATTAGGGATTTCGTCTGCCGAAACAAATGAGCATCAAAAAAATGATGTAAGATCACTATACAAAAACAAAAGACTAGCTATATAAATACGACCGTGATCGACAGTGTATGAGATTCGTGTCGGTTGAGAGATGTTTGCGTTCCTTACAGATAGTATGTAACTTGTCTTGTAATTCTCTCACTTCTCTCAGTATTTAAAGCTTACACAATGTAGTGAAGAGCTTACTACACAAATCAAACCATGAAGTAAGGTCTTAAAAACTATGTTAAAAAAATCTCAAACCTGCATGGGGAAGTTCTGTGCGATAGAAGCGAGCACTTTGAGCGACTCGTCGCCACCGGCGTCGTTGGCGTCGATGACCGCCGCTGCGGCTTGCATGCTCAGCGCTTGCATCTGCCACACTTTAAGCGGCTCTAATTCTTCGCTGGACTCCGAAAGGTGACGCCTGAATCGTTCGAGAGGAGTACGCAGCGCGGGGAAAAGATTCCTGTTGAATTCAATTTAAGACATTATTCTATAGTTTTTGTTTAAAAAGCTAAATAAAAATGTTAATTATCAAATAACTAGCAGAGTGTGGATAAGGACCACCAGAGTGACCAGAGCAATGGTAAAACCTAAAGCAATGAACCAAAAAATCTAAGAATAGACATTTTAAAAAATTGTGAGGATAAAACTAATAAAATTGAATTGATGTCACACCATTGCAGTTACTTACTATTTATCTACAGCAATAGTGAGAATAATTTAAGAACTTACTTCAGCCTGCCAAAGTTGAACCCATCAATTTGGTTTTGAGGGTCATTTTCATCTTCCTCCTCAGATGCTGTAGGGGCATCAGCGCCTTCCGATTCTTTAGGGTTGGAGTCATCCTGGCTCTTGTATTCTGTGCTCTTCAGCTGGAGTTCTACTCCATACCCTGACAGTCGTAATTTCGGCCTTCCTCGAGGCTACAAAAAACATAAATTAGTATGGGCATAAATAAAACAACATCAAGTAATCCTACTAATATGGATGTCTGGATGTTTGTTATTCTTTCACGTAAAAACTACTGAACGGATCTTGATGAAATTTTACAGTATTATTGTTTATAACCCAGAATAACATATAGGCTATAATTTATGACGATCTGTGACAAACAAAATTTCACGCGGGTGAAGCCGCGGGCAAAAGCTAGTAAAGAATAAAAGTTTAAAAAAATGTTTACTTAGAGGTTCTCAGTAATAGGTCCATTATCAATTTTTTTAATGTATCCAGTAAGATTGGTCCATTTTATATTCATCTAAAAATGTACAATTAAAAAAATTCTAAAATCTCAGAAATTTTACCTTCACATTCCATCTCACAACATAATTGATGGCTCCTTTGTCAGCATAAGCAGCTAATATTTTATGTTTGGTAGCAAAATCAGTCATGCCAAGTTCTCCATACAATATAGCGGTTAAGCTTTTATTGTCACTACTGGGAAAAGAGTGGTCAAGTAGATATGTCTCTAATTTGTGTTCTTCCTGAAATCAATACATTAAAACACCTACTTATATTTGTTCTTGCTAGCATAAGCAAATTTGTTCTAAGTGGATTATATTGTAATCAAATCAACATGGCCAAACGAACAATTTCATGCAGTAATTTACTGTCAAGGTCTTTTCTAATAATATATAGCATATTTGTATGAAATATTCTAGCTAAGTATATTCAACTTGAATTAATTCAGGAATATATTTTTTATTTTTCTTCATAATTTATATCTACACAGCATACATGAAGATCTCTTTACATTACAGGCCAATGGCTTCCTCGTTGTGGATAAAAAATAAAAATTATTAATTTAATTTTATTTTTTAAACATTGTTTCAATTATAAAATTAAGGGATACAGTTACAAAATGATTTAAAACGTAATTAATTAAACAATATGCATACTTACAGGATCATACTGGTCATAGGATTTAAGAATATCACGTAATGCATCATTATCACAGACTTTTCTTGAAGCGATGTCAACAAATGTATCACATTGCACACTCTTTGCTCCATTTTGGGTAGAAATCTGATCAAACATATGAACAGTTGGCGAAGTCAAGTGCATAGAGAGTGCTAATTTGGCCATGCGTAGCTGGGCTGGAGCCAGCAAGGTACTAGTAACGCCAACACATGCATCATACACTTCTTTGTCAGTCTCTGAAAACGAAATTAATGAAATATAAAAAGATTAACAATATTCATGAAACCATACTATGGTAGGAATATGTTTATTCATGCTTACCTAAGCTCTCAAGACTAGACTTCAGAGAGTTTATCTCGTCAACAAACGACCAGAAAAGATCCGAGCTCTCGCCAGCAAGGTATTCAGCCAACTCCAAGACTATTGGTGTAGACTCCCATTTCGCACTAACGAATGAAGTGACTGACTTTGCTTTCTTCTCCTCACGTTTTGGCAGGTCATTATTAGTCGCTAAACAATTATTAACGTAAAACAAAGTAATTACAGAAAATAAGAAACCGGTGAATCTCATTGTACCAAAACAACAGATTCCAAGTTTGTATCAATGAAATAATTTTAATACGAATATTAATACATTTTATTCACACGTTGCTAACTTTATTGACATTATTCACGTTATTATAATTTATTTCGAAGTAATACTACTACAATCTACAACATCATCCCCGAAGCAGGAAGAATCAAAAACCACCAATGACAGTTGAACACGGAGTGACTTGCGGGTCTACTTCGATTAATGGTTTATTTTAAATTTATCTATTTATCTCTCTTACTCTTGAAAGTTACCTATAGTGAGTGAAAGAGATTAACTGAATCGTAAATCTTTTGTGGAAATGGAAAATCGACACAGTTTTATGACGTTTGCTATCAAAGACTATGGAATAAATAGATAGTGCAGTACACTGACACTACCCTCATAGTATGAAGTGAAAAAGGAATAGGTAGATACAAGTTTCCACATGAGTAAAGAAGAGTAAGATTTACAGATTTTTGTCCCTTTCATAGTGTAAGAGTGGTATGAACGATCGTATCAGAATCGTATCAAATCGTCTTCTACCATATATTTAATTTTAGATTTCTCTCTATATATCCAATATCTCGCATACTTGTAATACAAAAAGCAAAAAGGAACAAAAGGATTCTGCCTAGCTATCGTCCCCAAATGAATGAGGCACATGGGCAGATTTATTATAACTGTACACAAAGTCCACAGATATGGATAGATGCAGCATGTGTCAAAAATTGTATGAAGCCGAGCGTGCCACTTTTTAAACGTCATTAGTGTCATTTTAGCGAATTTTAGTGATTGCCGCAACGTAAAAGTAATCGTATCATCGTATTGCATTTGCAAAGTCATCGAATGATATCGTGCGACTCGATTCGAAAATTAATTAATTCCGATAAAACTGATAATTTGTTAAATACAAAACCAAAAACATCTTTATTTACCTTTTTAAAATAAATTAATTCTTACAAATCATCAAATCTCGTTATTTTTTTTACAATACCAGCGTTTCAAGACATAAATTTGTCAAGTGCATGAATACATGCATCAGTGTGTGTCTTATTGTTATGAGTAAGTACGGTTCCTTGGGATCGGTATGAGTGCACCACATACAGGGACCATGGTTTTAACTCTTAAGAGTACATCGCAGGATATGTATTAAAAACAATGCTACTTTATACTTCTTCTACTGCTACTTTATTCTAATTAATTATTTGTTACTTGTGCTGTTAATTACAATTCTCAATTTGTAAATAATTTCTTCTTTCTACCGTGTTCGTACTACTGTCCTCGTAAAATCATCGTAACCGATTGTTGTAATCGGATTACATGAACATCACTCGACCATGTATCGAGCCTTTACCGCCAAATTATCGTAAGCGACACTTTTGTCAAAAAACCGTTTTTTATCGATTCTAGTATTTTAAACCGTAACGGACCCATCCCTGTTGGTGTTTCCCGCCAAAAAAAAACCATTACAAAGTTACAGCAAGTGCTAAAATTATCGTGAATAGGTACACATTTTTTCTAAAACTTAACGTAAGCGACACATGCATTTTATGGCAAGCGACCGCACTTGTTATCGCAAGCGACGTTAGCGCTTCACTGTGGGCGTTTACTAATAAACAAACCTGTTGTTTATATCAGCAAAAGTTCTGATGCAATTAGAGATTGCAATCGAAAATTCGAATATTCGAATTTTTAATTTCAAATTAGTATTCGAATAGTAAATTAACATGTATTCGAATATTCAAATATTACAAAANTTTTTTTTTCATAAAGCTAAGTCAGGTACCTAGTTTTGAAGATATTTCTAAACGACAAAATCTCGGGCGTCGTATACATAGTAGTAATAGTGTATACTGCGATCACTGACCTAACTTCTTGATTGGTATATTTCGACGTTATACAGAGCCCCGATTACGGTAATTTTTAACGTCAACAATCCAGACACGCTTCTCGATTCTGCGATACGATTGGTCGTTCAACAGCGTACGTCAGCTGTTTTGACCAATCGTATCGCAGAATCAGAAACGCGTCTGGATTGTAGACGTTATAAAAGTTACCGTAATCGGGGCTCTGTGCACTCTGTCTTCCGCGATCACTGATCTCACTTGTTTTATAATTCTTCTTCTGCTACTTCTAATTAATTACATAATTTGTTACTCGTTGCTGTTAATTACAATTCTCAATCCGTAAATAATTTCTTCTCCCTACCGTGTTCGTACTACTGTCCTCGTAAAATCATCGTATCCGATTGTTGTAATCGGATTACATGAACATCACTCGACCATGTATGTCCATTTGGACATATCGGAATGGCACGCTTTGACTAGCAACTTGCTGTATCTACTCTAATCCATATCTGTGGTGAGAAACGTTGGCTGTCAGCTGTCTGTTCTGTCAGACTGACAGATGCTGTTTGTCAAATAATTGGGCTGCAGTTTATTTGATCTTTTTTTCTGTTCCTACCTATAAAATATTTGTTACCTGCAAATGGAATAATAGAACAATAATTCTTGTGATTTGGTAAGTTTCTTTTGATTTTTTAAACACATAATTTGTTTGATGTACAGATAAATGCTTCATTCATTGTTAAATTCACTGTCGATTTGTAAGGATTACAATGCATTGATTATTATTCCGTGGCAATGGCATAGTATATCTTTTGTGTATCAGGTTGCATTAATAAGGTAAATTAATAATCGAATGTTCACAGTTTTCAGATACAAAATGCAATTCACCTCAGAAGAAGCTTACGCGCGGCTCATCAGCCACAATATGACCGTGCCACAGAGAATCAAGGTATGATACACCCTAAAATCGGTGATACACCCCTAAGGATTAATTTATTTTGTGTCGTTTATTTTAAAGGTGTCACAAAAGTTCAAATAAAAAAAATACTTTATAGTGTAATACTTTATATTAATCAACAAAATTAATAAAGATTCACACTAAAGCATTTTGGCAACTGTACAAATTTGAAATATGACTTCGCAAAATATAACACACAATTATTTAGATATCCGAATATTTTACTGAACCCATCAATAGGGATGACTCCGTCCCTTTAGCGTGCTTCAGTCGTCTCTAATACATAAAGGCATTGATGAAATATTTCAGCTGCAGTTGCTTATTTATTGTCACATGCTTTCCCTTTTTATTTATTTAAGGCAACGGGTGATATTGTGGATGAGGACAGTGCACCCAATGGGCTGGTCACCGGCTGGGACTATGCCAATGAAAAATTTGACATGAAAGTGCCAGAGAGGATACTGGTTGTTGGTCAAGATCAACATATGGGTATGTTATGCCAATGTTTTACCAACTACTAATCTTTTTATAATTTGTCAATTTATATAAATGTAAAAAAGCCACCTAATTTGCAAAATTGTTTCACCCAAAACAGCTTCAGGATACTTACTGCATTTTGTCCTGATAAAGCTAGAAATAAGCATAAAATAAATGGCCTGATTGGGTTTTTACTAACACATTGCGAGAACTATGTAGGTATGTGAGCATAAAAAGGTATGTGGCAGATATATGCTCAAAAGAAGGAATTATTTGTGACTGAAATCTTACACATGCCAAGTCACTTTCAGGAGCATTGCAGATAAAATGCCATTGATTAATTATTTATTCCAAGTTTATTTAACACCTATTTTCTTAACTTAATACACAATTTTATAGAAAAGCTTTCATCTTGCAGAATGCGGGAAAAAACTTAGTGCTTGTGTATTCTAAATTTCTAAGTGATACATAGTTGCATGTTTGCTTTATTTTAAGGTACAAAAGCTCCGCCTAGAGAAATTCAACTTGACAATGCGGTGCTACCCACTGATCCAGGCATGATTCGTGTGAGCACTCCTCCACGAGTTATCACTTTGGACCAGCATTACTTTCCGTCTGCTGATGACTTCCCGAGAGGGATGCCGAATTCGCCCCCAAGGAATATAAGGACCATAAGATCCCAGGGTGACGGGGCACGCTCAACCACACCTCGCCCAGACAATTTTAACGAGTCTACAATGACTGAATCACGTCTTGTGTTGAGGTAAATTATACACATTAACTAGGTATACATGTATAAACAAGGTCAATTTTTGACTTTCCTTAACCAACTTGTAAATGTAATTGTAAATCTATAAGGTCATGTAAAATGTTGTTATTATTCCAGAGACCCTACTCCACCAATGGGTAATGGTGAAGGCCTCTCTGCTGCCGAAGAATTAGTCCATTTACGACGACAGATAGTTAAATTGAACCGACGTGTGATGGCCATTGAAGCGGAGCAACTACAGCGTCAACAGAAGGAGAAGATAGCATATGCTATAGGCATTGCTTATCTGTTGTTCAAAGTTATTGCTTGGCTAAACAGATCCTAATCTATGGTCAACTGTTATTAAAATGTAAGATGAAGTAATCACATAATGTTGACTTCATGAATTATCTTTTATGTCCATTTTTAAATGGGATGTTTTATAGAAGTGTCGCGTCCTGCTGTAGAAGATATCTCAAAGTGGAAATGTTGAACATTATGATTTCTTAGCATTTAGGTAACATTTTTTTTATACCTTGTGTACATTACTGTATATCTTGTACAGTTATCTTACTTTCAAGTTTCAGTATACATAACTCTGCATTTCATAAAATTATAATGAACTGTTGAAGTGACAAGACCTTTTACTTTTAGTATGTATAGATGTAATATGATGGGTCATTATTATTAAATAAATGATAGATGGAATCCTTATTTTTGTTTTCTTTATAAAAAACCGAGTATCTTAGATATTGCTCTGTAAACTTATAGCACTATCCATAACCACTAGTCAAATAACATTTTCATTAATTACCACACATACCTTTTATAATGGTGTTCATCATAATTCCATAATATAATTATGTATCTTACTATTGCTTGGGAAGTCGGTAGGTAGGTCGTAATCCAGTCTAAATTAAAAAATACATTTATCAGGGTAACACTCAATATATTCAGAAAAACAATAAGATATTAATTAATTAACACATACGTAGTTGGGGCATTCGAAAACATGAATGCCATAAGAAATTACACAGATATAATATTCATGTTGATGATAGCTTACTTTAAAGAATACTGGAAAATTATTAGTATGTAGGTGTATTATGTATTTGTTTTCGACTCATTTTCAGTAAATTCAGTTAGGATTGAGTAGGCTTTTCCTCATAAATAAAAATGACTGAGAATAGTGGTCCACCAAGCCTTTGAGCTAGCCAAGCATTTTTTACTACTGCCAGTTTTAGTGAATCTACAGCTAAACGTGCATTTAAATTTGTATGAAGAGATCTGCCCATTCCTTCTAATACAATTAAATCCACACCACGCACTTTCATTTCGGTGCATAAACCTGGAAGAAAAAAATTATTAAAATGCTTCTTAAATAATGTTAAAACCAATCATTTTAAAACTTTGTGTGGCTGAGCTGCACTACCACTTAACTTTGACCGTAACTGACGATAACTGGTGTTTTTTGTATGGAGTTGGAGTGTTGGACAGACAGACGTTTGTCAAAGTTAAAGTAAGATGGTGCAACCTACCCTAAGATTATTATAGCCAACAACAAACTTGTAGAAAAGTAAATTGAAAAGATTTTTTATTCTTGTATACTATAGAAAAAGAAAAAATAATGGATCTGTTTATAACTATAGGTACTCACCAACACTTATTGTTCTGAGGTCAAGGCATGGACCCCTTTGTCCGCTTGATCGAACTACTAAATCTCCAGTAGCCAATGAGGCTGCCAATACTGGACAAATTATTGAAGCACGCTGCAAAATATCTTCCAATTCAACATTGGTAACATCATTCAGTGCTGGCCACTCGTTGGCACAAAGAATCACAGATGTCCCTCTGAGTAGTAACGCTCTAACAAATGGCAATATGCCCAGTACTATGTCAACTCCACTATTATCCACAAACACAGCAGCACAATGATGTACTGTTTTCTGTAAGCAAACATAGTCATTATAAATAAATTGTTGTGAACAAGTATCATGATTGTTAAATCATCATGATTGTTAAATAGAAAAGATATGTTTTTGTAAGAAACACTAGGTATGGATGATAGAACATCAAGGCCAAGGAAAACACTGGCACCTTATCCAGTTGTAATGGAAATGCTGTAGACTGCTTAGATATTAGAAACAATAAGTTATTTTAAATAACACATCTCACCTCGAGCTTTTCAAGCCATTTGTCTAGTCCATCATAGAGCCATGGTCTCTTCTGAATCTTTTGCAAAGCTTCGTAAAGACCACAATCTAATATATCAGTTACTGCTTGAGCTCCCCAATCAAACATATTGCCTGCAATCAGACTACTATTAAGTAGATTGTAAATTCATAAATGAAGGAAATAAAGACGGCAAATTTAACCAAATGATAAAAATAACCTGCCAATACTCCTCTGCACAGTTCAGTCCAACGTTGTTTATCGTCCGATATAGCATCAATTTCTGCCAATCGTGAACTAAGTGATGTGAGTGCTCCTTCATTTTCATATTTCTTTTGTTGTTTCCATAGGTCAAAAAATCCCTGAGAACGTAGGCATGTTTCGTTGATGTCCAAGAGCAATCGAATAGTCAACTGCCCATGAGCACTAAAAAATAAATTTATTTATTATTTCTTATTCCTCATTGTAAATTGGTATCAATTTGAACAAGTAATTTCTTTATGTATAGCTTATAAATTTTATAATCACTCAAATACAAGTTTTTACTTACAGGGGATTGATTCGAAGTTCTTTTAGAGCTTCTACATAGCAGGTCTTAAATTTAAGAGCTCTTATTTCTACCGTTGGATCTTCGGTGTTAGCCAATGCAAAATTAACATATTTTTCTACCAGTTTCTCACATGTATTAAGCCAATATTCCCTTGCTTCTTCGTCGACTAGCAGGTCCAAAGTGTCTGGATTATATTTATCTGGCTCGTATAAAATATGCGAGAGCCCAAAATGTTCCATCCTGTCAATAGTGAAACTAACACAATCAGCAATGCTGCATATATCTTATTTACTAATTTCTTACACCATCGCAATACTTTATCATTATGCAAATGTTCATAATAATTTTATCTTATCAAAATTTCTCGTCCAACCAAACAAGCAAGATAATTTGATACACAGTCACAGACAAATGTCAGACATGGCAAGACAAGACAAGACGTCAAGTCGGTAAATCATCAAACTCCAATGATCTTTTTTTTTATAGGGAGGCACCTGCGCGCTTCAGCGGGACAGTTCATCCCAAAAAAAAATGGAGGTATTTTAGCCGCATTAGCAACGATATTTATTTCGCTAACAGCATCGAATTGTATACCGCTGCGCTTTGCCTACTTTTGTAATACTACGACTGGCGATATCATCGTAATGGAATCGTATCGTGTCTACTTCATCCAGCTTACATTATCTTTGGTCAACCACAGCTTAATGCTGCAACAAGTGACATCTATTATTTGTCTATGACTGCACAAACTTCAACTTCAATTTGTTCGTTGAAGCTGTGCTGCTGGCTGGGTTTTAGATTATGTGTTTGCAATGGATAAAACTAGCTGTATTCGGAAAAGACTGAATGTATCTCAACTAAAAAGTGAACCAGAATGTTGTGTCATTAATTTGTTGTAATTTGTGTTGTGATTAATGATTGATGTAACGAACAAGTGTACGGCAAGATGGACGAATTGTCTAAGGGCATGACACAAACAGGAAGCACCGCTACAACTGACAAAATTCAAGAAAATAATGGTAAACATTCCAATTCTAACTTTCTGATTTGTTTCATGTTTGGTTTACTTGTGCTATGTATTTTGGACTCTTCATTCTTGACAATTGTATGACTATCAGAATGTAAACAGAAAACATATCTTGAAAAAAATATTTTATACACACTCTAATTTGCTTAACGTTTTATCATAATATTCACTGGACATCATTGTTATAATTTGGCATCAATAAATTATATTCATCTCGGTCATTATCAAAGCCCCAAAATCATTCATATTCAAAAGGCTACTGAAATATACCTTGAAAGTTATGTTTTCATCATGGTAAAAATGTAGCAAATGTAGTCAAGATCTTACTTGGCATATTATATTGTTTCATGAATCTCAATGTCATGGGCTATTTTCTGTAAATACTTAATATACCTACTATGTAGTATCAAAATGTAATACATAAACTTATGGTATAATTATTTATCTGCAATTCAGTTTGCGTTATTTAATTTGAACATCCATCCAAGTACTAATATTATAAAATTCATAAAAAACCTTTAGAAAGCCTAATGCTTTTTTCTTTCTTTTTAATGTATTGTTAATTATGAGCCTTTTTTTTCATTATAAACTCTTAGTGGCTAATTATTCTAAATTGGGATATATTCAATAAAATGGAATATTTTTCTTCAGTACACCATTGCACAATTTCAACCTAGTAGAAAATATCTAAATATGCATTATTACCTGACCATAACACACTTAGCTGCCTGATCTGTATTCAACAAGAAAAAAATCTCAAGTATCCCGTAATATCTTATCACAGAAACTGTTAATTTAATTTAAAGTAAGCCAATACACAACCCATTTAAAAATTACATAATTTTTGCCTTAATATCATTTGTTTTTAATTGTATTCATGATTTTTATTTGAATAATGTAAACATACAAAATGGCTTCCAGTCTGAGATCCAATTCAGACTGTATCTCGCAGAGGGGTTTCACTACATTTCCAGAAATATCCTATCCTATTTAAGGATGCCAATTTTTTAATTTTTATTACCAACCCCAGATTATAGTTTAGGTAGTTTGCAATTATATTTTTATAATTATTTTGTTACTTTTTGAGTCCTGTATGTTTGTATAATATATACTTTTCAAAAGCCAAAATATAGCACTAACCAAATTAACTTATTTCACTATATTATGTTCAGATCAAAACCCTCTAGAGCATTTGGTTCCCAAACTTATTTGAGACGTGCCCCCTTTCGACCAAAAATTCCGGGCCTCCCCTCCAGTCAAGATTATTTATTGGTCGTATCGAGCGTCTGGAATGCATTCTCTCAGCAGTCGCAGGGTTTTTATACTTAAGTACACAGATAGCCCGTGCCCCCCTTTAAAGGTCTGCGCTTCCCCTGGGGGGCGCCCCCCCCCCACTGGGAACCAATGCTCTACTAGAGTCTAGAGGATAACAACATTTTTAGAGAGTAAGCAATGTTATAAAAACTAAGAGCTCAGTGGTCACAACACTTGCCTGCTGAGCGAAAGTTCTTGGGTTTGAGTCCCACCTAAGCCTGATCACTCATCACTGTCGTCTGCCTGGCATCAGTGCTGCAGTGCAGTCTCCATGATCTAGAACTGGAACTACCGAGGCGTAAGGCGAGACAACACCATGAAGTAATGGAAATGATTTATTATTCATTGAAACTGAAAATAAGTAATAAATTGTCGTTTCTGATCGCCGACATATCGGCAAAACTAATAACCTGTCGCTGTTATCCGTCTCAATTGTCTGCCGCCTGTCGGCATTGTATTTATTCGTCGTAGCTACAGCTTCATTGCTTGGCACTCATTAGACGCTCTTTCAACCGTCAATCAATTCCATCAACTTGTTTTAAGTTTCGATTTAAAATTGTGTGAATTTGCTACAGTTTGCTTATTCTAAATTGTATGAACAAGGCTCGAAAAACTACCTATTCCTTATGTTGAGAAATAGTCACTAGGCAACATCTACGACATCGTCATGAAACTGCTTTGGAGACTTAAGCTAGATCAGTTGACGTGGCTTGCGCGGATCAGTCGGCAACCACAGCCGGGCGCAGCATGCCCGTAAAATTTAATTATGTGGCTTTATGAATAAACTCAACTCATTCAATTTCCACATTTTCGATCAAGAAAATATTAACCAAAAGCATGGAATTTCAAAATTTTAATTAACGAAAAAAATTGGTATACAAATTATATCCTAGAATAAAGAAAGTTGTGCTAGCATAGATCTATGTGTATTTATTATAGCGTGATTTAATATGACGTACTCTATCTAATCTTTAATTAAGTTTGTATACATACATGGAACTAGTTCACTGTTACTTGATAACCCAGTGTGACCTTGACATTACCTTAAGATATGTAGAGTATGAAGTATTGGGTTATCAATATCAATTGAACTTGCAATACATTTTTAGTTTTTACCAAATAAGGTTAAAAAAACTTTTATTTTAATAAAAGTCCTCATTTCCTTTGCGATCTTTAATATTATTTACGACTTTATTACCTTATGTTAGTTTATTGATACCCTTACAATTAAAAACTGTAGGTACTCCTCTTTAAGTCATCAGGCCAGACTTACTGACACCTGCAAAACAAGAAGGCTTCATATTTACACAGCAGTCTGCATATCATACAACTTATTGCCACCTTTCTCTAGTCAAGTCGACCGTGGCTCCCCGTGACCATTTGGTTTTACGTAATACGTTATCTATTGCTCTATCCATTATCTCCTATCATAATCTTGCTAATCTAAACCGTCAGCTATCCATCTTTACCACTGATTTTTGTTCTTCTCAAGGATTGAGGAAAGAAACGTTAAGTTTAACTTCCTCATATTTACCTTCTAGGCGATTCAGATCTTCATTATACGTGTATGACGAAAACACGTTCCACCCAAACTTTTTCGAAAGTTATAAAAATGTTCAGCACATCTGTCGGCTATTAAAAAACACGATATTCTTATTTTCTGGTCTATCTATCACATCCAAATAAGATGAAAAGCCTAGAATACAAAAATTGCGTTGCTGGGAAGATTCGTCGAGCCCATTTCATGAGAGTATTTGAGAGTTCTATTTTGCTTATTAACGCCTGCCTATTTTTATGGCGGGTACGACTTGTGCATCAGTCACAACGATGTAACTGATGTCAAAACGTGTGTTTTTCTCTTGGAAGAACTGCAGCATAGAGAAATAAGATTTTCTTTCTACACCAATTCTGTTTTAATACAAAAGCTTTTGCTGAACATAGTTACTATTCGTTCTCGTAGGACTTCCTCGACGTTTTACGGGACTGTCACTCTTGAACAACCTCTTCGTTTTCTCGTAAATTCCAAACCATTTTCCATTTCGGGAATATGTCATCCTAAATCTAAAGGATTTCAGCGTTTGCTACTAGTGTGGAAAATTATAAGCCGTTTGTCTAACTAATGATGCTACCCCATTCTGGCAGAAATCCCGTGACTTTTTGTATCGAATCTTCACATTTTAAGCTTGCAAAACTTAGAGCATGATGGATCAAGTAAAATACGAAGACGTAATTTTTAATCGCATGAGTAAAAATTAAGTTTTTATCTTTTGAGACTTCGGGACAGTGCTGGACCTATTTTTAGGCAATCTCCTTTTGTTGTTTGAAAATTGCTGCTTTTGCAGATGGCGTAAAGCGTGGTATAGGGCACGCACGCCAACTATGCTAGCGTTGGTAGAGCAACTGCGGTCATACCTCGCTGGAGGATGTGAGTGCAAATGGGTTGCAGCATGGCGTGTTTCATGATCATCGACAGAACCTTATTTCATATTCAGTTGATTGATCAAAACCATTTCAAGTGAATCATGTACATTTTACAAAATGTTTATCATAGCATAAGGATTATTATCATTGATCTACGCTATTATTAGTTACGCGCTTTGCACGTCGCTATGTTAATACTATGACTATGCCTGTTGTAAAAGTGTGCGAAATTCGCCGTCAACCAAGCGTAACTTTAACGTATTAATATGCAAGATAAAACAAATGCATACTTATTTAAAAAAAAAAAGAAAGACGTTGTGTCTTCATACATAAAGATTAGCATGGTTTTAGTCCAATTGTTTTCATAGACTAATGAAGTTTTCCCTACTTACCGAATATTTGTGAGCTAAAACCACCAATTTTTTAACGAATAATTGCAATATAATATAATAGTTTCTCATAGTATTGCATTAATTAATTTGACGTCAAAATTAGACATAGTTGAAACTTCTTCGAGGGTAGTGTCAGATGCCAAGAGAGCCGGGTGTTCCCTATGTCGCAAGCGTGACTCACCGACCCTGAAACTGAACCATTAACGTGAGAAGCATCCCAAAAGGTCATACAGATATACGTTTCAAATTCGACTGATCGTCCACGTCAGTTTACGAGGGCACGTTGAGCAAACACATGTTTTATCGAACGTAATTTTATTACCTATTTTTGCCTTGTTTGTTTGTGGTTCCGGACATTTGAAATAATAATATTATCCCCTTTTCGTTGCCAGACTCGGGTACTGCATCAGAAGAAGCGCAATGTTTCAAATGTGACATACCTGTTTCAAACTAAATATTGCCCAATTGCATTGCAAACCCACCTCCAGTCATATCCATTTATTAAATAGGATATTGCCGTAGATTAATAAAGCCCGTGGATTTTTCAGGGATTTTTTGTTAAATAGGGATGGTGTCACGCTGTCATCAGCGTTTATTCGTAATTTTTTTTTATTGTTTCGTTAAAACTGATGTTGTAATTTTCATAGAAAGTCAGTTACCTAAATGCTTCTTTTTATTACGAAACATGGCTAATGTACTATTTGTTGGTCTTGAGAGATTTTAAAATGTAACCATACCGTATACGAATAGCTTTCTCTAATTAACAGAACAGATAATGCATCTCGCTGTCGACGAGGCGTAGTAGGCAAGGTTACACACACAGACATTTAATTGTAATCATTGGAGTATTTTTCAGTCTTATCTCAAGTACCTAGTCACCTCCTATCTGTTTGACACTGTGCTAGATACCTACTTCAGGCGGTATCTGTAAAGTGGTTGCGTTAGTAAATATTATTGATTAGCTTCATGACATTGATACTTAATAATGATAAATAATCCCAACTGCGATTTATAAGATGTTCCTCTAATAGAAAAGGAATTATGAAAAAAAAACTTCTGTATGCAATGTGGTTAGTTACGTTACGATACCACGACGCTCATATTTCTTATATGTTACCATTTTGTTAACTGTTGCTATATTATATTTTACTTTTACTAAATTACCTTTTAAGTAAATTATTCCCAAGTTAAGCTTCGCCTCATTACATTCAGAGCACGCGCTCTATTTGTTTGCTGAGTCAAATACCAAAAGGATCAAAGAAGGTGTACCGTGGAAATCAGAGTCTGTTTCTTTTCAACGCAAATTGTCGTAATCAGTTAAACCGTGTATTTGGCGCACGAACGACTTCCTTACTTAATAAGACGTTAAATTCCTTCTTTGGAATTCGCATCGAGCAATATTTAGTTCTGGCCATTGTAAGATTGTGACTGTACAATACATACAACAATTCATCAAGTGTCTACGTCATTCCATGTGCGTCGACACAGCAACAACCATCCTCTATTAACAGTTTAAATATTGTATCTTAGCTAGAGAGCTAACCCGCGTATTGTTTTGATTTAGACCAAGATTGTTGTCACTAAAACTGTAAATATTGTTATCTTTTGAGAGGGCGGTGAGCGCGGTCACGGTGTCACTGACAGGTTACTTTGCCAGCAGGCTCGGCGACGCCGGTGGTGTACATGAATGAGTCGTGCATGGAGTGCGAGCGGGTGCGCGCCGCGTGCGAGCGGCTGGGCGCGGTGGCGGCCGCGCCGAGGCCGGAGGCGCTGCCGCCGCCGCTGCCGCCGCCGGCGCCACCCTCCTACCTCGTCACCAACCCCTTCGACGGAGAACTCTTCGACGCAGCACACAGAGCCAAATACAGGTTAGTTCCTCTGTCGCTCTAACGTTTTTCTATTCTGATATGTGCTACGGCCACGTAGACCAGTTTGTTTTTTATGCATAACAAGGCATGTATTTGACCACAATCGCACCTGGTGTTAAGTGGGATGCAGTCTAGGTCTAGTCTAAAATTTCAATTACACCTGTCTCTTCTAGGGTTCTTATTGGCCAAAATATATCTTGTAATTGGTGTTTTGTTAATGAATCAAAAATGAGACTCGAATTAAAAGCCATGTAGAGTCACCTCACCAGCACATCGTAGTATGTAGTATAAAATATGTATATTGTAAAATTTATCCCACCAAAAACATTCTGTAAAAAACTAGCCAAGTCTCGATGGAGCTGCTTGTTTATCTCTAAAAAGTAATGAAATCTAGACAAAGTCGTGCCAAGTCTATGGTTCTTTACTGCGATTTCTTTTTTATTATAGTTAATGTTGTGTGACTTGGCCGTTGAAGGGTACAAAACCAGGTGCTCCATGACACCATTGCACCAATCTGTTGCCAGAACCACTACCCATTGACGATGGAAAATTGCCACTTGGAAAACGTTGATTTAATAACCAGTGAATTGTAGGCTTAATAAAGCTGCGTATTTCAATAATACTTATGCATAATTATTGATTATCTTAATAAAGATTGTTCAACGGCCAAGTCACACAACATTAACTATAATAAAAAAGAAATCGCAGTAAAGAACCATAGACTTGGCACGACTTTGTCTAGATTTCATTACTTTTTAGAGATAAACAAGCAGCTCCATCGAGACTTGGCTAGTTTTTTACAGAATGTTTTTGGTGGGATTTCACTTCTTTTTGTAGAATGTGGCATAATTATTTAACGTCGTCGTCCTTTAATATTATCGTCATTTTTTTTACGATATTAAACACATCTTTAAAAAGGACAACGAATCAGAATTGATTTAATAATAACTAGAGGGGAAAAAAAATCTGGACACCGCGGTGCAGAAAATCGACGCTCAAAGTGCTAGCGCCATCTAGCGGTGAGCGGTACAGGCGAACACCACGGTGCCGGTGTGGCGCTAGTAGTATTGATTATTATGAATGTGGTGTTACTCCAGATCTTCGATTTTCCTAGTTTTGATAGTTTTCCCTTTATGTGGCCATTAAACCCTAACTCTGTACCAAATTTCAGCTCTCTGAGTTAATGGGAAGTACTAGTTCTATTTTGATGATCATCAGTGAATGAGTGAGTGTCATAAATGCGAAACTTTGCTTTCGCTTTACTTCGGAACTAATTGACCTACAGACTTGAAATTTTGGATTTTAAGTGTGTGATTATAGCTTACTAGATGACGAAAATTTCTGCGTTCTGGTCTTATCTAAAGGTTCTCAAATAGAGGCCTGAAAATGCGGCGAAATGGTTCCAGTAAAGGATGGTACGGCAGTGTTTGCTTCGCGCTCGACTTGGCGGGGGCACTGCCGTGCCCCCAGATCGTAACACAACTAAACATGATGCCACAGTCAATGCATGTGTGTATGATGAACGAAATCACAATCGTCCGTTTTATTAACCTTATACCATTATTATAGAAATCTACATGACGTGTTCGTCACACAATCAACGGAATTATAATTCTATTGTTCTACTTCTTATTGGTAAATTGTAATTAGCGATAAATGGAAATGGAAGTACACACTAAAGACGATCTAGAGAAATGATGATGATTATGCTCTGTTTGTTGTAACTACTTTTAGACATACATAAAGTATTAGACCAGCACTTTTCTGTTGTTACTTCCAATGATTAAAGAATTAAAGATTCTAAAATTGTTAAATTGTAGAAGTCATACGTCAATTATACACACTATACTGAAAAACATAATAGAGAAGCTGAATTTGGTTTGTCAATAATTGTAAAAACAGTAGCGTTAATGAGAGGGATTGTTATTGACATTTATTTTGGCTCGGTGCGCGGCGGCTTACGAGACTGTACCGAGTGTGACGGATGCTTTGTTTCGCGCTTACGCCTTCGACGCCTTTTTGTCTTACTTTCCTACACCGCTAGCCTGCTATACATAGCTGCTTCAGTACGCCACTCATGACGTCCATCCATTCTATTATGGTGCTCATTAAGATGTAACATTTGATAATGAAGTTCGTTTGGAAGTTAGCGCAAAACTGACGTATAAACTGACTTGAAATTGTGAAAACGGAACACACGTGGGTGGGTGTAGTTCGCACTTGGCCGTTGATTACTATGATGATTGATGGACTCGTTCGGGATTTTATCGATGGTGATCTTTCTGAACTAAAAATCAATTAGGAAAGCGAAGGAAATTTAAATAGAGACAGGTGAACTTCCTTCGTATCGGTGAAAATCGTGGGTTGTGTGGTATGAGGCGTGCGTGAGTCAGATGTCTGACGAGCAACTGAACAGCTTGACGAATTCGCTGCGAGCGTTCCCTTTGGAATGTCCGCGCCATCGCCAGCGTCGTGCTTGCTGGCTCGGCTTACTGGCGATTTACGAGCTCTATAAAAGACCGCCTCCGTCCACAATAGCACAGAATAAGTAATAGTACAGGTACAGAAGGATTACTCCGCAAGACGATTTAAATAAATGCGAGTCTTGCTACGACGCGATACAGTGGAATTCAGCTCGCACAGCACTACGTACCTACAATTTTATTCACATACAAGTTTTGTCTCTTTCTATCGCGTGCCTCTGAACTCTTCTTACGCTGTTAGGGTTGCTGTCTAGTAAAAAAATAATTAATCTACTTATTTGTTATGAGGTACGTATGTAGGTAAGTACGCATTCATTATGGAAAACCTTGGGAGAGGCCTTTGCCCAGCAGTGGACGTCATTTATTTTGGCTGAAACGAACGAACGCATTCTGAGCAGTAGTCATGGTAGGTTAGGTTCCTATACTATCCTAACAATTATTGATTACCTACATGGTCAACATACCTTTCAGCATCTTTGGGAAGCGAAAAAAAAGATAAATCCGGTAGATTTCTTTTCGAATTTAAACACCCGAACGCCGCACAATAATATTTCTTTCTCTTTATGTCCATTTTTAAATAATACGTCGATCATAGAATTAGTTACTACAACGCACGCCAGCGTCCTGACGGGCACGCGCGTGACACTCGACTGATATAATACCCGCCGGCGGGGCGCTTCGCTGTAGGTAATTATCGGATGTACCGCGCGGAGTGAGCCAGGCCTGACAATAGTGGCTGCCTGTCGCGTGCATGTTTCCTTGCCTAATAATAGGCCAAAATTACCCCTAGCAATCGTTTCCACCCCTGTTTCTAATGAGTTCACCTGTTTTCTTTATTACTGTTTGCCACGTAATTCGAGTATTGTCTCCGTTTGTTTATCCTAAACATATTTCCAGTTATGTTTTTCTCCGTATTCGATATGCTGGTAGGGCCCAAAAGATAAGGAGACATGTAAAGTGCCCCATAAGGGCTACCTTTTCTTTTTTTATTATTTTCTATTGACGTTCATAAGTGCCACTTGTGGTCTAAACTGAATAAATATTTTTGATTTTGATTTTTGATTTTGATTTTGCTATTGAGTCTAAATAATTGAAACTAGTCATGATGTTCATAATGTGATTTACGAGCGCCGATTCAGATGCTTCTTATCGTTGGCTGTATTCATTTGCGTTTATTATTTACGAGAACGTAAGTATAGTGTGTATAATTCAGGCGCCTGGATAATAATTTATCATACCAGCAATGCTTGGGTAGACATTCTGATGCGTTCCGTTTGAAGTACTGCATTTGGTACGTTATATTGGTTGAACAGTGTTGATGAGATTTAATTGTTTATTGTTGCGCGCATCCCCTGGCTGGCGCATGTTTACTTTTCTGAAAATTAAACTTTGGGCAAGCATCTTATCACTCTTCCGAGGATCTCTGACTCACAGTTATTTGCAAAAATAACAACATAACGCATCAAAATAATGGTTCAGAGGAAATTCCTTTTGACAGAAATGTTTTTTCTGTATTTCTGCGAATCTATTACAATATCATCTTCAAGAACGTTGTAACACAACTGTATCACTATAGCGCACTAAGCACGTGGTCATGTGTTCATTGAAATATTTGCATTATTTCATTATACACATTTCAGTATCTTTGTACGCATGTTGTACTACTGAAACTAGACTGATGGATATTTTCATCAAAGTAAGCCTCTTCCACCTGGTCGTGTGTGAATATAGCCTTACGCGCGGGCACATAAAAGCTGTAAAACATGGTCGTTACCTCACCCTGAAATTAACTCGGGGTTGTTTATACACACGGGACGATTCCACTCATAAAGCGGTCGTTGGGTGAGTGTATTTCATGGAAGGCTGTAAATAAAGGCGTGTGTACGTTGAGGGAGCGCGAGGCGGGCGCGGGCGCCGCGCGACGCCGCCGTACCGCGAGGGTCGCCCTTGCGGCCGCGCGACGCTCCTCGCTATTTTCGGCCTCACATTCCTCGCGACTGTTTTTCAATCTAACGTGAAACGCATAACGCGCATGCCGCCTGTGCCTTTGTTTGCGCTCCCGCGATAAACGTACCGATACGTTGACGGTTTTGCCGCGGTTTACAAACTACTTTTTTTCTGTGTGTGCTCGATTTAACGACACCTGTGCGGTGAAATGTGCGTGTAGTGTCAAGTTTACCAGATAGGATAATGCAAAATAACAGTGAGTGGAACTGGTGCATTGGAAGCGTGATACGGACTAGTGCCTGAGTGGAGTTGAATGTGGCACTGATGGGGCCCACGCGGTTACCACCTACGCCTGAGGAGGAGGAGCCTCCTCAAGATGTTCCTCTGCTTTCATTGATCAAAACTCCGGACTCACCACCGATAAAATGCGATCTGTATGTCCTTTCAACTTATTTATTTCTTTATCGTTTAGCTGTGTTGTTTATGAAATCAATTTTTATCTTTGATTATTGCCTGATAACTACTATTTCGATTTAAAAGAGAAGCTATCTATTACAAAAATGTGTCTTATTTGTTAAATAAAAAGTAAATTAAGTAAAAATGTGCCCAGTACAGAGCATTAGTATTCCACATTTCCATTTCTAGTAAGAAACTGATAATATTTTCTTTACCGTAGTAGCTAACTAAGTAACCAACTATGTATCATAACAGTAAGTAAAAAAGAGTAAAACTTATAAAATAAAATTATTCAGTGTTTGAAACTTCCAAGTACGAGTATCGTACATAAGCATTTCTATTATAATCGTTTTCTGGTATAGTTAATGTAAACAGGTGTTTATTTATTTATTCATTTGCTACACTAACCAACAAGGTCGGAGTCATAATATGTACTACAAAACACGTTGTAGTCGAAACATATTGTTGATATTATGAATAGTAAATAGGTAATTACACTTACATTTTCAAAATTTATAGTTAACTTTAGTAGCGGTAAATATTAGTTGAATAGAATACATATCTGCTCGTGCAGATTTCTTGAAATAATGCTAGATAGAACATGATAATTTGAATATAAAATATTGAATCTCAGGTGAGATACGAACCCACGTTACCAGCTTGATACAAGTAAAAGATATTTATAATGTGTCACTCACCACTCGCTAGATTCGTCCTTTGGTTTCAATGAAAACGTCTAAATTTAATCGGCACGATTGTTTACATATTTCATGGAAGTCGAATTTAACTCATCAACTATTTCTATAACGACACGTAGATTGGTCTTGTATGCGGTATCCCGTGACGTCATCGCGAGCGGATGGCCGACGACTCGGCGCGGTCTCATGAAACGCACTTTGTAACTCGAAAGCGTCACAATTCACGACTTCTGCCGCCCACCACATTCATGGGCGGTTTAATTCATGCCTGTAGAGACAAATTGTAGCAGGGCAGGCTAATGATGATGAGAGACAAATTGTGTGCCCTATTAATACGTGTCGCTACCCTTTATTTTCATCTCCAAATAAACAAATGAACGGCTTTTATTGTGCAAAATTGGGTTAAAGCGTTTATGCAAACTCCGTTGGCTCCTACAGCTACACACCGACGTTTATCTTTTAATAACCAATAAATTCGCTTTAATTTCCTTAACATGTAAATATTTAATTACTTCTTTCTTTGAGAATGACCTTTGCGTTGCGATTAAGGGCCGATTTTTCAATCGTCAGATAACTTTAAACTGAAGAATAACTTTGGCACATTGACAGTTTTAGTATTGGAATTATGTCAAAATGACAAGTTTATTCTATAGTTAAAAGATATCTGACGATTGAAAAATCAGCCCTAAAAAAACAAACCGTGAAGATATCGAGTTATTCTTCCGTCCAAAATAATCCATATTAGAGTTAGACCGGAAACAGTGAACTTTTTCCGGGTTTAATGAAATTTACACTGTTTGAATATTAAGGTAAAGAGATCTTCGTTCCGTTTTCTATCCATCTTTGTCTCTAACTTTTTTTGCATAATTTGATATGTCGAGTATCATGTAGCTCAGTTGCCAGTCTGTCATAATTAAATAACATAAATATCCTTCATTTAAACCTATGGTTTACGACGTGTAATGTTATATCAATCGATGATCAATAGAGCATAACAAAAGGTGACTAGCTATTTTAGCAGTAATGTCCATAAGAAAAGCGTCTATATTTGAATGGAGTATGTTTCCTGGTCCACATATGTTTTTTATCATAACTATGAAATTATTTTGTTGCGATTGAAGACTCGGTAATCGTTTCCTTTCTTCCTGGTTTATGTATATTTATTTAATTAAAAGTTGGGAGTTATCGCAAATACAAAGATGATAATATTCTATTAAACAAAAATGTATATTCATTTTACATGTACTCCAAGAGCGAAAATGGTATTTCAGTTATTGCCCATCATTCCCCATCAGCTTTAGACCATTAAAACCCTTGCTCTTTTCTAACGTTACGGAAAGGACTTCTTCAGAGTTCGGAGTTAGCCATCCATATGTTAATTCCTTCAAATTAGCAGACTTTTTTCAACATAAGGTTCCGTATGTACGGAGTCCGTACGATCAAGTTGGCACATCAAGCCTAGGACATCTTATACACTTGTATTAGGTGATATTTCGCAATACAATAGTGTATTCCGATGTGCTTTCGACTGTACAACAGCTTATAAATACTCAAAGCATGTATGTTTTTATATGTCCGACTTCGTCATTGGCAAACACAAAAAGTTTTCGATATGCATGATTTATTGTAGATTTAGTACCAGACGCTTCAAACAAAACAACCGTGCTTATTCAATACGCACTTCTTATCTATTTTTCAACGAACATGTTACGATGGAAATATGTGTTTTCATTGGTGGAAATATGAATGAACATACTACAATGTAATAGGTATTCTTTTAGTAGTGCGGGAACATCACGAATTAAATGTAAACGATATGAAGTAATATGTATAAGTAACCAAATAAGCCGTAGAATGACAGAAGATTTGTACTGTATCTTTTAACGAACGATAATGCTGTTTCACGAGAGGTACAGTTTTTTTCTTGAGCGAACAGAAACTTTGCCTGTATGATACAGTGGTCGTAGGACAGCCTAGGTCAGAAAGGATGGTATAATATTATCCATCAGTGGACGACAATTTTCCTATATTTGTTATAGCATAACCACAACATCACCACGGAAAGACGTAATGCAAGCCTCCCCCACCCGTTATACCGGCGATCTGGTGAAGTATGCATGAAGCGCAGAACAGGTCGCTGTAAACATCCTTAGGAGGCCTTTGTCCTTAAATGTTCTGCTTTCGGCTACTCGGCTTTCCTATCATTTTTTGTGGAAAAAAAAACTGTTATGACGGTACTCTTTACCACCAACTCAATTGCGTAGTGGACTCCCTAGTCAATTGCCATAATTTAATGAGTTCTCAAAACACGACACTGCCATAGAGTTTGTATGGCAATGGGGAATATGGCGTCATCAGGTCGCGAACTCAATTGACACGAACAAAATTTAGTTTAGGTATCGGGACTATTCCCACCTCTCGTCTCCACCACTGCAACTCCTGTGAAGCCAGGATCTACAGCTTGACCGCCAGTAAAAACCCAACCAGTAAAGGTCAAGTTTGTCCCGGGGGAATGTTAAACTGTCATTGGACCCGCAACGAAATTAATCAGAAGAACATAGGAGGAATTTGAAGTTAAGGTTCGACTTCCCTCCATTGCAAAATGGATGACAGGTGACAAACAAAGGTTTAGTAGCAACCTATAAGAAAAGATATGCACCACGGGGTACCTATCTTATGAGCTACCTGCCAATAATATTTATCACAAAATAGATTAAAAGCACGGAAATGTTTCCTTGTTGCGACAAGATCGATGTAATAAATTGCAGAAACAGATGTAGGTGTTGTATTAAATTAAGCATTATGTCACGTCCATGTTTCCAAAGATCACACTCCCACAAGATATGATGGGCAGACTGCTCATGACTGACTTCATAAGTGGTTAGTTAGTTTAGGTATGCTAACTGCAACTGTCCTTTTGTTGCAGGGTGCTGGGCCCGACGGCGGTGCTGCAGCTGGCCGAGCGCGACGAGCCGCCGCCCACCAACGCGCGCCCTCTCTACTCCTTCGCCATGCGCGGCGCCGTCATATGCTTCTCCGGCTTCCGGAAGAAGGATGAGCTTGTAAGTACCACACTTTTTCAGACACTTACGAGAATCCTACGATTCTATATTGTTCAGTTCAGACCACACATGGAAATGCTGTATAGCTTTGGCCACTGGCATACGGAATAGGGAATTTTAGAGGCTACGCAAACGTAGACACTTTTAGTTACCGATACGGCACACCATCACAGGGAAAGATGGTGTAATGGTGTCAAGTAAAAGCAACTCGGCATAAAAAGTGGCGCAGAGTGGCTGATTTCAAAGAAATATTCACTGGTTGGTAGCTTGTTTTACCACACAAGATATGTGTCTTAAGTTTTTGTACAGCCTTTTACGAATTTGCGAATACATCATAAAGTTTTCTTTTTTACCGATTAGTCCGCCACAATACTGAAACTACGTATTTCTTTTGTTCCTTTTCAACCAAGGCGATTACGTCTATTAACCTTAAACATTTAACATACCGATGTTAAGTATTTAAAAATTCCTTGTAGCAATAAACTATTTTAAATTCGTTAGTATTATGGTAGTCTCGCTTGACGAAACTTTAAATATAAACAGTAAAGCGTTGAATTTTATTAGTGATGGTAGATTAAACAAATGCATTCATAAATTATATTCCTGAAAAGGAATTTGACCTTCAATTAAACTTAGCCTTTTCTTCATCTTCTTCTTCTTCGTCTTAGCCCGTGGTTCTGTTCATGTGGGTTTCAAAAGCCACATTTACGCGTGATGGATGTGTTCTTAAGAAATTACTTTTTAGAAGAATTTAAATTCACTAGCGAAGACACGGCCAATGTCTAGTACTAGTATAAATACAGGGTTATCCTTTCCAGACGTACCTGATAAACCTAATACACTACATGGGCGGCTCGATCCGAAAGGACATGTCGAGTAAAGTGACGCACCTCATAGCGGCGGCGGCTACCGGTGAGAAATACCGGTACGCGTCCGGTTTCGGGCTACCGGTGCTGGCCAGCTCGTGGGTCGACGCTTGCTGGCAGCGCCGGGACGACCCCGCATGCTCTGCCACAGATGATGATATTATTGTAAGTACTCTTCTTGCTTATGCTTCAACCACACCAAGGTCGCGCGACCCATGATAGTTCACGCGACTTGTCATTTCCCTATGATCGCGCCGGCGATGGCGATCCGCACGCGTTGGTGTGGTTGAAGCTATAATATGGTAGTAAAAACTATGAGTTGGCAACGAATTTATCTTGGTCGTCAGATAATAATCAGTTGAGTTCAAATCGCGGTATCCTAATCAAACTGAGACATACTGATAAAGTGAAGCCGTTCTCTAAAAAATAATACTAGAATTTAATAAAATTCTAGCGTCTTCTTAGCCGAGGCGCAGACCATCGATTTTTCGTCGACCGATAGTTTATTCGAGCAGTTGATCAGTATGGGCATGTATGGAAGTGCGCACATTACACCGATTTGATTTGGCCGATTCTTCTTACAAATTAAAATCGGGCCCAACTATCGGCCAACTAAAAATCGGTGGTCTGCGCCTAGTCTTAAAGATAAAATATTTAGGATATGATTTGAAATGCCTTCGAAATATTTGTATAGTTAATAAGTAGATAAATGTGTGAGAATGATTATGACAAAGCCCCTTTTCTTGCAGAAAGAGCATAAGCTAAAAGTGTTCGCCGGCGCTCGCGTGTGCTTCGTGGGCTTCCCCGAGGATGAGACGCAGCATATGGCCGAGGTCCTGGCCAGCAATGGCGGCAGCACCTGTCCGCTCGACGATCCCGATTGCACGCACGTCGTGAGTACTTCTTTCTACTACTACACCACACAACCACTGTAAAATTCAAAACTTCTACCAACCAAGGCAAAGAACACAAACACTACGCATTTTATTTTAATTGCAGAACATTTACCCCCGAATACTTTGCATACCTGATTATTTATATACTTTATGCCACATTAGTACTAATTTTAGCCTTATGAAGTCAGCATGCACGTAGCACCTTGGGATCACAAATCACTCTTTAGTTAGTTACATAGTAGACAATATAAATTAGCTAGTTGCTCATTATTTCGGTACGACGACAAGTTTTATATTACACCTCCTACCTTCTTCCGATGACTGCACTATTTAGGATGCGATCTTCAATGTCAGCCATTGTTTGTTTAACAGTTTACCTACAAACATTATTACTTCATTGCGGCTCAATGCCACAGCCTAGCGATTACATAAGCAAACATTTGCGTTTTAATATTCCGAATTGTAACCGCAATTTTGTTGAACAAACATTCATATCATGTTTTATGTTTACTATTCATACAAGTTGTTGAATATATCATTATACATTTATTTTACGGTACGCAAACACTTGAGGGTGCTGACTCCGTCTCCCTACCACGTCCCTGACCGCACGGCGTTAAGTCGACCCATTGTTTTGTTTGTTTTATCACAATTCACCTTTCAATGTTTTGTCAAATGGTATATGATGTCATCTATGTAGATATGCACCTACTCATTTTGCTTAAACACTCATTTCACGTGCATAAAAAAATATAAAATCACAAAAGTGTTTGTTTCGTTAGTCTATGTTTATAATGCTTGTGTCTGCACAAAACTTTCGTCGGAGTGTTGTGGATACACAGACATTTCCGAACCGTCCGCGGAGTACTCACATCTTGAACGATCTTCGCTACTGAAAACGTTACTTGAAAACTGCTGACTATTAAAAATAGAATCAGATGCTACAAACAATCTTTGCTCTTGTCTATTGCTTTCTCTGTGTTTAACTGCCTATGTCACGATAAATACAGTCGTGCATGTTTGTATCGGAATGGCTTCATTACATCATTGCGTGGTGTGTTTCACACATGTTTCAGGTAATGGCCAATGGGGAGACTTTCGGTCGTTCGCTTATCCTGTCACCTCACCCGAACACACCCAACTCCTCCGCAAAGCCCTCCCGCGCCACTCCCAATCGCTCTCAGTCCACTCCCAAAAGCTCTCTCTACCGCAGGCTGTCCGCCAGGCTCTCGGGCCGACGCAACAGCCCTAACGTGCAAAGCGCCGACGCTGTAGACGACCAAGCTCACGACCAAAGGGAAAAACGAATACAACTCGCAAGAAACAGTATTAGAGAAAAACAATTAGCTGGCAAAGACCAGCTCGATACCAGTATTATGTATGTAGGAAAGTCTTTCTTTGATGATATGTGTTCAAACAACGACAGCAAAAGCCCCTCAAACATCGAACATGTTGAGTTAAGGAAATATAAATCTCCTGGCAAAGAAAACAAAGATATGTCTCAACTAGCTCACGACACTAATAAACTAAATGTTAAGGATAAACGAGAAGTATTTAGAAATAAATCTATAAACGTATTTAATTTAGTAGATTGTTTAACGGAGGCGGGATCTCTCCATTCTTCCCTGACTAAAAGTTTATGTGACTTAGATGCTAAAGATGATTTATTACAACCGAACTCGGCCACTAACAAGGAGTTACAGCAGTCGACCACCACAATTTCGTCAGGAAAGAAGAGGAGTCGAAATTCTACTGACTCTAATTTCCATGTCAGCTCCGTGGACGCTAATCTCTCTCCAGACAAAGGGGAAGAGAGCAATTGGAAGTCGATAAAAAGATTAAAAATCAAAGATTCCTTCAAGTTTAAGAATAGGCCTACTATTTTCAAAAGAACCAAGAAAGATTCTGTATCGAAAACTACGGGCGATATAACCGTTGAACCGGTGAGCCCAGAGAGTGTAAAGCCGACCGATCCGGCCGGGGAATATATCGCTTCTACATCCTCGCCTATCAGAGAAGACGACAATACCTCAATCTGTTCAATAAATACTAGTAAACAATCAGGATTTTTTGATATTTCGTTCGCCTCAATAAGGAGTTCTAAAACTGTCAAATCTGCATCCAAACTACGCAGGAGTGTGAAGTCATTTACCGCTTCCTTCAGGAGCGAAAGGAAGAAGAAATACGAAAAGAGGTCCGACAGAAACACAGTCGAAGTCGACGCCTGCCATTTGCCACCCGATTTCAGGAACGTATCTACACCAAAGAGGGAGCTAGACGAGATGAACTTGGACATTTCACCCGTGCAAGTGGACACGGTGGACAGCACGGAAATGACGACCCCGCTGAAAGGGCCCGAGGTAGACGAGCTAGACGAGTCCACGGTTTTTAAAACGCCTCAGAGCGTCTGGCTGAGAGCTCACCGCCACTCGATATGCGTGGCGCCCCCTCCCGTCCCGCCCGCCCCGCCCGCGCGCGACCAGCCGCCGCCCGCCTCGTCGCTCCCCATCCGCGACGCTCGCGCCATATCGCAATGCCATGGAATATCGCTGCCGGTACTAACACCATTTAATTCAGTACTAAATATTAGTTTTAGATTAACGTGCCACTCAATTTTTCCTCCGATTTTAAGATCCGATTACGATCAGGGACCTAACTTCATTTTCCTCGCTGGGTGCATGCCTGTTACGAACGGAACATCGTCACCACAGTTCGAACGCTTCGTAGGGCGTGCACATCTGGGTACGCTGTATCTATAAAAATTAGGCCGAGGAATGCTCAGCGGCAACTTAGAAAATCGGTGGTGGTTATAGAGTAGTCGCCGAGATGGTTGGACGCATAGTAATGGTTGTATTATTCAGGTGGTGGACGAGCACAACACAGTTATCGCGCCGGAGTGCAACCCGCGGGCGCACATCGTCAAAGCCGAGTGGTTCTGGGCGTCCGTCCAGAACGAGGAGGCGCAGGATGAGAAGGATTATCTGTACAAAGATGTAAGTGTCCTCAAGATATTTATTAAATTAATGTTTTTGTTAATTACCCATTTACTTTTTATTGTGAGTCTTGTTTAATATGATAAAATAGAGTATCTCTACCATGTTAACGAGTTGTTTTAGAACAATTTTATTGTTGATGATATTTATTTATTTAGGAAAACCAGAGTTTTACAGTGTTTTATTTTTCTGTTTTATATTTTTAATTTGAATTAGTAACTTAACAAATTATCGATACCACCATACCATACAGTACTGATAACAGATCAACTAAAATAGAAAAACATGGGTATTAATGCGACATTTATGATTGTGTTACATTATGTACTCACAGTTTGACGTTTCGGCTGCTATGCTGCAGCCGTGGTCACAAGCAGACTACATACAGATTGTTTCATAGTAGAGATGAGACGTATTTACTAGAACAGATCCACACACTAGGTATTTTACAGTACTAAGTGGCACCTATTCCAATTTTTAAAATACTTGATCCACCTAGTATTTTTTAAATTACACGATTTCCGACCCTACCATCAAAGTAATAGAGGTTATTATTGCATAATCCGTAGTCGTCCACCTAGTATTTTTTAAATTGTACGATTTCCGACCCTACCATCAAAGTAATAGAGGTTATTATTGCATAATCCGTAGTCGTGTATTACGCGCACCGCGTATTTCTCGCTAAGCTTATGTGCGAACGTAGAGATTCACTCCGTCTCTGTCTGACAAACAAATTTGAGCGCAGGCAGGTGTGAGATAGGAATAGCCTGTCGAAGTATGAAGGGAGGATATCAATAAATCAACAGCCCGCAAAAACATTATTATTCAATTTCAAATTGCATTATTAATACTACGGTTGTATCTTTTCAAAGAAAATTGTATTTTAAAGTCATAATACGTGGATTAGTCCGCACTAGTCGCGTCAAGTATGGTAAATTACTACGTACTAGGTGGAATAGGTATTTGGATCAAGTATTAATAAATACTTGGAATAGGTGCACCTAGTATCAAATTTACCTAGTATAACCCATCTCTATTTCATAGGGTCTATAGTAGTATGTTTCGTGTTTAGTACCTCAGCGAGTTGTCGCGGCGTTCGTCCGTGGGCGGCGCGTGCGCGGGCGCGCTAAGCGAGGAAGGCACGGGCACGCCGGGCGCAGGCGTGGGCTCGGGCAACGCGGGCGCGGGCAGCACGCCGGCCCAGCTGCAGCGGCTTCGCAAGCGCAAGCTGAAAGGAGGCGACGCTGCGTTGCACAAGCGACGATCGTCTGTGGGCGACGCAGTTCTTCTAAGTTTGTCTGGAAACCTTCTGGATTGCACGCCCTCGCCAGATGGCAAGCAGCTATTAGAAGGTTAGTATCATGCGAAATCAGGTAATTTGTTTTACGCGCAAGCGCAAGCTGAAAGGGGGCGATGCTGCGCTGCATAAGCGACGCTCGTCTGTGGGCGACGCGGTTCTTCTCAGCTTGTCTGGAAACCTGCTAGACTGCACGCCCTCGCCGGATGGCAAGCAGCTATTAGAAGGTTAGTGTCATGCGAGATCAGATTTACAGACATTGTTTACGTGCTAGCGCAAGTTGAAAGGAGGCGACGCGGCTTTGCATAAGAGACGATCGTCTGTGGGAGATGCGGTTCTTCTCAGCTTATCTGGGAACCTTCTGGACTGCACGCCCTCGCCGGATGGCAAGCAGCTATTAGAAGGTTAGTATTATGCGAGATCAGATTTACAGACATTGTTTACGTGCTAGCGCAAGTTAAAAGGGGGCGACGCCGCGTTGCACAAGAGACGATCGTCTGTGGGAGATGCGGTTCTTCTCAGCTTGTCTGGGAACCTTCTGGATTGCACGCCCTCGCCAGATGGCAAGCAGCTATTAGAAGGTTAGTACTGTGCGAGATCCGATGTATTAACGAGCTAGCGCAAGCTACGCGGGGGCAATGTCGCGTTGCACAAGAGACGCTCGTCTGTTTAAATTGCATGCCCTCGCCCGATGGCAAGCAACTATTAGAAGGTTAGTATCATGCGAAATCAGGTAAAGTTTTTACGCGCAAGCGCAAGCTGAAAGGAGGCGACGCGGCTTTGCATAAGAGACGATCGTCTGTGGGAGATGCGGTTCTTCTCAGCTTGTCTGGGAACCTGCTAGACTGCACGCCCTCGCCAGATGGCAAGCAGCTATTAGAAGGTTAGTATCATGCGAAATCAGATACATTGTTTACATGCTAGCACAAGTTAAAAGGGGGCGACGTCGCGTTGCACAAACGACGCTCGTCTGTGGGCGACGCAGTTCTTTTCAGCTTATCTGGCAACCTGCTGGATTGCACGCCCTCGCCGGATGGCAAGCAGCTATTAGAAGGTTAGTAAAATCAGGTACATTTTTTACTCGCAAGCGCAAGCTGAAAGGGGGCGACGCTCGTCTGTGGGAGATGCGGTTCATCTCAGCTTGTCTGGGAACCTGCTAGACTGCACGCCCTCGCCAGATGGCAAGCAGCTATTAGAAGGTTAGTGTCATGCGAGATCAGATTTACAAACATTGTTTTTTGCCCCCTTTCAACTTGCGCTAGCACGTAGCGCAAGCTGAAAGGGGGCGACGCTGCGTTGCACAAGCGACGCTCGTCTGTGGGAGATGCGGTTCTTCTCAGCTTGTCTGGAAACCTGCTAGACTGCACGCCCTCGCCGGATGGCAAGCAGCTTTTAGAAGGTTAGTACTGTGTATATGTAGATTATATTATTTACGAGTTAGCGCAAGCTGCGCGTGGGGGCGACGCGACACTGCGTTGCGCAAGTGATGCTCCCCCGTGGAAGATGCTGTATTGCTGAGTCTATCAGGGAACCTGCTGGATTGTACGCCCTCTCTAGATGGCAAGCAGCTATTAGAAGGTATGAGATTAGTTTGAAACATTACTTACGAGTCAGCGCAATCTGCGCGGGATTGATGCCGCGCTACACAAGCGGTGCTCGTCTGTGAGAGGTTCCGTGCTGCTGAGTCTATCAGGGACGCTCCCGGCCACTTGCAAGTAGCTACTGTGCGAGATCAGATACATTATCGAGATACCGTTACACTTCAAATTGATGTCGTCCTAAATACCTTATTATCCTAAAGTTGAATACCGCTAAACATAAAACACTCGTAAACATTTAGACTGAATTGAAATGATTTCCTATATTACATTGAAGTTCTGATTTTTTCTGGAAAGTTTTTACGGCCAATTATTCCTAGAAAATGCCATTATTCAACTAACTAATGAATTGTGATATCTAAGAAATTGCAATCGCAAACTACACCAAATGACTAAGAAGAAGTAAGGAAGGAAATTGTACGGCGTTTTCTACGAAATATCCGCCTCATCGGCGAAACGTAACATTTATCTTGATATTGTATAATTTGATATTGAGTAATAAAATAATCGTTTTGTTATAGAATCGGAAGTTCCAGACAATGTTGTCAGGAAATTGATGTCCCCTCGACACCAAGTCTTCATGGAGCTCCTCCAAACGGAATCCAACTACGTTGGGATATTGCATACTATAGTCACTGTAAGTATTCATCATTAAGTCGATTGTCATGTATTTATGAAATATAATGGATACTTATAGATCTTACTATTGTTTTAGATGTTCAAACAACCCTTGGAAGAAATGGTGGAGGAGGAAATCAGTAATGGGAAAATTCAAGCATTGCTCAATAACACAGAACTGAAAAATATTTTTGGAAACTTACCGCCTATTTATGAATTGCATCAGTAAGTACCTATACAAATCATCTTGCAAGCAAACCAGTATCTTATTTACAAAACTCACAAAACTCAGTAGTTCAGTGTACCAATTAGCTCACCAAATTTTTCTTGTAAACAAACATTATTGAGTCACAACTTTGCTTTTCCTTTCGTTTATTCTTGATGTAAATGTATTGGATGATCGTTCCTAATTCATAAGTTACGATCGTTGATTCAATTGAATCTAAATGTTACCTTATGTTACTGTTATTGCCGCAATGTTGCTGTGCAATATTGCCAGAAACAATTTCGTTACCGTAATGTTCTGTGGCGCAGGTGGCATGCTAGAAAAGCTAGCTTAATTTCTCTCATACCTAATAACCGTAATGTTACCGGGCCACATTTCTAGAGACAAACTCAGGTGCATGCTAGAAGAGCTGAGTTAATTTTATCCGAACGTTACCTATTATACTGTTAACTACCCCAATGTCGCTGGGCAATATTGCCAGAAACAGTTTCGTTACCAATAAGTTCCGTATTGTCTTGTCGAAGTTTCGTTACCAAAGTTTTCCGCGTCGCAGGTGTTGACTTAATTTTATCAGACTGCTACCATTATGCCAGAAACAGTCTCGTTACCACTGTTCTGTGTCGCAGTTTTCTTACCAAAGTTTTCCGTGTCGCAGGCGCATGCAGGAGGAGTTGACTCAATTTTATCCAAGTGTTACCATAGATTGATATGTACTCTTAATTACCGCAATGATGCCGTGCAATATTTCCAAGACAATCAAGTGTTTCGTGTCGCGCGCATGTTAGAGGAGCGGACTTAATTTTATCCAAATGTTACCTATCATACTGTTAACTACAGGAATGTTACTGGTTTTTTTTTTGTCAGAATCTATTTACCAAAGTTTCCGTATCGCAGGCGCATGCTGGAGGAGCTGCGGTTCACGGCGGCGCACTGGAGCGAGGAGGTGAGCATCGGGCGGCTGGTGCTGCGCTACACGCCCGACATGCTCAAAGCATACCCGCCCTTCATCAACTTCTTCGAGAACACCAAGGACATGCTGCAACAATGCGACCGTGAGAACCCAAGGTTACACTGCTTATTTTTTGTTTTGTGATGTTTTTACGGCGTATTGTAAAAGGGATTTAGTACGACACGTTCTTTTGGCCCGGTTTCCACCAAGGCGGAGCGGAGAATTTATAATAATGATTTACCTACCACCAATCAAATGTCATTCAGATTGAATAAAAATTAAATTGATAAAATGAAATCAGATTGGTTATTCAAAACATTTCTCCGTGTGGTGCCGTGTGGTGACGGCAGAGTAGAATACATTTGTCACCAACCCCTACTCTTCCCGCGGGTGTCGTAAGAGGCGACTTAGGATCCACACATCAAACAGAGAACGGGCAGCAGCGCTCTCTGAAAAACATCAATCTTTTAAACTGCGATCTCCAACCCGCCTGCCAAGCGTGGGGATTATGGCAAAACCCTCCACTATAGTGGAGGAGGCTTATAGTCCAGCAGTGGACTGTAAAGGGCTGTTGATGATGAATATTTCAAAATGATACTCAGTATATATCTCACATACTTTACAAATGATACAAATGATTCTGTTTTCGTTTTCAGATTTCATGCATTCCTAAAAATCTGTCAGACCAAACCAGAGTGTGGCCGACAAAGTTTACAAGAACTTTTAATACGACCAGTGCAGCGTCTACCTAGTGTTAGTTTATTACTCGACGGTAAGTAGTGATTTCTAATGATGCTGTAAAGGCTGCAGTTTGTGCCGCGGGAAAGATAAGCGACCGATTCGGAAGACCGCAACCGTCACTTTTGACTTTATGAAATGTATGCATATCATTTCGCGAGCGAATCTTATGCCCGTTTTCACCATCAATCCCTAATTTATAAGGGGTCACTTAAAAATTAGGGATTGATGGTGAAAACGGGCATTACTCTCGGTCGCTTGTCTCTGTCGCGGTGCGAATCGCCGCCTTTAGTCTGCGGGCACGAAACTGGCGACGGCCGAGCGGGAATAGTATTGCGATCGCTCCGCTCCACCCCGCCCGTTTCGTGCGCGTCACCATATACTGTCATATTGTTGTATGCATCGCAACCGCTCGGCCCGTCGCCAGTTTCGTGCCCGCAGACTTAGGACCAGAACAAACGGTGAAACGCAACTGCAACGAAACTGCAACTTTGTAATTATTCTGATGAATGAAACTGAAAACTAAAAGTTTCAAACTGGTCGCGTCATGTGTGGTCTCTCAACGCACGTTATGGCAGAAACTTAGATGCAACTCAAAAGTAACTAGCAGTTGCAGTTTCGTTGCAGTTGCGTTTCACCGTCTGTTCTGGGCCTTAGAGTGCGATTGAACTAGAATAGTCTTATAAAATAAACAAATTGTAACCTTCGTGCTTATATTGCAGACATACTGAAGCACACGCACAAGAACAACCCGGACCACGCGCTGCTGGAGTCGGCGCTGGCCGGGCTGCGCGAGGTCATGTCGCACATCAACGAGGACAAGCGCAAGACCGAGGGCCAGCTGCAGATGTTCGACATCTACAACGACATCGAGCAGTGCCCGGTAACTACACCACACACTACACTAAAGCCTGGTTCGTGGGCACGTAGAATTTTGTCCAATGACCCCAAGCTACCCATCCTTATCGCTCGCGCGTAAATATGTTGCTGTCCCGCTCGCACACTCACTGCAGGCGCCCGTCGCACAGTCGCGACAGCAATATAATTACGCGCGAGCAATAAGGATGGGTAGCTTGGGGTCATTGGACAAAATTCTACGTGCTCACGGACCAGGCTTTACACTACATAAGGCCGAGTCCGCGCTACGGCTAAACCGCCGCGGTTTTTAACCGCGTAATTTTATAACCAAGTAAAACTAATGCAAGCGTCCACACTACAACTTCTCCTGCGCATACGATTCGGGTGGTCTCGGTGTTTGGCGGTTTACCGCTTGCGGGAAAAAACCGTAATGCAGACTCGGCCTTACAGTTGACAGGACTTTTCCTACCTTTCATTCTTCTAACCGCTGCAACTCCTGTGTAACCAGGATCACAGCTTGACTGCCAGTAAAAATCCGAGAACAACGTAGATCACGTAGCGCATAGGAACTTGCAACCCGCTGTTTTTTATGTTATGCGTGTCACGTATATCGGACCCCTACTGAATAAACATTTTTTTAAAAGCAACATGTGTTACTTAGTAACTTCCATTATATTCTTAGAACAAAATAATAACACTGACCTATGACTAGTAGAGAATGCCACCTGAAATTAAGTCCGTCACTGTACAATAATTTAGTGCTTGAAGTTTGAATAAATGCATGAAGATGGTAGTACTTTGTGAATTCATGGACTAGAATCTCGCAACGACGCATGTAGTAGTAACTCCAGCCTTTTATATAAATATAACAGCCAGCTTTTTATTATATTGCATTATGAAACAACAACAAAAAAGTAACAATAATATTGTTTGGCAGCCTCACCTCGTGTCCTCCCACCGAACGTTCGTGGCGCGCTGCGAGGTGGTGGAGCTGTCGAAAGAGCTGTCGGGGCGCGGCGATCATCTCGTATTGTTTCTCTTCACCGACACGATGGAGGTGTGCAAGAAAAGATCCAAAGTAAGTGTCCTAAAACCGGCCTTATAATATTAATTTATCTGACGTTTGTGTCGTGAATCATCAGAAGAATCAGTTTCAATTATTTACTACAGTAACAAACCGGCCTTATATTTGTCTCACGCATCATAACAGAATAGGTTTCGAAAATTTAGTATTGAACGTTTAAACTAATAAAGAGTTGTGTCGTGTCGTGATGGTTTCTGACATGTCACATACTCAATATCCGATTCTGTTCTGATGCGTCACTACAAAATACGTCAGACAAATATGAATCCGGCATGACACGCTTCCACATTCGTGCAACTACTCACGCATTGAATGTACACAAGCTATCAAGATATCATTGACCTAATTTGTACTTTGTTTCAGGCTTTTAATTCTAAAAGTCCTACGAACGGCACAAGCACGATGAGAATAGGATCGAGTAAACCTTACAGGCATATATCGCTAATGCCGCTAAGTACAGTGAAACGAGTTGTGGATATCAGAGAAGCAGAAGGTAATATATTTTTTAAAACACTAATTACACATTATGTAATTTCTTTTTTATGCTTATAAATTAAATTATGATTTTCAGACTGTCACAATGTGTTTGCACTGATGTGCCGGAGTAACCAGGAGCTGAAAGAGAAATTGTACTCGTTTATGATCACAGACGAAACAGTGGACAAATCACACTTCCTAAGACAGCTCTGTAGGCAGATGGCCAACACTGTCTGCAAAGCGGATGCCGTAAGTTGATAATATTCATTGAACATACAAATTGATTAATTAATTACTTCTTAAACATGCGTTATTTATTGTATTGTAAACTTAATTGGTTATCAAGACTTTGTCTTGCAAATATTGTAAAAAAATGTTCATCACTCAACAGTACTATCGGCAATAGTGTTAACTGCCCATTGCCGGTCATGTCGTCTCGTTCTATCGCAAAGAATCACCATTTGATGAGAGCGAGAGCAAAAACGGAAATGGATAGTTAACACTGTGGCCGTGTGTACTAGAAAACACCTGCAGAGTGTTCCAAGTCCCATGTAATCATACTGATCCTTAGCATAGAACACGATTCATAAACATCCCGTGTGTCACAGGACAAGTTCCTCGCGTGTCTGGAGTCGCATCAACTAGACATCGACACCAGTGACCTGGCTCTCAGCACGCTCTCCAAAGTATCCAAATTCGCAGCGCGCACACGCATCAAGGTACGTCCGCAGTAACCACATATAAAGCCCGTAACACCGCACGTATACCCTCACGGTAATTTTGGTTACACTAGACGTAGCAAACCTCCCACTCGGTAGTCATCTTCTCCGGGCACCAAAATTATCAATTTCAATCATAATGATAGAAACTATAGAGCATGATCTAGATATAAGTTGTATCTAGCTTAGCTTATTTAAAAGTAACTAATAATAACCAGTCTATCAGTATATTATTACTACAGATAAAACTGCTACATGCGATATCGTTAAAAATCAGTAATGTCCGTCTTGTATGTGTAACTAAGGCATGAAAGTGTAAATCGATATGTTTCGCATTCGATCTAATCATTTCGATCAATCATGTGAATTCAAAAATATTAAAACAGATACGAGAAGCATTTGAAAGATTTCTGGGTCCGAAATATATTTGCAAGACATTGTGAGGAGGTACACACTGTATAAAGCGAGTAACATGGCGGTGGAATTTAGTTAACGGTAGTGTATTACAGTAGAGACACAGGTTTAATATCCACACAGCGGCTTAACGTCTATTTTGGATTGTTATTATAACAGCTGTAATTGGTTTACATTTCAAAAATTATAAAGGGTTGTCGCAGTCGCACATCGTTTCACAATTAAGGTGCAAATTGAACCACTTTAAAGATAATGTAAATGAATTAAGCAACTGCTCAGTAAGACTATTAGCTTTGCTTTGTCCATATGAAAACTTCGTAGCTATCGATAAATTACAGTACACTACACAAATTGCGTCTGTGATGTTAATAGACAGCCCTTAACGAATTTTTTTGCCATTCAATGAAATGTGGAGAGTACCTTCTCGGGTACCGCACGACGTTAAAAAACTGTGTGCATAATAGAACTGTGGTAGCAGTGAGTACTTGAGTAGCCTCGGAGCTGGGACTGAGCGGGCGTTGTGTTGTAGCTGGAGGCGCTGGCCGGGCTGGGCGGCTGGCTGCGCGCCGAGCCGGGCGCCGGGCTGTTAGACACATGGGTATTGCGCGCTCACTTACTCGCACAGGTCTGACGCGTCTCTGCCACACTCCTCGCCACCTTCCCGACTAATCGATGTCGTCGGCTATTTGTATTGCTCGTTGATTTACAGAAGGTCGTTAGTTTACAAAGCATATGGGCTGTTACATAAACCTGAAGATTGTTGATGATTTAAGGACATTCTGCAGTTTAGAAGTCTGTCGAGAGTCGAGACGCTGTTTACATAGTTTCGGATCTATCTGTCACCGTCGCTAGCCTCTCGCTTTGCGTGAGTGAGATTGCAAATTTTTTTTTTAAGTAAAGTTGTTAACCCCGTTGAATTGTATTTTCAATCAGCGTAATTATTATAAAAAAACTCAGGATGATATAAATACAGGTCTTACGGTACATAAAAAAATCTAGTTATAAACGCTCTCAAAACATGTATCCTTTTTTGCAGTCGAATGATAAAATGACGACACATTTAACGTTTACTTTGTGATTTCAAAAACCTGCGAGCTTGTAAACAGACGATGCTATTTGTAAAGAACGAGTGATACACTTTGCCGACGACAGATATACTGCTTTCTGTGTTGGAGCCAGTGCGAGCCGTATCTGTCTTGTGCCGTTCGCTTCATCGCGTCGCACAGGCGCTGGTTGTGGGAGCACCCGGTTGTCATGTCATTTCGTTGGCCCTCTCATTCGGAGTAGACACAGGAATCAGTGTGATGTGTGTATTATAATTAAAATAAAGGTCATTGCTTTCACAATGACTCACATTTACAGCTTTTTAATACAATACTAAACAAGAATCATAGCGTCATTGTAGCGTACTTTGTTTGGTATGAATGACGAAACATTTTACAGGTGACGAGTATTTTTAGAGGAAGATTCAGAGGAGTGAATGTTAAAATAATGCTTCGCTTTACACATTTTGTTATTAACCGGTTTCGTAAGCGTGCCATACCTATGGTTTTGGGATCACGATTGAACTCATATACCGCATAACCCCATATCATTTCTTTAATTCCCTTTTTCTTCTTTTTAACCTATTATTAGTTCTATCTACTATGTAAGTACATATTTACAAATATTAACACAGATAAACTAACCCATTTTTATTATATTTTTGAATTTAACTAAATTGTTTTGATTAAAAAATAGGTTTTGTAAACATTTGAATTAGTTTTGATAGTTAGCATGGTTGAATTCAGTTTGTAGTTTTGGGTTCATTCAACCACATTACTTGTATAATTTGAAATATGTTTTACCAGTTTGATTTGAAAAATAACTGTTAAATCGCATACAATTAACAGCGTGGCCTAGTTGTATTGCATTAGATGCCTATCAGAGTCATATTTTGTACGAACGTCACGTGATGCGCTGTCGTGTATCTTCGTACCAAATAAGTACATTGATGACTCAAATCTGATGCATACCAGTAGCCTTATTCACGTGACAAACCTTCAAAGACAACAAATCGCTGAGTTGCGACTCTATCTTCTATCGAAATGATCCTTCCGAATACGGATTTAGAACTGTTTTCCAATGGGACGACTTCTGAACGTCAGCGAGATCTTGACTGTCAAAATACGTGAATTAGGCCACAGGACACCCGTTGATTGTGTGTGTGGGTGTTTTCGGGACGGCCATTACATATTCCACTGGGCGGCGTTGCAGGTGGGGCGCGCGCTGTCGTTCAACAAGACGCCGTCGAAGCTGAAGCGCGCCATGTCGTCCATGATCTCGCCCTTCGGCTCCACCACCAACCTGCCGGCCGCGCAGCTCGCGCAGATGCGACTCGCCAGTTGTAACAATATCAACGTGAGTATTGTTGGTTGATAGACAGCTTTTGTAGTTAGTTTTTGATAGCTTCTATTCCATTCAGCTTATTTTGCCTCACTTTTTGATTCACAGTAGAAAGGTCTGAGATTACATTCAGCTTATTGCATTTACTTTAGATATAGACGAAGCAAATTAGCTTTTTTTAGCCTAGTCAAAAACGTTTTTGCCAGCAGCCAAAAGTGCCAAGTGTTAAATCACTTTTTTTCGCAGATTTTTAGCGTAGTATTAATAAAAGTCTTCCTGCTATAGAACACTTATATCAGCTTGACGGTTTACATTGAATAAGTACATTTATTTTTATACATGACATGCGTAGGCTGAGCGATACATATACATAAGAAATGGGACAGTACATCGGCCTTCTTAAAAGCTCTGCGTATGTGCAACATCAATATCCCTTCAACCGCTTGCAGTGTGATACTCGCACATTTCAAAATGTATCAGATTCAAAATGTTTCTCTATGCTTATAGGAAATGGGCGCCAGCAGCGGCGGGTGCGCATCGGGCGGCGGCGACGTTCTTGTCGCACCATTGTCGGTGCAGCCCACGCGTAAGGCCGCCGCGCAGGCCGCCGCCGCGCTGCGCCGCTTCTGACGCCGCACCAGCCGCGCCTGACCGCGCGCCCGGGACTGAAGGACATTATCGAACGTTCGCGGAGTGGGGCCAGTGTCGCCGTCAAGTCAAAATAGTGCACCGTCTCGACTTCTTACTACACACGAGCAGCTATCGAGACTGTTGCAATCGCATCGTGCTTTTATTGTGAATTCGTACACGGGCGAGTGCAAAATCGGTTCGAGATGTTTCGCTGTTTTTATTTTACTGTGCCACAGTGCTGTACCGGCGGGCCCGAACGGACAGTGTGCTAGGAGTGCCTTCGTACGCTATGAGCGTTTGGAACGTAGTGAGATAGGCGCGGTCGCGTGCCCCGGCCTCGCACCGTCGACGGTGAGTGAGCCCGGGCGTCTATGCTAATGTTATTGTTATTATGTGTGTCTCTGGTCTAACGATAGACACTCGTCACAAATCGTTGCGATTTTACGAAACGTAGCCGCAGATTGATTTTACGTAATTTATTATATTTTCTCCACTATTGTCGGAAGTTTGTCGCAGCTCCGTTTTGAAATCGATCAGGGGCCGGCGCGGGAGTGAATCGTAACAAAGCGCGCCGGCTCGCGTGTCGCGTCGGAATATTTTTATGATATTATTATTTGAGATAGTCTCCCGAGAGTAATATGTACATATTGTGATATTTTAATTTAATCGTGAAATAGGCATCGTAGGTTTAAAGTAGTGATGTAATCTATACCTACCTTCGTGCTGTTGGTTGAAGCGTTCTCGTGGTCGCCGGGCGGCGCGGCCGGTGGGCGCCGCGCCCCCGGCCGTAGGTCTCTGAGTCTCATCACGGCTACATCATGTATCGGCAATCATTAAAGTGTACGCATGTCGAATGCATTGTACAAAGATCTATATTTATGAATATTTTAAATGATTGATACAATAAACATTTATTTTCAGTCAAATAGTCTTTTTATTTACCCTTCACTGTGTATATTTTGACATCGCTAGTTTAAATGGTCTACTTGATGCCGTGTCGTGCGTCCCAGAGGAAGACGACGGCGTTGGAGACGGCGCGCACGGGCACGGCCAGCAACACGGCCACCAGCGGCGCCAGCGCCAGCATCATAGAATCGTTGGGCAGCTCCGACTTCATCAGCACTATCAGCTTCAACACCACGGCTATCTAAAAATGTAGATAAAATAGTTAACTTGGCTGCGATAGTCTAAAACGAAAGCTTTATTCGCTTAAACACACTATCACTAATACAAAAACCGCCTCACTCTTTGAATAGGTTGAACCGATTTTGATAAAACCACTGTTAGAAAACAGACTCATTAATTAGAAATCCACCACATTATGCTGATTATGCGGATAAGACCGCTTTCGCAAAAAGGATGACGACTGCTGAAAAAAGAGATCTTATTACGACTGAACAGATTTTGATGAAAAAAGGGTAAAAACCCACTATACACTGACAGAGACCAAAAACATAACGCCCCTTTTCTCAACCAACACTCACAATCGTAATAAAAGGGATTATCTGCCACTGCGTTCCGATGCGCGAGGCGCAAGCGTTTTCCTCGGTGGCCAGCACAGATATGGATAGATGCAGCATGTGTCAAAAATTGTATGAAGCCGAGCGTGCCACTTTTTAAACGTCATTAGTGTCATTTTAGCGAATTTTAGTGATTGCCGCAACGTAAAAGTAATCGTATCATCGTACTGCATTCGCAAAGTCATCGAAAGATATCGTGTGACTCGATTCGGAAATTAATTAATTCCGATAAAACTGATAATTTGTTAAATACAAAACCAAAAACATCTTTATTTACCTTTTTAAAATAAAGTAATTCTTACAATTCGTCAAATCTCGTTATTTTTTTTACCCTACCAGCGTTTCAAGACATAAATTTGTCAAGTGCATGAATACGTGGATCAGTGTGTGTCTTATTGTCATGAGTAAGTACGGTTCCTTGGGATCGGTATGAGTGCACCACATACAGGGACCATGGTTTTAACTCTTAAGAGTACATCGCAGGATATGTATTAAAAACAATGCTACTTTATACTTCTTCTACTGCTACTTTATTCTAATTAATTATTTGCTACTTGTGCTGTTAATTACAATTCTCAATCCGTAAATAATATCTTCATTCTACCGTGTTCGTACTACTGTTCTCGTAAAATCATCGTAACCGATTGTTGTAATCGGATTACATGAACATCACTCGATCATGTATGTCCATTTGGACATATCGGAATGGCACGCTTTGACGATCAACTTGCTGTATCTACTCTAATCCATATCTGTGGTGGCCAGGTTCATGTCGGACACGAAGTCGCGGCTGCGGTACACGCACAGCATGCCCAAGAGGAAGGTCTAAGATATACCGCAGCTAACAAAGGAGACGATAACCTTGAAACCACTGAACCTATTTTGACAAGACATGGCTAAAAAGCACCGCTAGAACCCCTGCTTTCAAACAGACAAAAGACGCATCCTAATCGGTTCACTCGATTAAGAGCTACGGTGTCATAGACAGACAGCGGTCAAACTAGTAACGCCGCTTTTGGCGACGAGGGTGAAAAATGGCTCCGTCCGAACCAGACCCTAGGCCAAAAGACCATTGCTGCTAATGACGCATAGCGTAACACTTTTTTTGCTTCGAAGGTTAAAAAAGGGCAACCAACACTTACAATAGTAATGAAAGGTATGATCTGCCACTGCGTGCCGATGCGCGAGGCGCAGGCGTTGTCCTCGGTGGCCAGGTTCATGTCGGACACGAAGTCGCGGCTGCGGTACACGCACAGCATGCCCACCAGCTGCAGTAAGCACACCAGCGGCATCGCCACGCCCGTCAGCATCGCGCCGCGATCTCAGGAGGAAGGTCTAAGATATACCGCAGCTAACAAAGGAGACGATAACCTTGAAACCACTGAACCTATTTTGACGAAACATGTCTAAAAACCACCGCTAGAATACCTGCTTTCAAACAGAAAAAAGACGCATCCTAATCGGTTCACCCGCAGACAGCGGTCAAACTAGTAATACCGTTTTTGGCGACGAGGGTAAAATGGCTTATGTCCGTTTTCACCATCAATCCCTAATTTTGAAGTGACCCCTATGGTAACACTTAACAGGAATTTTGTTTCATAGGGGGTCACTTAAAAATTAGGGATTAATGCTGAAAACGGGCATTAAAGTCCGAGCCAGACCGAAGGATCGTTGCTGCTAATCAAGCATAGCGTAACACTCCTTTTTGCGTGTCGGGGGTTAAAAACAAGCAGCCAACACTCACAATCGTAATAAAAGGGATGATCTGCCACTGCGTGCCGATGCGCGAGGCGCAAGCGTTTTCCTCGGTGGCCAGGTTCATGTCGGACACGAAGTCGCGGCTGCGGTACACGCACAGCATGCCCACCAGCTGCAGTAAGCACACCAGCGGCATCGCCACGCCCGTCATCATCGCGTCCACGGTCTCTAACAGGACGATGCCACCCTGCAATACACAATGGGTCAATTCTGTTCAACCGTTATTAACTTTAGCCTAGGCCACCGATTTTTAGTTGGCCTATAGTTGGGTCGGGCTGTTAATCAGTATGGAGATGTATGAAAGTGCGCACATTACACCGATTTGGTATCGGCCGATTTTTCATACAAATTAGAATCGGGCCTAACTATCGGCCAACTAAAAATCGGGTGGTCTGCGCCTAGGCTTAGAGGACGAAGAGTTAATTCAACCAAATATTAACTACTAATCTATTTATTTATTATTTTAATTTTGTCATCTACTTAAAAAGGAAAGAAAAGAGATTAATTTTATACATATTCTATACTCAACACGATCACTGCTGAAAACATACGGGTGTGTTTTTCGATCGCAAAGCCTGTGCGGCCTAACACGTTTACGTATTTTTTAATTCTCCATACGGCTGTGCGGCTCACACGTAAAGCGTGTTTTGTAGATGTAACGCCTGTGCGGACTAACACGTAAAGCGTGTTTCGCCGACGCGTTTTTTTTTTTTTTTATGTGATAGGAGGCANGGTCGAGTGAAGCGATGGCTGGTTCACTCGTCATGTCTGTGAACAGGCGCTGCTTTCGGGGACTGGTCAATCCAAGTTATTCCAACTTATGTATGCGAGTCATTTCTACTGGTATTTGAGTGTGTAATCTGTAAGTCTAGATATTAGCACGTCACTACCTTGTTTAATATGCCACGCAATTTTGTATACCCATTCTTATAAGATACACTATACAAGAATGCATGGTAAATTCAGTGAACTGCTCCTGAATCGAATGTACCTACTACTGCTATTTCTATTTATTTATATTAACCGGCAGACAGTGGTGACTGAGTTTGTTGCGGCGCTTCTTCTCAGCACTTGCCAAATGTTGGTCTCGAAGCGCTGGTAGGGTAAAAAGATTATGAGACATGTAGAGGCTCCTTAAGAGCAAAATGACGATTTGTAAGAACTATTTATTAGTCTAAACAAATAAAGAAATTTTGACTTTGACTTTGACTTTGACTTTCGCTCGATATGTCGACACCAAGGATTCCGATATTGGCTGAGGCAGTGAGGCAGGTAGAGGCGTAACGCGTATGCGGAAAACACATACGTCTGTGTTTTGATATTAATAAACAGAATTTATCTCTGTACTTTAGGGAATCTGTATTATTAAATACAATCATAAAAACAATAATTCAAAAAATATTACATACGATTGTAGCAAAAATTACGCTCAATCCCATGCCAGTTAAAATCAAAAGTGCGACCACCACTTGCTCGATGAAACTGAAATAAAAGAATGTTAGTAAAAATAATTGCACTTGAAATCAATTTCTTTATCCAATGAAGCTGCAAAATATGCTTGTACTTACACTAATTTGACTCTGTATTCAAATATTGTATGCAATGCAGTTTTTAGCAACACATAAGCAACAAGCATGTAAGAAAAGGTTAATCCACCGAATGTGAGCGCGGATCTGAAACCATTCAAATCATTGAGATTTGAGATTCAATTCTAGTATCACAAATAGCTAAACAAGATAAAGAGCTTACAGTAAATGAGAATAGCTTCCAGTAGACATGCATTTAGAATACATTGGTATTATCCATAAAGTGCCTGAAAATACACAACATAATCTAATCACCATACAAATTGCAAATTTTTTTTATTCGTTACATAAGAGAATAAATGGTTACTTTCATGCATGGTGTGGTTCTCCTGGCTAGTAACTTGCATGTAATCGACGAGAGCGCAGACTGCGGCGTTTGTGGAGTTGAGACAAGCCAATAACAGAACCAATCCAGAATGCCACACGTTTTCAGAGTTCAGATGTGAATCTATATGACCCGATGCTACAGAAAAAAATTGAAAGTTCAATAATATCAATCATCACCTAAAAGAATAAATAAGAAGAGTTGCAGAGTGAAAAGGTACTTACCATAATGATTTAAACCTTTCCCATGAATTAATTCTGTGCCTGTACCTGCTGAATGGATGTATAGGGCTACTTCCAAAGCATCTGCTATTATCTAAAGAAATATTAAAAAGTGTACATGAGACATGAGTCGTGGGAAAAGATACTTACTGAGATAACGAGTAGGTAATCACTTTCCTTGGCTGGCATTATTGTAGGGAAAAATACTTACAGCTACTATTTCCATGGCATCAAGGCGAAAGGCTTTCTTCAAGATTTTTTGCATCGCAGTTATATTCGTAAGGGCCATTATGGCTAGTATCGCGGCCCACACCCACGGCACAACGACAAACCACGAAATCATATTGTTCCAAATTAACTGTAATAAAAAAACATTCATTTCTTATACATCTTGACCCAAAATTCAACGATAAGCCGGCGCAGGGTCTTATTCTTCCTAAAGTAGTTATTACCATGTCCATCCTACTTGATTTTTGGGACACGTTGTAGGTATACTGCGGATTATTTTGACTGTATACTGTTGCTGTATAAACTTACCCTTCCATGATAAATTCGTTCACCTAATAAAACCATCCATACTAATGCCCAAACAACAGCAAGACTTATTATTAACGGTATATTGACACGCTCCATCTTAAAGTCCGGTCTTAATTGCACCACCTCCACGCTATAATAAACCAAGATCAGTGTCAGTACTTCAGTAGCAATATCTTAGTAATTGAAATTTTAAAATAAGATATACCTACTAGAAAAAGTTATATGCAGGAGTGTTAAACACTGGAGGATATCTTCCAGGGTATGTCTCATTGCATACTTCCATTTGTCGTGGCTTGTTGATGCGTTTCATCTTTCTCATGGCTCTGAAAATATCAAATTATAACGATAGTTACTCTTACAGAAAGAATGAAAGTTTATCTAATTCGAAAACAGCATACTGTTTCAATGAAGCGTTTCTCCACGCGCGATAGTAAAATCCAACAGTCGAAGGCCGTATAGAAGTAGTTTGATATTTCTGGATACTTTTCCATCTTGACTGAAAGGGATGTAAATAATATTTTAATATAAGTAGGTAAGGTACACAGTTGGTTGTTAAGAGCTAATTCTTACCTGTCGCTGTCTAAGACTCTTCATATCATTGAGGACTGGTTCATACGATTTCAAATTGAAATCCCTGAAAATATGCCGGTAATGATACGTAATTATTTTCATGTTAATATGATGCATATTCTCTTATAAAGTTCTTGTTACTCTTACCTACAGTACGTGAATGGTAACCTTGCATCTGATACAGAATGGAGCACATAGATCGCCGTTATAGCAGCTATCGTACAGCAACATATAGCTCGCACTATTGCATGAATACAAATAGCAATACCTATGCCTAAAAAATACATAGACTACTTAAATCATATCTGTGACGAAGGGGAATCATATAACTGAATTATCAATATGATACAAACCGTCAAACATGGGTATAATACGAAAGGCTCGACCTGGTCCACTGATACTCCACTGTCCAAGATAAATTTCAAAGTGGCGCAATGGGTTGGCCAGTAGCGCAACCGCCATAGTCAGGAATATTAAGAAGATAACTGAAGAACAGTATGAACATGAGAAAAGGTGAAGTTTTACTACAATATTGGATTCCGATTCTGAAAAAATTTATGTATAGAATCTAGGACTAATGCTAAAATATCTTACAATGTTACTGAACACTTATTACTAGTATAACAATCTTATGAAGAAGAACAAAGCTCTACCGGCTCTACTCACAAAATCCTCCAGTGATTGCCGACGCAGTGACTCTACAGTGCATGGTCAGGAAGGCGCCCAGAACAAAGGTGCCGATTCTGAGGCGTCGCCGGCCGCTGAGGCGTGCCGAGGGCCCCCCGCCAGTGCCCGTGTCCATACCGGGGACATCCGCCGTTGACCACACCATGGACCATTGACTCTAGATATTATTATTGATCTTATACAGTTGTAATAAGTGCGATTTTACAACAAAATTATGTAGTTCGACACATGACATGGTCATTATAAATATTATGATTTGGTAGAAAATCTGAACACTCACCACATTTCGGTTTTCAAATGTAAGAATTGTTTCCATTGAATTTGCATTATGGCTTGGGTTACCTGCCATTGTGGAGAAATATTGTACGACTTAAATTCAGTAATTTAAATTAAATACAACATGATAATTTTGTATTCACTGTACGGTTACATTTTGACACTGATTGACAAGTTTTCAACTTTGAGACACTATAGATTCTGCTATAGACAAATAATACACAGTCTGTGCTCTCGTGCTCTACCATAAAGGTTAAATTCTAGATGTGGTAACACACATGCAAAATATAACACACCTGCACCACAGTAAAGAAAAACCAAAAGTAGGTATAAAACATCAATGATAATGATATTTCCAGTTCCACGTCAACGCATAAATTAATGTCACCGTAGGACCGAAGAAGTGGGTCTGTTTACCGTTTCATTCAGACCTTATCCAGCTTTTCTGTTCAGTTTCGCGCTTGTCTGCGTTGCGTAACTGACAGTTTACACTCAGCTTACGGTGGGGGATGTGTTCATCACGAATCATGAAAATCCTATTAGTGTCCGACCGAATGTTCGGTTTCGGTTTCGTTTTCGGTTGAGTTTCGGTAAAAACACGAGTTTCGGTTTAGTTTCGTTTTCGGTGGCAAACATGCCGAAACTACGACCGAAACCGAATGTGCATTCGGGAGTTTCCGCGCTGTTATCGGTCATGTTCGGCGCGTTGAATGAGGAATGAATCCGATCCCGATCAGAGCCAATGTCGTGATTCGCTCGCTTGTTTGTTTGCTGTTAGTTTTGTTTTGTTGTGGTGGCGAATTTTCGAGTGATTTATTTTGAATTTGGTAAGTTTTATCTCGTTTTATGTCGTTACAACAAGAGCGGGTAGTAAACATCAAAAAAAAATTCAATATGACTGATAAAAGTATAATCAAATTAAATCTAACCTATACATTTTTTTTGGTTCGCAAATGCTATACGTAAACAAACATTAGTTAGGTAGTTAGTTATGACTATAGTGCATTTCATGGTGATGATATTATGGATTCAGAGTTTCAAAGTTCCTTTTAGTATTTATCACCAAGGTATCCAAGTGGCAAGTACAGTAGATACTAACTTACGTACCTACTACCAATTTTGTATTGAGAAATTATTAAGGTAAAAGACCCGACCATGGGACGGGTTATGTAGATGTCCTGAGTATTGCGAGTAATTAAAAAAAATCTAGACTTTTCTTTTTTAATAGGTACATAATTTGATACCTTTTAGAGTAAAAAGGCGCTTTCGTTCGTTTCAGCCGAAAGACGTCCACGCCCAAGGATTTCCACGAAGACCGATCCTGCGCCGCTCGCATCTAGGCACCTCCCATGACCTTCACCAGATCGTCGGTCCACCTAGTGGAAGAACTTTCCTGCCCCAGCGGACATCAGCTCTACAAGCTATGTGCCCCGCCCACTGTCACTTTATTTTAGCGATTCGAAAAGGCGCTTTATAAGTTCAATTTTAATGCAATTGAAAGAGAAAACATTAAAGACTGACTGATTATAATAACGTTTTCTTTATTTTTCCCTCAAAATATGAGCCTTGTAAGGAAGTTTCGGTTTCGGTTTCGGTTTCGGCCGAAACAGACACCGTTGCCGAAATTCGGTTTCGGTTTCGGTCGTAAAACTTGTTTCGGTCGGACACTAAATCCTATAGAGACAGATAAAATAAAAAATAAATGTTAAAAACAGTTTTATTTTCTATAAATTATAAACTATACAGTTGAGGACAGTCACAAAATGCTTTGAGTAATTACATTTTTTGTTGTGGTATGGTTCGGGCACACCCTGTATTTTTGGAAACATTTCAGTATTTGTCCCGAACAAATTGCTAACAAAGGAATCTCATATGATGCAATGATATTAGATAACCAATATGATAAGTACAAAATTTGACAAACATTATCGATAGTTGGAGATGTAAAAAAATAATGTCATTGATAAGATAACCTTATGCCTAGCAATATAATTTAAACATACTATATCTATTTACAACATAATCTGAGAACACAATATCAATACTTTTATTTTGGAAACATGATTAGCGTCAGCTCTTTTCCGCTCGGACGTTTTGCAAATAAAATTATTGCTCGGATAACGTAATAAATAACTTTTTAGACCTTTTGCGTATAATGAATGTTATAATTATAATAAACTTATAATTATACCATTATAATATAATTATACACATTCTTTATTTAATACTACTTTTACCAAATCAGATATTAGTAAGACAATAAAGGAAAATACAGTGATAATAAACACTTATCGATAGTTAGAAGAAAGTAATACAGGAGTTTTTTGTATTTCAGTGGTAATTCGGTAATGTGTTCCCAACAGACCATTTCTCCGTATCGTAACCGCAGGCACCCGATATTCAATGATACCTAAAGGCCTACCAAAGTGACTGCCAGAGGTATAGGTAATGCAGTCTTAAGACTGGGTTGCACCATCTTATAGATGTCCTACACTGAACCGTCATACCTATGACACTGTCAGGAGGGCGCTACTATCAATACAGGATTATTAGTTCCTATTATTGCCACGTTGGACAACCATATAATTATGACATTTATAGGAGGGCGCTACTATCAATACTGGGTTAGTTTTTGTCGTTGTTGGACTATACTTTATCTTAACAAACGTCAAAAGTCTGTCAAACTCCATACAAGAAACACCGGTTAACGTTAAAGTTACGGTCTTCTTCTTCTTTTATTTTGGCCACGACTTGGTTTTGAGAACCATGATTCCGCCAATGTCACGTAATCAGCTTTGACAAAGTTTACAGGGTTTATACAATTCAAAAATGTTTATGTTTAAAATATTAAGCTAATTTGTGTGAGTACCTAAAACAAAAAGTTACGGTCAAAATAAGGTGGTACTACTTTAACAAACGTCAAAAGTCTGTCAAACTTCATACAAAAAAACACCAGTTATGGTTTAATCACGGTTAAAATAAGGTGGTGCAACTCAGTCTAAGTGGAAATGTTCAGATGGTATAAGATTACAATATGTATGTAGATAAAAAAAAAGCTAACAGATTTTTACGAAAAAAAAAATCGCCGTCATTATACAGGGTGTTAGGTAAATGGGTATATGAGCCGACACCAGCCCATGTTAACATGGTCATATAAATGGTATGGTGAAGTCAGAAATTTGATATCATCATTTTATTTTTGTTAATTTTCGGATTCGGATTTTATAAATATTTTTTATAAAATCCGATTTGTATGAAAATTAAAATAATTAAAATGAAGATATCAATTTTCTGACTTCACCATACCATTTATATGCCCATGTTAACATCTGGATGTTAACATGCCTCATAGCAGCCCTGGGGCTAGTGTCAGCTCATATACTCAATTACCTAACACCCTGTAGAGGGACAAAGTATTCAATCTGAAGTTAGGCACGTATCATTGAGTCACCGGGTGCCTAGGCCACGCCCCCATAGCCCGGGCGGGCGAGGCCGCGCTAGGGCGGCGGCGGCGCGGGCGGCTGCGGCGCGTCTTGCGGCAGCGTGAAGTTTGTGAGCAGGTCGCGTACTGCCGGCCATAGAGTACACTCCGCGTGCGACTGGTTGAACTCGTTGAAACTGGAACGTACATACAATTCTTGTTTTGAATTTTTCCGTGTGACTTTTGAGTGAGCGGTAGTCTTTACACACAGACAATGGCACGTCAAGGTAAACAGTTGTAAAGCCTGGTCCGTGAGCACGTAGAATCCCGTCCAATAACCCCAAGCTACCCATCCCTGCCCGCAGTGAGTGTGCGAGCGCGAAAGCAACATAATTACGCGCGAGCGATAGGGATGGGTAGCTTGGGGTCATTGGACGGGATTCTACGTGCTCACGGACCAGGCTTTAGTAGAAACGAATTTGTCACGAAATTGAGTCTTATGTGCTGTTGTCTGTACAATGGTAAACTAAAGTAGACTATACGCACTTTATTTTGACAATGGCGAGGTTTTATCCAATAGCTACGAGCGATTTGTCTAAATTAGTTGAATTTGATGAGTCGGTGTCAATTTACTTTTGCCTCGATCTTACTTACTATACCAGCAACATACTGATTAAACAGTTCTTCTTTCTTTCTTTCTAAGTGTAAGCTGAATCTGTCAGAGCTCTATTGCAGCTCTTTACTGCCTTGTAACACTAGTTTCATAGCACTACAACTAGCTTCCACATAATAATACTTATGATATCCATTTGACTTACCGTTTGAGATGCAAGCTGACCGCGATAAGATGCGGCTGCGAGTCTCGTTTGTCAGCGAGCTGCGTTACGTTTGATTGCATATCGTATACGAGCGGCAGCACCAGTTGTGTGTCACCACGAGTTAGGCATATCTGTTGAACAATCGAAAAGATAAGTTTAGTCATCTATTGCAAGATAATGTGTTTTATTTTCAGCTGAGTGAATGTGAGATAGCAAAATTACTAAGGATGTATGCGGAATACACATGAGGATTAACTTCTGAGGGTCAAATACCTGCCTTGTCTAGCATAAAAAAAGGTAGGTATTTTACTTAAAAAGAAAAGTAACTTGTGCTTGGCCAGCAACACAGGTACACATGAGCGGTGAGTCATGACGTATAAGATGGAGTCAACTGATCGCACGGCATAGGTCACGTGCGCTATAAACGATAGCTGCTGTATGATTTACAAAGAAGAGTATCTTGTGCTTAGTCCGCAGCACAGCGGGTTGCCCGGCACGTACGATCTATGGCGCAGCAGCTAGCTAGCTAGCTTGTAGAATGCGAGATGGCGAAATTACTAATGCCCCGCGTACATGCGTCATTATCGTATGGCAGAAGATTTATCAGTTATTTAACTTACAAAGAAGAGTATCTTGTGACTGTGAATGACTTGTGGGACTCATGGAACTGTAGCTGTAGGGACACTCACAAAGAAGAGTATCTTGTGCTTGGCCAGCAGCACGGCGGGTTGTCCCGCGGGCACTATCTGCGGCGCGGCGGGCGGGATGCGCAGCGCCCAGTGCAGGTGCCAGGCGGGCGCGTGCTGCAGCGCGAGCGGCGCCAGGTCGGCGCATGAGCGACTCATGGAACTGTAGCTGTAGGGACACTCACAAAGAAGAGTATCTTGTGCTTGGCCAGCAGCACGGCGGGTTGTCCCGCGGGCACTATCTGCGGCGCGGCGGGCGGGATGCGCAGCGCCCAGTGCAGGTGCCAGGCGGGCGCGTGCTGCAGCGCGAGCGGCGCCAGGTCGGCGCGCATGAGCGCCACGAGCGACGGCAGCGCGGCGGCCGGCGCGCCCCATACACGTGCCCAGCCTTGCAGCGCTGTGGCACGGTATGGAGCTACTGCGACGCGCTGGTCGAAGAACTTCTCCATCACCTGTAAGCAGCATAGCGCAGCTTGGATTGGATTTTTCATGAATATGAATTATTATGGTTCTACATGGTGTCATAATAAACGTGACTGATCCGAAGAGGGATTCTCAAATACAAGATAAATCAAGCTGAAGGTACAGTGTAGTGTGTACGCATCCATTCCCCATATTAGGCAAACCATTAGTATATAAGCTTAGGATAATCTTCATTCTTAAGAATAAACCTACAGTGCGCACATCTAACTGTTTTATTGTGTCTCCCGAACGTCACACATTACAACAGCACCACTTCGAAGAATGAGCCGAATATGAGTCGACAGATCATGCTCGCTCTTTTATACAGCCCATCCCTCCCAGGGGGAAGGTCTGGCCGACTCGTTTCACCGTTCAACTAAGGTCACCCGGGGCGAAAGCAACTATGAGGCTGAAGTGACTAATTGGTATTATTCTTAATCTGATGGATTTGAACACTCTATCTCTCACTCTCGACTATGAGAAGGGACATGGATCAGATAAATTTGTAGGGAGTCAAGCAAAGCGCCCTGGGAAAAGAGCCCAGAGCAAGTACCCGCGCGCTCTCCCGAGATTCGGTTCGTACGCCGTGAGGCAGGAAGAACCATGGGTGGTGGTGGGTTATGATGGATTTGAACAAAATGTCATCAGCTTTTGAAACTGAGCAATCATTGCTTTTTTATGCTTCAAGTAATGACACTGTTCAAATCCATAAGATTTTTACTTTGTTTTTAGTGCTGGTGCTAGACTTGCGTGTTTTACGTGCCAGTTACTCACCTGCAGGTCGTCGGCCGCCCAGTTGTCCTTGTGGTCGGGCAGCGGCGTGAGCTGCAGGTGCAGCGCCTGCAGGTGCGCCGGGTGCAGCGCCACGCGCGCCGCCAGCCCGGCCGCGTCGCAGCGGAACGTCAGGCTCGTCGCCTCCACGGATACCATTGTTAGCTGACAAGAAAAAAGGGCACATTAACGTTTTGTAAGAAGCGACATTAACTCCTAAGGTCGTGTTTCAAAAGCCAATTTTTTTTTAAATCCACTACGAGGAAGCTCTTGGCCTGTATCTCACCTGATGGTAAGTGATGATCAGGCCGGAGGTGGAAACGAGCTTCACACGGAATCCTCAACCACGGAGGAACTGGCTATCTTACCTCTAACTGTCGGAACACAATAATGCTGTTAACATTGTTGTTATGGCGACAGACTTAGGTAAGATGGTGGTAGCTAGCCAGGCGGACTTAGAACAAGCCCCTACCACCAACCAAACCGAACAGAAAAATCTGCCTCCACTAGGAATCGAACCCGGGACCTCTGACATTGACATTCAAGCAAAGATCTCGCAATGAGTGACAGGAATGGATGGATTCGAAAATACAGAAACAACGTGAGGAAGTTACCTCGATGATTTAGGCCTCTCGCCCACGGCGACTTTTTGTAGGGATACCGGATACAGAAGCGATTGTGTCGCGCGTTCGCATCGATACAGTCGCAACGCGGTCGTTAGCTGTGTGCCCTCGCCACATAAACACGATTCAGTCGTGATTCAAACGCGATAATGTCGCGATGCAAACGCGATTTAGTAACCCTCCCTCCGTTCTCTCCCGGATGTCGTCCGACACGGTCGCGCGTTCGCATCGATACAGTCGCGCTGCTGTAGCGCGTTGGCATCACTTCTGTAGCGCGATGCAAATGCGAGACTAACGCACGTTATAGCGTTGCTGTCGTTCGTTCACGAAACGCGTGACAGCATCACTACAAAAAGTCGCCGTGGGCGAGGAGCCTTAAGGGCTTAAAAGTAAATGGAAGAAGGAAACAGCAGATTGCCGTGGAATCAGTTTCAGGGGTCATAAAAGTCAGGTGTTGCAGTCAATTTAATTCAAATTCCTGACCTAAGGGGCTCATAGGTCGTGCAGATTGCAATAGGGATTTAGCCCGCCAGTGCACGTGTACTCACGAACTCCTCCTGCTGCACGAAGCGCTGCAGCGTGCGCTTCATGTAGACGCAGGCCAGGAAGCGCTGCAGCGGCGCCAGCGGCGGGCCGGGCGGCGCGTTGGGCGGCGGCTCGCACGGCGTGCACAGCGTCTCCAGCTTGGCTACGGGTAGGGGCGTGGCTGTAGCGCCCGCCCACGCGCGACCGCCTAGGAGCACACGCCCGCCCGATGCTGTTGAACCCGTGGCTTGTGGACCTAAGCAATGATAATGCTGTTAAACATGATGACGAATACAGGGAGACAAGTCCTTATTGTTTACTACACAAGGCTGATAAAAGTAAGAAATTCAGTAAGTTTGAAGGTGCAGGGGGCGCGGGTCAGCGAAGTCACACGGTGAAGGAGACGTGTGCGGCGACGACGGATATTCATTGCACTGTAAACCTTATGTGGAATAAATTACGGTTTTGTGTACCTTTGTAGTCAATATGGTTTCGCGAATAGTAGTGTCGCGATGGTTTCGGGAGTAGCGTCACGGCGGATACTCATTGGAATTGAAGCCTTTTGTAGAATACATTATTACGTAGTGTATACGTTTATGACTTTACCTTTGTGGTCAAGATGATGCCGCGGCGAGGGGTGGTGCCCGGGCCAAGTAGTGAAAGGTGAAGTGGGCGGCTGGTGCAGCAACGCGGTGGATACTCATTGGAATTTAAACCTTATGTGGAATATATTACGTTTATGTAACTTACCTACCTCAATGGTCCACTCCACGGCTGCAGTGCGGGAGGAATGGCGACGGATTGTGAGACTTACCACCGGACCTGGTGTGACAACCACGATCACTCTGGCAAGAGTGTAGCGACGAAGAAGAAGAGTAACTTACCTTTGTGGTCAAGATGATGCCGCGGCGAGGGGTGGTGTCCGGGCGAGGGTCTAGGCAGCGAGGGTGAGCCAGGTAGTGAAGGGCGAGGTGGGCGGCGGGTGCGGCGACGCGGCGGATATTCATTGGAATTTCAATCTTATGTGGAATAAATTACATTTTCATGTCGTTACCTTTGTGATCGAGATGATGCCGCGGCGAAGGGTGGTGTCCGGGCGAAGGTCTCGGCAGCGAGAATGAGTCGGGTCAAGTAGTGAAAGGCGAGATAAGCGGCGACGCAACGTGGCGGATACTCATTGGTATTTAAACCTTATGTGGAATACATTACGTAGTATATTATACCTTTGTGGTCAAGATGATGACGCGGCGACGGATGGTGTTCGGGCGAAGGTCTCGGCAGCGAGGGTGAGCCGGGCCAGGTCGTGAAGGGCGAGGTGGGCGGCGGGTGCGGCGACGCGGCGGGCGCGGCTAAAGGCCTATTCAAACCTGAGCGATATTCGCTGCCGCTGTGGGTAGAGGTACATACCAGACGGTAGCGAATAACGCTTAGGTCTGAACAGTATTATTACCGCATACCCACTGGGTTTTCTCTGCCGCAGACGGTAGCGAATACCGCTTAGGTCTGAATAGGCCTTAATGGAGACGGCGCTAGAGGAGACGTGGGTGACGCGGACGCGCCCGCGCCCCCGCCGCCTGCCGTGCGCGCGCCGCCGGGCGGTGACGTGAGTCCAATGAGGATTTCAACCTTATGTGGAATAAGTTACGTTTATGTAACTTACCTTTGTGGTCAAGATGATGACGCGGCGAAGGATGGTGTCCCGGCGAAGGTCTCGGCAGCGAGGGTGAGCCGGGCCAGGTCGTGAAGGGTGAAGTGGGCGGCGACGCAACGTGGCGGATATTCTTTGGAATTTCAACCCTGGAATACATTACGACCTTTGTGGTCGAGATGATACCGTCTACCGTGGCGAGGGATGGTGTCCGGGTGAAGGTCTCGGCAGCGAGGGTGAGCCGGGCCACGTAGTGAAAGGCGAGATGAGCGGCTACGCGACGTGGCGGATATTCATTAGAATTTAAACCCTGGAATACCTACATTACGTTTTTGTACAGTTACCTTTGTGGTCAAGATGATGCCGCGGCGAGGGGTGGTGCCCGGGCGAAGGTCTCGGCAGCGAAGGTGAGCCGGGCCAGGTCGTGAAGGGCGAGGTGGGCGGCGGGTGCGGCGACGCGGCGGGCGCGGCTAAAGGCCTATTCAAACCTGAGCGATATTCGCTGCCGCTGTGGGTAGAGGTACATACCAGACGGTAGCGAATAACGCTTAGGTCTGAACAGTATTATTACCGCATACCCACTGGGTTTTCTCTGCCGCAGACGGTAGCGAATACCGCTTAGGTCTGAATAGGCCTTAATGGAGACGGCGCTAGAGGAGACGCGGGTGACGCGGATACGCCCGTGCCCCCGCCGCCTGCCGTGCGCGCGCCGCCGGGCGGTGACGTGAGTCCAATGAGGATTTCAACCTTATGTGGAATAAATTACGTTTTCATGTCGTTACCTTTATGGTCAAGATGATGCCGCGGCGACGGGTGGTGTCCGGGCGAGGGTCGTGGTAGCGAGGGTGAGCCGGGCCAGGTCGTGAAGGGTGAGGTTGGCGGCGGATGCGGCGACGCGGCGGGCGCGGCTAAAGGAGACGGCGCTAGAGGAGACGCGGGCGACGCGGACACGCCCGCGCCCCCGCCGCCTGCCGCGCCCGCGCCGCCGGGCGGTGACGTCAGGTTGAAGGAGCCGGCCCCCATCTAGATTAATGCTTTTAAAATTAATGAGCCGGCCCGGGAAAGGACATAGGATAGTTTTTATCAGGGACGCGCGCGATAAAGTTTTTCTGTGACAGACAAAATTCCACGCGGGCGAAGCCGCGGACGGAAAGCTAGTTTTCTATATTTTCAATTTAATTTGGTCAACAATTTGCTCTCGGTTCAGAAGCGCGCGCGCGGTTCCCTTGCAACTCTCGGCCGCCACTTTACGTTACGCCATCAAGGGCAACGTACGCGCACACGTGTCTGTTAGTTCGATGCAACATATTTGATACCAATTTTAAAAGTGTTTGCTTATTTATTTACGGTAGTACTATAGTCTGGTCTGTGAGCACGTAGAATTTTGTCTAATGACCCCAAGCTACCCATCCTTATCGCTCGCGCGTAATTATGTTGCTGTCGCGCTCGCACACTCACTGCGGGCGCCCGTCGCACAGTCGCGACAGCAATATAATTACGCGCGAGCGATAAGGATGGGTAGCTTGGGGTCAATGGACAAAATTCTACGTGCTCATAGACCGGGCTTTAACTGAAGCTCAACAAAGTAAAAAGTCCATTAATGCGATGAGATAAAAGTTATTTCAATGATTTGAATTGATCGAGGGTTTTACCTGGTGTTGTGCTGGAGAGGCGGGGTGCGGCGTGACGGGCGCCGAGTGCGGCGTGTGCGGCTGCGGCGGCGTCAGCGGCGCCGGGAAGCGGAGACCACCTGCGCATATATTTTATTAGATTTCCACTCTTAATGCAGTAGGATAAAGTTAAATTGAAACACTTAATTTCCTAACATTCATGTTGGTATAGTCTGGTCTGCGAGCACGTAGAATTTTGTCCAATTGAACAAGCGACTGTACGACGGGTGCCCGCAGTGAGTGTGCGAGCGCGACAGCAACAATTAAGCGCGAGCGATAAGGATGGGTAGCTTGGGGTCATTGGACAAAAATCTACGTGCTCACAGACCGGGCTTTAGTGAAAATAAAAAATCTCTTGGCCAATGTATTCTGCAACTTACAAATAATGATCAATGGATGATTAATTAAACAAACCTGGTGGCATTGGAGACATGGGAGAAGGCGGGTTATCATCTTCGGCTAACAGTCTTGAACTTATACTCTCTTCGACGTAACGTGACAAAAACGCCTGCAAACACAATTTCGGAAAAATTACTAAGAACTGTACTATCGGCAACAGTGTTAAGTTAACTGCCCATTGCCGGTCATGTCGTCTCGTTCTATCGCGAAGAATCACCATTTGATGAGAGCGAGAACAAAAACGGAAATGGATAGTTAACCCTGTGGTCGTGTGTACTGAATGATCTCTGGTGGATGTATTTTTTTTATTTTGAGGATATTAAATAAAGTCATAAAAACCTTGAGTCCTTGAGCCGGGGCAAATTCATCCACAACTGAACTTCTGTCAAACTTGGAGAAGGAGCCATCACGTATTGTGACCATGCCACCGCCTCGTATGCCAATTTCCAATGAGTACGCGCCAGCGTAGATGATACGTATCTGAAAAAACAATTGAATTGGAATTATTTTGTTTTTGACGTCATTTGTTTCTTAAGCGGCGCGTGCGTCTCGCACCACGCCTGGCGACGTCAGTAGGTAAAGTTTAAGGCTTTGAACTTGCCCATACGGCACGGGACTATTCCCACCTCTCGTTCCCATCGCTGTAACGCTTGTATAGCCAGGATCTACAGCCAGGCCCCTCTTTCAAACTGGGTACTCTGGGCACGTGCCCATGGCCCCGCGATCGAGGAGGCCCCCGTCTGTTCTCATAAAATAACTTTCTCCAAATCCACGGCCCTGTCTACAGCTTGACCGCTAAGAAAAACCCAACCAGTGAAGGCTAGTATGTCCTAAGGGAAAGTTAAACGTGCATACGGTAGTGCTTACCTTGCGCCAAGAATGCGCTAGCAGCGTGAATGTCGGCGTGGGCATCTGCGTGCGCACGTGGTGCAACCCTAGCTGCGGCAGCGCGGGCAGCCGGCTCAGCGCTAGCAATGGTGCGTAGGTCTCGCGCAGAACTACGCCTAGTGACATTAGGTCTTTGTGCCTGTGAAAAATCATTGACTAATTAATAAAATCAAACCAAAATCAAAAATACTTATTCAGTTTAGATTACAAGTGGCACTTATGAACGTTCAAAATATAGTAAATAATAAAAAAAAGAAAAGGTAGCCCTTATGGGCCACTTTACATGTCTCCTTATCTTTTGGGCCCTACCAGCGCTTCGAGACAAACATATGGCAAGTGCTGAGAAGAAACGCCGGAACAAACTCACAATATGTCGTAACCACAAAAACAAATACATAAATAACGAAATGGTATAACATTCTCATACATAGTTATTTAGGAGCAACGTCGCCAACGTCACACTAGTTAGCGTCATACGAAGACATCACGGTTCGTGCCATACGGCATCCTGGCAGCGGTCTACTGCAGCTCACCTGTGTCTCGATATTTCTAGCAACTCATCTAGACAATAGTCTAATTTTACGTGTAACGTTCCCCACACAAACGTTTTTCGAGCGTCATCGTCATGTTCGTGCGGCGCCGACGCAACTTTTTTTTTGGACAAGTAACTCAACCCCCTCACCCCGCTATTGCGTTACACTAACCAGTTGATGTAGTGGTCGAGGTGGTGGTGCAGCAGGTGGTGCGCGTTGGCGGCGGGCTGGTGCGCGGGCGTGGCCACGGTGTAGCGCTGCGCCGCGGCGCTCCACTGCAGCACGGCCTTACTGCATCAGTAGACATCAGTAAAGCTACGTGTACGCACCAGTTGATGTAGTGGTCGAGGTGGTGGTGCAGCAAGTGGTGCGCGTTGGCGGCGGGCTGGTGCGCGGGCGTGGCCACGGTGTAGCGCTGCGCCGCGGCGCTCCACTGCAGCACGGCCTTACTGCATCAGTAGACATCAGTAAAGCTACGTGTACGCACCAGTTGATGTAGTGGTCGAGGTGGTGGTGCAGCAAGTGGTGCGCGTTGGCGGCGGGCTGGTGCGCGGGCGTGGCCACGGTGTAGCGCTGCGCCGCGGCGCTCCACTGCAGCACGGCCTTACTGCATCAGTAGACATCAGTAAAGCTACGTGTACGCACCAGTTGATGTAGTGGTCGAGGTGGTGGTGCAGCAAGTGGTGCGCGTTGGCGGCGGGCTGGTGCGCGGGCGTGGCCACGGTGTAGCGCTGCGCCGCGGCGCTCCACTGCAGCACGGCCTTACTGCATCAGTAGACATCAGTAAAGCTACGTGTACGCACCAGTTGATGTAGTGGTCGAGGTGGTGGTGCAGCAAGTGGTGCGCGTTGGCGGCGGGCTGGTGCGCGGGCGTGGCCACGGTGTAGCGCTGCGCCGCGGCGCTCCACTGCAGCACGGCCTTACTGCATCAGTAGACATCAGTAAAGCTACGTGTACGCACCAGTTGATGTAGTGGTCGAGGTGGTGGTGCAGCAGGTGGTGCGCGTTGGCGGCGGGCTGGTGCGCGGGCGTGGCCACGGTGTAGCGCTGCGCCGCGGCGCTCCACTGCAGCACGGCCTTACTGCATCAGTAGACATCAGTAAAGCTACGTGTACACACCAGTTGATGTAGTGGTCGAGGTGGTGGTGTAACAAGTGGTGCGCGTTGGCGGCGGGCTGGTGCGCGGGCGTGGCCACGGTGTAGCGCTGCGCCGCGGCGCTCCACTGCAGCACGGCCTTACTGCATCAGTAGACATCAGTAAAGCTACGTGTACACACCAGTTGATGTAGTGGTCGAGGTGGTGGTGTAACAAGTGGTGCGCGTTGGCGGCGGGCTGGTGCGCGGGCGTGGCCACGGTGTAGCGCTGCGCCGCGGCGCTCCACTGCAGCACGGCCTTACTGCATCAGTAGACATCAGTAAAGCTACGTGTACGCACCAGTTGATGTAGTGGTCGAGGTGGTGGTGCAGCAAGTGGTGCGCGTTGGCGGCGGGCTGGTGCGCGGGCGTGGCCACGGTGTAGCGCTGCGCCGCGGCGCTCCACTGCAGCACGGCCTTACTGCATCAGTAGACATCAGTAAAGCTACGTGTACGCACCAGTTGATGTAGTGGTCGAGGTGGTGGTGCAGCAAGTGGTGCGCGTTGGCGGCGGGCTGGTGCGCGGGCGTGGCCACGGTGTAGCGCTGCGCCGCGGCGCTCCACTGCAGCACGGCCTTACTGCATCAGTAGACATCAGTAAAGCTACGTGTACGCACCAGTTGATGTAGTGGTCGAGGTGGTGGTGCAGCAAGTGGTGCGCGTTGGCGGCGGGCTGGTGCGCGGGCGTGGCCACGGTGTAGCGCTGCGCCGCGGCGCTCCACTGCAGCACGGCCTTACTGCATCAGTAGACATCAGTAAAGCTACGTGTACGCACCAGTTGATGTAGTGGTCGAGGTGGTGGTGCAGCAGGTGGTGCGCGTTGGCGGCGGGCTGGTGCGCGGGCGTGGCCACGGTGTAGCGCTGCGCCGCGGCGCTCCACTGCAGCACGGCCTTACTGCATCAGTAGACATCAGTAAAGCTACGTGTACACACCAGTTGATGTAGTGGTCGAGGTGGTGGTGTAACAAGTGGTGCGCGTTGGCGGCGGGCTGGTGCGCGGGCGTGGCCACGGTGTAGCGCTGCGCCGCGGCGCTCCACTGCAGCACGGCCTTACTGCATCAGTAGACATCAGTAAAGCTACGTGTACGCACCAGTTGATGTAGTGGTCGAGGTGGTGGTGCAGCAGGTGGTGCGCGTTGGCGGCGGGCTGGTGCGCGGGCGTGGCCACGGTGTAGCGCTGCGCCGCGGCGCTCCACTGCAGAACGGCTGTCGCCCGCTGCGACGCGCCGAACCCGATCACCAGCGAGCGGTACGTGTAGGAACGGATGCATACGCCTTGCCACATCATGTCGCGTTCTGTTAGTGGGAAAGAATAAGGAACGTCACTAGGGATGTTAAATCACTTGAAACTTTATGTGTAACCTAAATGTCAAGAAATATTTTTTTGTTGTACATTCTATAGTCTGGTCTGCGAGCACGTAGAATTTTGTCCAATGACCACAAGCTACCCATCCTTATCGCTCGCGCGTAATTATGTTGCTATCGCGCAGTGAGTGTGCAAGTGTCTGAAAGGATGGGTTGCTTGGGGCCATTGGATAAAATTCTACGTGCTCACAGACCGGGCTTTAGCGAGTGATTAGTTTTGAAGTGACGATGTTTTCATTTTACACGGACGAGCCATCCCTAAGTTACGTCACATCATAACACGCTTCTCCGCTCGCAGTCACTTTAGAGTGTTCTTTGCAGATGTTACTGAAGTTTGAACCTTTGTAAAAACACAGTATCTCTTTTGTTTGAATAGTGTTGTACTGCAAAGTGAATATGAAAAGTTAGCGATCTTGTTCATTGTGTGTTATTGTCATTTTATTGAGAAGATGCCGATGGTTTTTAGATCTCCAACATAGCCGTACCTTGTGCAGGGCGCAGCATGAAGTCGTGCAGCAGCGTATGTAGATGCACGATGGCGGCCCAGTCGGCCAGGAAGGCGTCGGCCGTGCGGCCCGCGTCCGTGCCCAGCTCGTACTGCAGGTACACGCAGCGACGCTCGCCTGGTGAAGGAGAACATGAGATGTGGCAGGAGATTATTTTCAAATTCATGGTGTAATAAGCGGTTGTCAATAATCATTTAAGTGACTTTTTCAAGCTCGATGTAAAGACTTATACACAACTAGCGGCCGCCCGCGACTTTGTACGAGTTGATCCAGTTTTACCCCCTTAGATTAATTCCACCCGAATTTAGTAAAATCCTTTATTAGCGGATGCCTAATGATCACTGCGTGGATAGATCACTATGTCAATCAGTCAGTCACATTTGAGTTATATATTATATTTATTTAGATAAACTTAATGAATGCCCAGCAGTGCTACTCCGCAACGTCGTTTTCGCAGTGCCAGGTCTATCTCTCACTGTCACTATATCTGCGGTCCACACGCGCGCCTGGTAGTAGTCAGCCGCACAGTGGTAGCTAGCAGTGCTCGCGCAGCGCGGCTGCGGCACTCCACAACGCTGTTTTCGTAGTTTCGAGTTTCCCCGTCACTAGCTGGCAATGTGTGAGAGGGATAGAAACATTTGCAACTTCAGGCTGCGCCGCACTTACCTTGCTCTTTCGGGTTAGGCGTGCATACGGGCGAACCATGGAACACTATCTCTGCGGTCCACACGCGCGCTTGGTTCTTGGTGGTCAACCGCACCGTAGCAGCTAGTAATCGCTCGCGCAGCGCGGCTGCGGCGCCGGCGGGAGCGCCTTCAGGTCGCCGCAGGGCTACGAAACTACGATCCGCATGCCTAGTAGAGCTACTCTACAACACCGATGTCGTATTTTCGAGTTTATCCTTCACTGGCGCTCATGCTGGCTTATCGCAATGTGTGAGAGGGATGGAAACATTTGCAACTTCGGGCTGCGCCGCATTTACCTTGCTCTTTCGGGTTAGGCGTGCGCACGGGAGAACCATGGAACACTATCTCTGCGGTCCACACGCGCGCTTGATTCTTGGTCGTAAGGCGTTTGGTAGCGGCCAGTAATCGCTCGCGCAATGCAGCCGCGGCGCCGGCGGGAGCGCCTTCAGGTCGCGGCAGTGCTACGATGCGCTGCCTAGAGCGGAGCCACACTATTCCATTTGTACCCCGCTTGCACTTACCTTGCTCTTTCGGGTTAGGCGTGCGTACGGGCGAACCATGGAACACTATCTCTGCGGTCCACACGCGCGCTTGGTTCTTGGTAGTCAACCGCACCGTAGCAGCTAGTAATCGCTCGCGCAGCGCGGCTGCGGCGCCGGCGGGAGCGCCTTCAGGTCGAGGCAGCGCTACGATACGCATGCCTAGGGCGGAGCCACACCATTCCGGTTGGACGCCGCCGTGAGTTACACCGCGGGCTGCGAGCTGTTGATGAATAAGAAATAATATCAAATCACAGTTTTATTTGTATGCAAATAAGAACCTATTACGATTACATTAATAAGCATAAAAAATTGATAATAGTTCACTACAGTTACACGACGCTAGTTTTCATGCGGATGAACCACTAGAATGATCGTATACGCGTTTGATTCCTTGAAGCTTCTTTAGCGCTCATGGATTCTTGGTAAAAAAAAAACAATAATTTGAAAGTCACATTAACCTATAATGATTTTGAACCTTGCGCTTAAGTAGTAAAGTTCAAACTCGTTTGAACACATTCGAGAGCATATACCACATACCTCCTGCGCCAGGTTGACGAAGGGCACGCGCTCGTCGGCGGCGGCCACGACGTGCGCCAGCTCGGGCAGGAAGTAGGCGGGCTGCCGCACGCGCACCGACCGCGCGCCGCCGCTTGACAGCTTGCGCTTGCCCGGCTGCATACCTGCCGAAGTCAACAATCAAATTAAGTGCCACTCGTCGGCCGTTTGGTGTAGTGGTTCGGAACGGACTACTATGTCGAGAGGACCCGGGTTCGATTCCCGGACAGGCAGAAATTGAAACGATGAATTTTAATTTCTGTGATGGGTCTGGGTGTTACTATGTATAATATGTATTTACAAAAAAAAAAATATCCGTTGTCTAGTACCCATAGTACAAGCTTTGCTTAGTTTGGGACTAGAAGCGTAGTGTAAAATGTCCAAGGATATTTATATTTATTTATTACTAGCTGACCCGGCGAACTTCGTACCGCCTTAGCGTAGAGATTTTCTTTATATTTTTTTCCGTAAGAACCATCCTTGGACTTCCACAAACATTAAAAAAAAAGAATTATCGAAATCGGTTCAGCCGTTCACACGTGATGCCGTGACAACGCGAAACGGGTTTCATTTTTATATATATAGATGAAAATATTCCTACCTGTCATTCCAACAGCTATAACTGAACATTGGGCATTACCAGTGAACAAAGTATGTACAGTTATTTGGTACATTGTCCGTAAACATAACGACTTTAATTAATATATGACATGCTGCGAGATCATAGATTACCAGGATTTAAATGATTGAGAATGTAAACATGTCTAAAATATTAAAGTAACCGCGCATCCGATAGTTTTTCATAGATTTTTTTGAGCACAGTTCTCATTGACTCACCTGGCGTATCGAGAGGCGTGAAAGGCCCGTGAGTGAGTGTGAAAGTGTCCAGCTCAACCAATGAGTGTATCTTGAAGAACGCGCGGGCCACACTCGCTTGCCCGCCAGCCGCTACCACCGCCGCAGAATGCTATGTAATATAATCAAACACATCAAGTTGGTTTAAACAGGACCGCGCAGGTCACCGTGTCGCAATTTTATTGTATTCAAAATACAGAAAGAAAAGAACCTTCTAAGATTCAGCAGTACTTATTAAAATACGGCGTTGTTGCGTAATAGGCTGCGCTGGCGTTGCATGCAATAGTCGAGAGTATTGCAACAACGACGGCGCATCCTACCACCTTTATACCACACCACCCACTTAGCAGTCACGTGACTTCTTTTGAAGTTCTATACGTAGTCGACAAGTCGTACACGTCTGTTCAAGTACTGTGCAGAACATCACGAGTAAGCTTGTTGTATTTGAGCTTTATGCCTTTACAATAAGTTTCAAACTCAGTCAAGCATTTATTATAGGGTAAAGTCTCCGTACCTCGTCCTCGCACTCGTCGGGCGTGCAGCGGCGCGCGCCGGCCAGGTGGAAGGCCAGCGCCACGGAGCACGCGCTGCCGCTGTTGCTGCTGCTGCTCGTGGTCGCCGTGCTGCCCGCTGCTACCTCCTTCATCTCCACTATCTGGGAGATAAGATAGATTTTATTACGTAACTTGAAAAAAGATCAAACATTATCACCCCGACCTTGAAATTAATGTTTTAATAGTTCGTGGGTTGCAAGCAGGTCAAAGGGACCTATAATGGATTGCTGCTAGGACGTGCCAGGCGGAAATTTTAGGATTATTACCAAAATGCGCTGACAAATCCTGAACAGTTAACGAAAAACAAACCAACAAAACAAAAAAAACTGAAAACAAAACGTATAAAAAACATAATAGAATTCTTTAAAGCATCGACGTCTTGCCAACGCCCGCGCCGCGTCGTCACGGCGCTGGCGCAGCATTGCAGACAATAGCGCCGAGACGCCAATGATAAACAACTGCCGAACGCGCTGCGTAGATCCGGCGTTCGTCAGACGCTGCACAGGCGGTGGCGAAATGACGACGTTCAAAAGACGCTAGTGACGGGAGCCCTAAGGCACGTATTGACAAAAATATACTATGACTAAATATGGTGTGGGCACTCACTAGTATGTGATCAGTGTGTCTATGAAGCGTGACGTAGAGTCGATCAGGCGACAGTTTGTTGAGCGGGTGATCGGGCCCGTGTAGGAACGGTAGGTGCTCGCATACGCTTGCAGGGAGATGCTGTAAGGTTTTCTCACAACGGCGCGCTACGAGCCAGAATCTGTATAAAAAGAAAAAAATATTATTCAGTATTATTCGCGTAGCCATAAACAATTTAATCTGGAGCAGGATAGCCGCGAGAGTACGCGCAGCCACGTGCCTTGAGCGCCCACGCATGCTACGAAAGGTATGTAGTCGCTCGCTGCTTTTATAAACCTAGCTCCTACCACTTGAGTTTCAGTAAAGATTTTCAGAGGCGGACTTCTTAAGGGACTTTTAAAACTGATGTTGCACTGTTTTGTTTCATCATTTGAAAGAGCTCGTGAATCACTTTCAGGATCACCAGTAATCAGTTTTTCGATATAGATTAGAAATAAAATAATCGAGTGAGATCACTTATACATACAGTAAACTTTACTGTATGTATAGGTCACTGACCTCAGCTGCGTAAGTAGTGCTTTAATCTGCGGCAGGTCGGTAGCCGCAAGCGCTCGCGCCAGGTCAGGCATGCGCGGCGAGGCGGGGTAGGCGAGCACGCGCGATCTTTAACAACCGTGTATGCTCTCACGTACTCTACGAGCTATATCATGCTTTATGTATAGGTCATTGACCTCAGCTGTGTAAGCAGTCAGTGCTTTAATCTGCGGCAGGTCTGTAGCCGCCAGCGCTCGCGTTAGATCCGGCATGCGCGGCGAGGCGGGGTAGGCGAGATCTCGCGAACAACAACAACCGTGTGTGCTCTCACGTACGCTACGAGCTATATCATGCTTTATGTATAGGTCACTGACCTGAGCTGGGTAAGCAGCGCCTTGATCTGTGGCAGGTCTGTAGCCGCAAGCGCTCGCGCCAGGTCAGGCATGCGCGGCGAGGCGGGGTAGGCGGGCACGCGCGCGCGCAGCCGGCCGCCGTGCGCACCCACGCAGATTAGCAGCTGCTCGGCGCGCAGGCACGGCCACACTACTGAGCACGCTAGTACGCACGGCCAGCCGCCTACGGAGGCAGTGTAGGTTTCCCGCGCGTTCGAACAACTGGCTGTGCTCTGTGTACGTAGTCGCTTACTACTTCTATAAGTCACTGACCTGAGCTGCGTAAGTAGCGCCTTGATCTTCGCCGCTGAGAGCGCGCGCGCCAGAGCGAGCATGGGCGGCGAGGCAGAATAGGCGAACATAAACCGTGTGTGCACTCACGTACGCTACGAGCTATATGTTTAGGTCACTGACCTGAGCTGCGTAAGTAGCGCTTTGATCTGCGGCAGGTCTGTAGCGGCAAGCGCGCGCGCCAGGTCAGGCATGCGCGGCGACGCGGGGTAGACGAGAACGCGTGAACAACAACAACCGTGTGTGCTCTCACGTACGCTATGAGCTATATGTATAGATCACTGACCTGAGCTGCGTAAGTAGTGCTTTAATCTGCGGTAAGTCTGTAGCCGCCAGTGCTCGCGCTAAGTCGGGCATTCGTGGGGACGCAGGGTAGGCGGGCACGCGCGCGCGCAGTCGGCCGCCGTGCGCGCCCACGCAAATTAGCAACTGCTCGGCGCGTAGGCACGGCCATACTACCGAGCACGCTAGTACGCACGGCCAGCCGCCCACGCTGCACTCTACCTGAAAAGATTGCAAGATATTATAACTGAAAATGAAAATGAAAAATATTTTATTGACACTTAGTACGAATGTTATAAGTAGTTGGGAAATTCCTCTCTTTAAGTTTATGTAACCTGTATTGAGAGGAATCCACTCTTTCGTCACATCCATAGATGTTCTAAACTTACATTATGAAAATAACTAGATCTTTTTGGAAGTTAAGAGTTTAAATAATGTGTCACACAGGCAACATACCTATTTACATAAGCATTAGCGCGTGACAAATAATATATTTGTAATGCGCGTATTTGCAACTGACTGCAATTATTTTTAATTATCTGGTGATGCGTTTATAATGTACACGTACTTAACCAATCAGGCTGCACTACGTAAATACCATAGGCACAGTGAGCATTGAGTGCACTGCTCATACACCGCCACTCACCCCGAGGTCGTTGAGCAGCACCTTGAGGTCGTTGAGCCGCTGCCGCGAGCGCACGTGCACCGTGTGCGCCAGCAGCCGCTCCATGGACGGCGCGTGCGGCGTCAGCGCGGCCGACACGCGCTCGCCGCCCGTCAGCGCGGGCACGTGCCACACGCACAGCGACTCGCCCTCCATACCTTCTCCTTATTGCACCGCCACTCACCCCGAGATCGTTGAGCAGCACCTTGAGGTCGTTGAGCCGCTGCCGCGAGCGCACGTGCACCGTGTGCGCCAGCAGCCGCTCCATGGACGGCGCGTGCGGCGTCAGCGCGGCCGACACGCGCTCGCCGCCCGTCAGGGCTGGCACGTGCCACACGCACAGCGACTCGCCCTCCATACCTTCTCCTTATTGCACCGCCACTCACCCCGAGGTCGTTGAGCAGCACCTTGAGGTCGTTGAGCCGCTGCCGCGAGCGCACGTGCACCGTGTGCGCCAGCAGCCGCTCCATGGACGGCGCGTGAGGCGTCAGCGCGGCCGACACGCGCTCGCCGCCCGTCAACGCGGGCACGTGCCATACGCACAGCGACTCGCCCTCCGCGCCAATTATGAGCCGGTAACCGAGCTCGCACCCTAATTCCCTGTTGAAAACGAATCTTTTTTGACAAAAAGAACATTGTTATTGTAAAGGCCCTCGCCCAAGGCGAATTTTTGTCGCGCGTTTCGTAAACGAGCGAGCAAATGCTACTAACGCGCATTAGTAGCGATGCTCGCTCGTTTACGAAACGTGAGCCCTAAGCATTCAAAAAGTAAGCTAGTGTGGGGGGGGGGGCACACTAGCTTCTTTCGAACGTCCTTGTCTCACAAGCGCCTGCGCAACGTCCAAGTGTGGGATCCTAAATACTACTTGACACAATAATCATAAATCTCACCTCCAGTAGGAAACTTGAAGTTTCTGTCCAGGTATGTACTTGTCAACTTGTAGGTGCTTTGCCAAGCGATCGCGGCACAGTCTTAGTGTCTGCGTATACAAGAGTTCCAGGGAGAGGGAGCGGCAAAAGTATCGCAGAGCAGAGAGAGCGCCGCCCAAGCCGGCGGCGGCAAGTCGAGCTTGTGCCACCCCACGAAGCCAAGCTAGTTGAGAGCTATGAACAAGAGGCTTGCCTTCTGCAAGAAAAAAAAAGAGAGAAATTTAATTAGAATAGAGATTTATGGATAAATAAATGAAAAAAGAAATGTCTTTAAGCCTCACCTCCTGTTTCATTGTCTTGAATCAAGATAGCTATGTCTAACAATCGCCATGGAAGATTGGGAGCATCACCCATCACTGTTAATGACACGCTAAACTCTTGGCCAACTGAGAATGTAGCTCGGCCGTTTTCCACCTACAATCAAAACAGTTCAAGCAAGATCAATAAAAAATTATACTAATGTAGGTAAAGGCAGAGTAAATACAAATGCGTAGATCATCTTCATAGAAACGCATGGGCGCGGTTTGTATTTCAGCGCGCCAACACGTATGCGGCGCGCACGCACACACTGACAAAACTTAGCGGGGATTAGCGGGGAGCCAGTCGTGGTTGCGCCGAATTTTGTCAGTGCCGCATACTGATATTGGCGCGCTCACATACAAACCGCGCTCGGTGCGTTTCTATAAAGATGACCTACTCATTTGTATTTACTCTGGTAAAGGGTACTACAGTAGGATTTGTAGTCAAATTAAAAATTCATTTATTTTTATATTTTGTCGGCCGTTTGGTGTAGTGGTTCAGAACGGACTACTATGCCGAGAGGTCCCGGGTTCGATTCCCGGCCGGGCAGAAATTGAAATGATGAATTTTAATTTCTGTGACGGGTCTGGGTGTGACTATTAGGGTGTCCCTTATTTTTCAATGTTTTAAATTTGTAACGCATAGGTCTAAGTTTTGTTTGTTTGCCTCTAAAACACTCGGAAATAAATTTTTACCTTATTTGGAGTACGATAACCCGTGCCGACTTGCATCGAAACATGTTGCGCGGCAGTAGCGGTGCGTATTCGCGGTATTTGTCATTTGTTCTCAATTAATCTCGTGATAAACACCTATTGTTTGACATTTAGAAGATGGCTGTGGAATTAAGAAGCAATAAAAAAAGTATTTTCTTAGTCGGGGACGTAAATTTATCAAATAATAGGCACAAATTTACCGTTAATCGTCACGTTTTTTCAGTAGTTTTTAACATATTTTGCGAAGTTAATTAAATGTTATTGAAACCTCTAATCTCATCATTCGGGAGTGTATTATATTTTGGGAAAAGCTATAAATCCTACCAGAGCCTAACTGTGTAAAAAAACTTGTGTATCTTCACTTTATTTATAAGCGCCGCGGTGAGGAGGATATAAAACAAATAAAATATTTTAACAAAAACAAATAAAACCAAGGCGTCCAGAGTGTTAAGGTGTAGACAAAAAGTTAGTTAAGAAAGTAGAAAGTGCAAGACAAAGAAAATTAAATAAATAAATAAATAAAAACTAGAGCAAATATGTTTCGGAGGTTTATCGTCATCTCTTACTACGCAAGATTCTATACAAACGCAAGGACATCACGACCAGCTTACCAGCTCTGAGGAAAGCCCTAAGGAACTCTTGACATCCACCTTCCAAAAGGTATATGAGAGTGTTAACAAATTGATTTCCAAAGCAGCCCTGAGCAAGTTTAGTCAACATCTTTGGTACTTCATATCAGAAGAAATTGCCGTTTTATCACTTTTTGATGATGAAGGTCATGAACAAACACCGTCAATATTGTAGTAAAAGTACAAAGAGAGAGTAAGTATGATTCTGGGAAGAGATACATTCCATCTGAAGAAGGTATGATTATTTCTATGGGAAATAGGACTTTGCACTAATTTTTTATCCTGTTTTTAATGAATTGATAATAATACTGCCTTATTTATTGTTGCTGGAAAACCATTGAGTGGTTTTATGTCTGTCAAGAGTATAAATTTATTTTCTCGATTGAAAATTTATAATAATTTCCCCCTGAGACACATTTCTATATGAGATAAAGATGTTGCCTATTTAAAGGCAAAAAAGTGCTTCTTTAAGGGTAGTTAATGATACAGCTGAAAGAGCTATAAAGCTTATGCAAGATTTTCATGGTTTGATCACTGCAAAGGAAGAGCAAAAGCTTTTTTTGCTACGCACAGTGTAGCAAAAATCAGGCCAATATTCAGGAGCATGGAAATCTGTATCCAGAATGTAAAAAAGGGTCCCTCAAAAGTAAAATATATTGTCTGATCTGTAATGTTATCTTCTTTTTATAAATATTTTATAAAAAATAAATATTTTAATTGATTTAGCTACATAACGAAAGGGGTAAAACCAGCATTTTTCAAAATCTTCAGAGCTAAGTCGGCACGGGTTAATGTGGACTTGGAAGATGAAATTTTGTATTTAAGTATGTCTGAGTAGTACGAAAAGAAATAGAGGGTATGCATTTCAATATCTAAAAAAAATTTTTTTTCGGCCATATAAGGGACACCCTAGTGACTATGTATAATATTTATGTATTAAAAAAAAAAGTATATAAGTAGTATATCCGTTAAGCTAGCACCCATAACACAAGCATTAAGTTGCTTACTTTGGGGCTAGCTGGCGCTGTGTGAAATTGTCCAAAGATTATTGTCCAAAGATTATTATTTCATATCGTATACGGTGATAGTAAATATAGCTCTTTTAAATATACAAAACCAGACTTTTCTAGTTCACTCTTTCGACTGGACCAAGCAAGTGGATAAAGTGGACAACAACAATAGATTTATTTCTTTGTTCTCACCTTCAAGTTACGAACATCAGTAGGCAATGATGCTGTGGTGAGCCGCTGTCTTACGACATGTGCGAGCGCCCGCAGCGTGGAGCGCCGTTCGGCCGGCGTCAGCGTCGGCGGCGGCACGAGGCGCTCCCGGATCACGGCTGGAAGCCGGCTGTATGTGCCTAGTGTGAGCACTTCTACCGCTGCCGCCATGTGGAATGTGGGCAGGCTGGAAAATACAGCTATGTGAAATATGTTGGTATATGCAAAATATTTTTTTACAGTTGTGAAAGAAAGAAATTAACTGAAATTATTAATTTGTTATTATAATTGATTTATGTAAATAAGACATGGTTACACCATATTTACAGTAAAAAAATCTTTAGCTTTTGAAAAAATAGTTTAAAAATCTTGACTTTTAAACTTTGTGGTAAATAAATTGAAATAATAAGTAGACATAGAACACAATAATGAATGAATTATTTTCATCCAACTACAGATTAATAAAAAGTATGTCTGTTCTCTGAAATATTATGCAATTTATTATTTTGAGAATTTTTAAGGTTTGAGAATTTAAACATTAATTAATATCCAGTAACACTAATAATTTCTTAGGCAAAATAATTAAAGTAGGTCAGAGAGTAGAGCAACCCAAATCAAAAATTTGTCTAAAATGAAGTAATTATTTACACAAATAATTGAACTAACCGGGCATGTACTAGAGTTTCACGGGCAACTCTTGCTAAAACATCTGCAGTTTCTACAAACAGCAGTGCCTGTTTATCCAAAAAGGCCATGATGTGAGCCGAGCGGTCCACTTTTGTTGCACTGCTTGCCCACTTCACCAGGGCCAGGAGACGTACAAACAGCTGACGAGTGCGTGCACTGAATTTGTAAATTTCGATTTTGCGCTCCATGTCTGTTTTGCGGGGCAACCTGAAATAAAAAATAAATATTTAGCACTTGACACTTTTGTAATTTTGTAAGCACTTAACCCTTGTCTTGTACAACTTAAGCACTTACAGCTCCGCCAGCACCGTAAGTTCATCGTATGTTCTTTGAACGATGAAGTCGATCAGCAATGCCAAAGAGATTGAACCACCTCGAGCTCCACCACCTTCCGTCCCTTGGTTACATCCTTCAATTGCAACAGGCACCATGACTGCTGCTTGTGTGGCAACTGTTTCACTTAAGCTTTTTGTTAGTGGCTACCTAACAGAAATTACAATATACCAAACATTCACATGATAAATAATGAAAAATTTATGAAAGAAAGCAAAGCCATCCGAAACCCAAGAAAACTACACAACCACAGACAATGATCTACAACTGTCACTGTCAAAAATATTTAATGCACCCAATGAGCGTATAAAGCTATAGAGTATAATGTCTCTTTTACCATCCCTATTATATTTATAGGTTCTTTGAGTGAATATTATGATGACTGTCAGTCAGTCTTTGACAGATAGCGAGCGACATTTGTTGACCGAAGTTGTACCTGTTTCATGAAATTTCCTTTTTTTCGTTTTTCCTTGTAATAATCTAACCAAGCTGTGTGATAGTGATTAATATTTTATAATTACTCGGAACAATCATACCATTTCATTAGCAGCTGTATAAAACTGATTTAGATTATAAATTATATCAGTGTGCAGTCGGCCTTCATTGCATAGGCAGTAAATGAACATTTATTTCAAAGCGAGGAGATTTTGTGCAAAACTTTCGAGTGTAAAAAGCTTGTGTAAGCCCAGTGTTAATAGTCAAACTACACAAGTTGCCAGAATGGGGTTGTTATCCGAAGGTAGCCCTCTGTCGTGGGAAGAAACTAAAGCCTTGGCAGAACATGTCCGGCAACACGGCATTGAGCAGTTTATAAACTTGTACAGTAAATTGCGAGACAGAACTGGAGATGTTCTCAAATGGGGTGACGAGGTAAATATTATTAGTAGTAAAATCTATTTTTTTTTATATTATCTTGTCTATTTATACATTAATATTGTGTGTTTTAAGGTGGAGTACATAATAGTTAAATTTGATGATGAAAACCAACGCGCCACAGTAAGCCTAAGAGCAGAAGAGCTCCTCCCAAAATTACAAGAAAAAGAAATGGAAAATCCGCAAAGTAAGTTTATATTTTGATTTATTATAACTGCTAACCTCTTTAATCTATTTAATATCTAATTATACACATTGATAACAATAAAAAATAATATTTTTTATGTTTATCAAAAATCCAGCAGGATGTTTGTGGGTTTAGGTAAATGATAAATTAATATTTTGTTTTCTATTCAACTTTATGTTACACATTGCTTCCAAGTTTATAAGGGAAATAGAGGTAACACATAGGGCCTTGAATTAAAATTAGAGCATTTATATTAAAATGTTGATGTACACAGAATTCAGATGTTGAATTGGTTCCTTATTCCATATTTTACTACCTATGTTTTGGTAACAAATCTGTGGTGTGTGTAAGCTGTTGAAGTTTAAGAAAATCTCATGTTACTTATTGTATCAACTGCTACACTTTTCACTTGATGCCAGTACTTGTTTAGAGGAATGTCTACTACATCTTGCTAATCAATGTTATTACAATGAACAGCAACTTGAAGTCTTCTGTCTATAGTATCTCAATACCAATACGGGTTACTTAAACAAATATATATCACAAGTTAAAAGGGTTAAGTGGTTGTTCTATCAAATAGTTGAATATACCAATATTCAACTTTAAGGACAAGACTTTTAAATGTACCTATTATTATATTTTAAAATACTAGTATGTTTTTTTAATCTTCTACTGGGTTCCTATCTATAGATGTTTTTTACATGATTAAAGTTTTTTCTATTGTCTCTGTTTATGGACAGGATATTGGTTGATTGAGGCTGATTCTATAAATCTGTGTCACCTATAAAAACTACATAATATTTCAACCACATTTAGTTCACACACAAATAAACTAAAAAAATCAGCCAATATTGAAACTCAAATTATTTATTGTTACAGGTGTTAAATCCCTGTGGCGGCCTGAATATGGCGCGTATATGGTCGAAGGTACGCCCGGGAAACCATATGGTGGGTTGCTTGCACATTTCAACATTGTAGAGGCAAACATGCAGTATCGCAGGGCCGAAGCAAGCACATTATTGAAAGATGGAGAAGTCATAATGAGCATTACTAATTTCCCAAGGTACGATATCATATTGTCTTTTCAAATTAGTGTCATAATTTATTTAATATATCAGTAAAATTAAATATTAATTAAAAAATGTTTGTCCAGATTAGGGTGTCCAAATTTTACAAGTCCCCCATACCCACCAACACCAGATAGTGGAGTCACAAGATCACTTTTCTTCCCGGACCATGGCATATTTCCTGGTCATCCTCGTTTTAAAACTCTTACTTCAAACATTCGCGAGAGAAGGGGAGAGAAAGTGGCCATAAATATACCAGGTGAGTTGTACATTCATTGTATGTATTACATAAAATATTTATAACACACAATACATCATTTGTTACAAGTAGTGTTCATAATGTCACTGTTAATTATGTACACTATTATTATCTATTTTATGAATGCAGATGATATTAATTTCAGGATGTTGTTATATGCATAATGATGAATAGGTAGGTGACTAGACTACATACTGATAGAGTTATGGTTGTAGGTGTACCTATGAAAGAGGTATCTATCCACTTATTAATAATATTGTAGATAAGTGGTATTATGCTTATGTCACACATTCATGGATCGACCTTGATTTACGATTACCTACACTATTGCAGTTTGCAGTCCATGCATAGTAATCATTGTTTCAGAGAGACTATGTAAATCAAGAGTAAAATAAAAATACATAAACATAAACAATGAAGATAAAAGCAGTGTGAGGGTCATGATCTTTGCATTTTTTATTTTCCACTAAAATTAAATCAAGTAGTGATTAAAGAGTTATATTCTTTATTCGGAGATTATCCAATGTTATGCAACATTTTGAACACCTAAAAATACATATTGCATAACATTGAATAACAATATGCCTACCAGGGCTGCTCACTCACCATGTCACCACCTAGATAAATGGAGGATTATTTACGCAATAAAGATTCTGATTCGAATTTTTTACTATTATCATCCAGTGTTCAAAGATGAAAACACGAAAATTCCTGTGGACAATTCGCACATTGCGGAGCCAAACGCGGCGAAGCCCGACTGCGTGTACATGGACGCCATGGGCTTCGGCATGGGCTGCTGCTGCCTGCAGCTCACCTTCCAAGCTTGCTGCATCGTGGAGGCGCGCACGCTCTACGACCAACTGGCGCCCTTGTGCCCCATCATGGTAAGTCCTTTTTTTTGTCGGGATATGCTTTGCGCATACGCATACTGTACTGGTTATGTGGGACTCTCCCTGCCAAAATGGCTCCTGTTGTCCTCCGGGGCTAATGAAACGGAACCGCGAGTTATTTACTGTCTTAAAATTGGACATTCGTCTCTTAAAGCTAGCTAATTATGATACTTAATCACGCATTTACCCCTACCATAAACCGTTACCATTTCATTTATTTATTATTACATTATTTAGCCATTACATCTTAGATTTAAATAGTGTCTTAAATCCTCTTGAGGTTTGTCCATTAAAAGAGACGTTTGTGATGTGTGTGCTGTGACTCGCCACAACTTGATTACCGCAAACTACATTACTACGCTAGAAACAGTAGTCTCCGCACCTAGGGTTGCCAGGCCAAAAACAAAAGCCGGACTTGGCAACCCTATATCCGCCGCCTTCATAAAAAAGGTGCTAACAATTGACCATGGTACTTTATTAACCACACTCCACAGTGCAACTCGATCAACACCGGGAAATTGAAAAGTAAATATTTCACGATGCACCTATGCATCGTAAAATATTATTTACATTGTCGGTGCCAATAGACTTAGGCAATCATATAAAGCCGACTAGATTAAAACGAAGTTGTCTAATCTTAACGTTTTGAAAATAACTTATCTTTGATTGCAATCTGCAATAGTGTTGTTATTCCTAAGTTAGTTTGGTTCTATCACCTAATCAATCAAATTATAACATAATTGTATATTTACAAAATCACCAAAGATTCTTTAACATTTGCCTTCTATTAAAAGCTTCTTAGCAACAAATAAGCAATTCACTAGTAATAGATATTAATCACACTTAAGACCTTGAAACGATAAGTAAGAAATACGCCTTGTCATCCCACGTGGACATTATCAGAATTCGTAAGTTGTTAAACTGCGTAAATTGCGCCTGTCATGGTTTTAGTTTTTCGTGGATGATAACGCAATTACTTTAGTAGAGCTTTTACCTTATCATCAAAGACGTCGATCGTCGATTCATTGGTTCGGACAACAGATGTTTGTGAATATTAAATATGTAAGTAAGAAATACGCCTTGTCATCCCACGTGGACATTATCAGAATTCGTAAGTTGTTAAACTGCGTAAATTGCGCCTGTCATGGTTTTAGTTTTTTGTGGATGATGACGCAATTACTTTAGTAGGTAGAGCTTTTACCTTATCATCAAAGACGTCGATCGTCGATGCATTGGGTCGGACAACAGATGTTTGTGAATATTTATGTCGTTTAGAGCTTGTCTTTACCCTTATTAAATAATCATAATAAATGTTACTTTCTATCTGTGGAATTATGAGGTCATTTTACTTGAATATTCTATGAAGCAACATACATTCATCACCTTTTTTCCTCAACAAAGGATGACTTGAATATATTTGTTTTCGTATTAATTAATTTCACCACCAGTCGTCATCATAATTTCTACTCTGTCACGGAATGACGTCAGTCATACTTTATCTATTTAAAACAGACAAAATGTGAGATCTAATTTAAGAATTCGACGACATAATTGTTCGAATGTAGGCCATGGTCACTAAAAGTAACTCAGCACTGTGACATGTCCACAAATATTTCATTAAAGTAGATTCTAGACATGATTATATCGCTTCAAATAATCAATATCAAGTCGAATAATGATATTGAATAAATAGTGCAGTAAGATTGAAGAAATAGCAAATCAATTAGGCTATCCTCTTTCCGCACTCAGGCTTGAAAGCGTTTTTGTCTGTCGGATTAACCCAGTTGATTGTGGCAACCTTGCTTATGTATGCTTCGAAGGTTGTTATTATTGACATTGTCACTTAACAAGATCTTCAACCTGTCCTTTTAGGATGGTCATATACAGGTCGGAATGACATAAAATATATATTTAAAGTGTTGTCGTCCGAAACGTTAATTACCATTATCCTTCGAGTCTAATGAGGCCCACTGTCGCAAGTTCCTAAAATTCTT